TTCGGGGCTAGCCCCGATGATTTAGTAAAAGAAACAGAAAAAAAACGAGACAAACGCGGCGAGTGGAAGATAAAAGAGAGAATACGATATAGAATGAGCAACCGGGGCAAAATCGGTGTCGCCCCGTCGACGTTCGGCGAAGGCTTTGCGAGCGAAAAATGAACCATGTCGGGAGAATATGGCTAGTGTAGACAGTCTGTGCAACCGATATTGAGGTATTTTTCGAATATTTTTTATTATACCGAAAAAACAACCGGGGCATTGCCCCGGTTGGCCCTATTGACGCGCCGCCACTGGTTATGTATATGTTTATTTGGTGTTGTGTTGTCTTTATTTATATGTATTGTCTTGTCTTATAAACTCCCCTGTATGAACAGTTTTGTATACTCCACCCTTACCACTTTCACCACACCAAACGACCCATTGCCCACCTTGCACAACTGTCTATATAAGGGACCATATTATACATATTTAATCTAATGTTTTTGGACACGTAGTGGACATAACGATCGTTTCAATATTATGTTGTTGTTGTTCTTGTTCTTGTTCTTTGACACGTTTTTAAAAAGTCGCTTTTCTCTTCGAATACTGGACCAATTGCTTTGAAATTTTCAGTGGTTAAAGATTAATTTTTTCGCTAGAAGGCTATTACTTTTGTTTATTCTTTAATTTTATATGAATCCTATGAGATATGATATTTCATACAAAATTTCGCGGTATTTATTTTTACTCATGGGAACACTGTTTTACACCTGTTTCAAGCGGTTTCGCGATCGATTGTCTTGCTCAGTACTACAGCTACTGTAGGTCGGTACTGGTAAGTTGCCATACAGGTACCGTAACGCAGTGAAATTGACTTATTCCTTCCGCGGTATTACTAATGCTGCAATGCAAGTTTTATAGCCTATCGTATGCGGAACGGAATATCAGACCTACAGGTTCGGTACCGGTACTGGTAGCTCAGTACGTAAGTACGATACTGGTACTGGTGCCGGTACCGGTGTCTTACCACAATGAAATTACCGTAACTTATTCTTTCACGGTCCTACCAGTGCAGTAATGCAAGCGTTGTAGCACTTGTAGCCTACTATATTTGTTTATTTTGATGAGAGTCTACTGGAAACAACATAAAATTTGAAAGGGAGAATTGTTCTGTGATCAATTATCTGTCCTAAAGTGTAAACAACATAAAATTTGCAAGGGAACAACTGTTCTGTGATCAATTACCGTATATGGCCTACAGTGTACAGGTAAGATGCTGCCTGACTGCTAACTCAGTACCGGTACCGCTTGACACGTTTTTAAAAGTCGCTTTTCTCTTCGAATACTGGACCAATTGCTTTGAAATTTTTAGTGGTTAAAGATAAAAATTTTCTCCAGAAGGCTATTACTTTTTTTTTCGCTATGACGTCATCAAAATTATGTGACTCTACGTGTCCATATATTTGAGCATAGCTCTCTTGTTTGTTTTATATTTGTCAAAAAGGGTGCATGCCGCACATTTGTGTTTTAGGCCAGTACGGTCTTGTGCATGCATCCCGTCTTAAATAATAATAACTGTTCATTCATTTATTTATCACTATTACGAGACGAATAAAACATACATACATACAAGACACAGATGTGCGATATGCATTCCAACAAGTATAACTGCAGTTTAGGACTGCTGCGTTATAGTAGGACATCAGACATGAAATATACAAATAAAACTCTTGTACAATACACAGTACAAAGAGGTGCCCAATGTTTGTCACCATAAGGGACAGTTCTGTCTTTACGGCCCACCTGCCGTGGTTACGGCAGCAAAATTTTACCTGCCATAGGTTTTCAAGTTGCTGCCGCTGTAACGGCAGCTCGTCATTGGTTTGTGGCAGTTAAAAAGTCAGTCGTCATAGGTTTGGACGTAGCGGCCATGGTATGGAAATACCGCCATGGTTTTGCGGCAGCTGCGGACGCCACAGAATACTTGAAACTGCACTTGGAGGTTTAGGTTGCCTTAACTTACATACAGACAGATACCGGTAAGAGCTGATACCGGTATGATAGCCTACATGTCTGGGGTCTAGTATAGTTTAGTACCCCAAGTACCGTACTTCCTGTGGATGCGGCATAACAAATTTTGGATCTCCTGAAGTACACGCCGCACGTACTTCTAGTTGGCCTGGCTCAACAATTTTTGCATATGTCATTCCTAACCCCCACCTGACTACGGTAGGTACCGTACGTCATGCGAAAACTACATCACTGCAAATTCGCAGAGACGTAATACAGCCCTCCAAAGTTACGGATGGTCGCGCAGACAATCATCCGGAATCGAGCAAGCCACGGTATTTCTCTCGTTTTCTCCTCAATGCGATACCGATATGAGTCTAAGAGAGAGATCGCTGGGTCTAGTAGGTATAGTTTAGGGGGCTCGTGTAGTTCCGTACGGTACCTAACGTACGGTACTTCTAGTGGGCGTAGCATACCGTAACAATTTTCTGACATGTCAATCCTAACCCCCACCTGACTACGCTATTCAAAAATTACGTCACTACGATGTCACAATCGCGTTATAGAGCTTGCTAAAGTATAGGGACTTCTCATGTTTTAAACTTGTTTATAGGTTTTGCGGGTCTCGTGTAGTTTCGTACCTACCTAACATAGGATACTTCTAGTGAGCGTATTGCAATAATTTTTTGACATATCAATTCTAACCCCCACTTGACTATGCCACCCAAAAATTACGTCACAATCATGTCGTAGAGCTCGTCAAATATACATACGATCGCCCGAAATGACATCGGCGCCGACGATAAAGAACTGACTAATGTCAGCGATCTCTCTCATATTGGGATCGTTGCGACGAGAAAACGAGAGAAATAAGTACCGGTATTCGATTTCGGATGCTCGTCTTGGACAACAGTTCGTATAGCTCTATTACCGTACGTCACTGTGACGTTGTAGTGACGTAATTTATGGATGGCGTAGTCAGGTTCCAGACTGGATTCCATGGCAGGTGCACGCCCGAGGGCGCTAGCGCTCCGCAAAAATGCACGCGAGCGAAATCAATTTTGCACGCCGAAAATTTGCAATTGCTCACCAATGTAAATCGGTTTAAATGGTTTTAAAATCAATAATCCAGTAATATAAAGATGCCAAAATATTATAACTCCACAATTGTCGACAAATACCAGCTTGCAAGATTTGGTCTGATCGAAATATTGCGAAGCAAAAAGACCATGGACCTTTCCCCAACCTTTGACCCGCGAAAAATTCCTCTCATTGTTACGTCCTTTTTTGCATCTTGCTGATTGGCCAATGTCACGAAGTAAACAAGGAAGTCGATGCTCGGGGAAAGGTCCATATCGTGTTGAATGATAGGAAATAGGAATCCCGTGAAAATAGTTATGGACGAAAAGATCGCCTCCGCACCAATGGCCAAGTACGGCTCTGATTCAGCGTATTTTTTATACAATAATTTTACACGAATGTACTGAACAATACCGGTATCTAAAGTTGCTCAAACACTCCCAAAATTAGTGACAAAGTATGAAAATAATGTTTGGGTCAAAGGTCAAACGTCCATTTTTGCTCTAATTTGACGTATTTTTTATCCATTAATTCTACGTAAAAACACTACCAAAATTAATGACAAAGTATGTCCATTTTGCTCTGGTTCAACGTATTTTTTATCCAATAATTTTACGCGGATGTACTGAACAGTACCGGTATCAAAAGTCGCACAAACACTCTCAAAATTAGCGACAAACTGTAGAAATAATGTTTGGGGTCAAAGGTCAAACGTCCATTTTTCTCTGATTCAACGTATTTTTTATCCGATACCGGTAATTTTACGCGGATGTATTGAGAGGTATCTGATGTCAAAGTCAGTTGCACGCGAGTGCAGTTGTTTTGCACGTCGTGAGCTATAATTGCACGCCAGGAATTCTTATTTGCACGCGGGAATTTCTGATTGCACGCCCGATTTCTCGTTCAAAAAGGCCATGAAATCCAGACTGGCTTGTGGTACTAAACCTTACTAGACCCCATTTTTTGTTATCTAGCTAGCCGATCTGCCAATGCCATCAGCTGTCCATTTCTCTCAATTTTGTATTTTTGTTTCATACCCCAGTCAGAAATTTGGAATATACTACCAATGGCGTTCATGAAATTTATATGCATATTGATCATCACTGTTTCGCTGATAATAATAACAATAATAAGTAGTCAGGTGAGGGTTAGGATTGATATTTCAAAAAATTGTTATGCTACGCCCACTAGAAGTGGATTAGGTACGAAACTACATGAGACCCGGTTTTGCTTGCCCTCCAGAATTCTCCATTTTTAATTTATGTTTGTTATGGAGTTTTCAAAATAAACTATCTATCTATCTAGCTACAATCGTCCGAAATGGCATCTGTGCCGACTATACTGAACTCACTAACGTCAGCGATCTGGGTCTGGTATAGTTTAGTACCACATGCACTTCTAGTTGGCCTGGCTCAACAATTTTTGCATATGTCAATCCTAACCTCCACCTGACTACGTCACCGAAAAATTACGTCATTTCGTCGTCACAGTGGCGTAATGAGGCCCACCAAAGTATGCGGATGACCGTCCAAAACGTGCAGACCGTCACCCGAAATCGAGCAAGCTATTTCTCTCTCGTTTTCTCGTCACAACGATTACGATCGGAGAGAGATCGTCGGCGCAAGCGACTCGTTATCAGCGGCGCAGATGCCATTTCGGACGATCGTAATTATACTTTTGCAATCCTATGACGTGATGGTGATGTCGTAGTGACATCATTTTTGGATGGCATAGTCAGGTTGGGGTTAGGAATGACATATGCAAAATTCGTCATGCTACGCCCACTGGAAGTACTACTTGTAGTACTAAACCTTACTAGACCCCATTTTTTGTTATCTAGCTAGCCGATCTGCCAATGCCATCAGCTGTCCATTTCTCTCAATTTTGTATTTTTGTTTCATACCGGTTTCACACGAAGTACCAGTCAGAAATTTGGAAAATACTACCAATGGCGTTCATAAAATTTATATGCATATTAATCATCACTGTTTCGCTGATAATAACTGGTAAAGGTGAGGACGCTGAAAGTGTTTTATCTATGCAAAAGCATATTGGTGGTGCAGAAAAACTTGTTACTTTGAAAAGGATTATTCGTGATGTTGAGACTGGGTCTGGTGAAACTGCGACCGACGAAGAACAAAATATATTGAGGAAACACACTGATGTGGTATGATAAAATTTTTTTGAAAAATCACTATTCTCTGAATTCAATCTGTTCAAAATATTCATCTAAAAAATTAGTTGTGTTAGACCAAAACAGCCCAGTTACGCACCCATACCCAGACGAGGAAGCAACCCATTAATTCCCTTTTCTTTCCAAGATAAACCTTACTTTGTTGTAATTACCGATTACCTACAGTAGTCATCTCTTAATTAACTAGAAAATTTAGTATGCAGCTACATTAGTACATGGAAATAATTTTTCCTAAATATTGAAAGAGTTTAATATAAAGTAATATCTAGGCGTCCAACCTTTGCAATTCAATATCTATTATCGATATGTTATCATTTCAGCATGTGTTCAGCAACGACAGCAACCCATCAATATCTCTAATATGGACTGGTACAGAAGGTGCCTTAATTGCTTTAACAACAATGGGAAATGGGATAACCTTAATTCCATCAAGGCTTTACAGAAGTTCTAACTTTGGAAGGTAGATATGATTTTTTGCAAGAAGTGTTGTGTTCATTCAATGCAATAATAGCGGTCAAATACAAAATATGCTGGCACTAATGACTTAGAGCAGTGGTTGCATTCCCCAGACGTCAAACTATTTTTTGTGAACTCTCTTACTTTTAATGCATAAAGCAGGAATTGCTCAAATTTATTATTATGTACATAAGAATGTATGTCATGACAATGGCTATTGTACGCTGTTTGTTTTGTAGTAATTAGAACAAGCGAAAACACATGTCAGTTGTATCAACGCTTATCTTGTTCCTTTACTTGCTGAATGTGCCTACCGTTAATTGTCAGTTTAGTTTATTCGAATTTTTAAAATTTGGCATTTAAATATAAATGTCGGAAAGTTGGCGACGGGGGTCGAACATTCTAAAGTGCTTGGTCGGAAAATATTTATTTGTTGAGCGTTCGTTACATGTGATTTTAAAAACCTCTTGCGTATATAATAATAATATATTGCGTATTTGTGTATAATATTATGTATCATGAATGCTATACACTCATTTCCTGTAATATTTTGTCTGATACACTGTTGAAGGGATTACCATTTTAGACAGGAAGCTTGACAACATATTGCTCGTAGATTGCACTCATGTGTCTTCATTTGATAATTCGTAAGACACCCACGCCTTTATAATCTAATGATACCATACATACAATACTTAAATATAAATATTTTCTTAAAGCAAGCTCAATTTCCTCAAATATGAAGAGGTAGTAAAGTAGTAAACTGTATTTCATTTTTGAGTTTGATGAAATTTTTTTTTATTGCAAATTCATACAAGAATGCATTTAATTTCAGGAAAAATCCATCTAATCTGGGGCTTATCACTGCTGTACTTTCTTATGGTATTATTGTAGAATATAATTTCTAGTTTTTTAGCTGGACTTCTTGTCTTTGTAGATGTATGCCAGTATGAAATAAAAAGTGTATGCCAGATATTTCATACTGGTTTACAATGTAATAGGAGTATTAACTTTGTTTAGTTCCAACTTTTGATCACCCTTGAGCCCTGGCATTTAATTTAGGGAGTTTGATTTTCCTTAATTCTAATTTATTTTTGTTCAGTTCAATTATTCGCACAAACAAAAATCATGATTTCACATTATATGGAAGCCAATTTTCTTACTAGAATGTCGAAAGTCAAGACTGAGTGACAATCAATACTATTTGTTTTCTAGATCTTTTGTGGACATATCAGACAAAATCGAGCATGATAGAATTCTGAACAATCATGGAATGCTTGTCAGCCCAGTTGATTCCAACAATGTGAGTGTGTATTTTGTTTTTGTATTGCAGACATGGAATCTTGCTTAAAATTTTAAAATCTAATGAAAACATGCTGGTATACAATTATTAGAAATGATATTATCTCAATTACGATCTATTAGTTTTTAATTTTTCTGGAACTAAATTGCTTCCAAATAGTAAATTATTACGTACGTTATCATCATTAACTTATTTTGAGAATGGAAGATTTTGTTATGGTTGATGAGCCTTTCTGTGTGGATAACATTTTGGTTAACATCCTGATGTCACATGTTAGTGGTCTCGGTTTTCTAGGGAGCGAATCCAGCCCCATTGGCTTCTTTTAATCTTTCATATTGATGACTACATGGACAAAGCATTATTTGTAGTAAATTTGTCAAGTGCTACATAAAATAATAAATAACTCCCGTAGTATGTGTACCAGGTTAGGGTTAGGCCATAATTTTATTCAGATTTTCCTCATTTTAGTTTTATTACGAATTCGGGGACTCTAAATAGCAAGAAAAATTGTTTTTTCCAGGTGATGTTGGTCACTGATCAGAGTTTTTCCCTATTTGCTCGTGGGATGGATTACAGGAGCGTTGTGTATATTACTACAGATAATGGTCAAAGTTTTTCGAAGAGTAAACTCAAGTTTATAATTGATCCTAGTTCTGTCTATTTCAACAAATATGATACTTTGAAGTAAGTAAGACTGAAACTTGTTAGATTGTTTCACTTGTTTTTTTGATAAATCTTAATATTATCCCAGGAGAGAGGAAAGGTAATATGGCTAAAGTGTGAAATTCCGCCTAGCAAAATTCGGAATATATAGAAATAATAATAAAAATGTCATTCAGAGCTGAATATCGAGTTTTCAATCTTTAAAATACTTTGTATAGTTCTAAAAAAATTGCTTATTCATTTATAAGTGAAGTTGCAATTATGGTAGTTTGGAACTATAGGACTTTTAATTGAATGAATTGCTTGTAAAGCATATTCACAAATTAGGTCATGTTTCAAAGTAACTGTAATATTTTAGTGGACAGATTAAATTTTGCAAATGCTATCAAATATATTCAAATACCAAAATTACGGCTTCGTAGAAGGCATAAGTATATATTGCAGATAGGTTTTGGTTTTTATTGAATTCTAAAAACTTTCACTGACTAAAAGCATTTTTTTATAAAATAAAAAATTTATTGCATGAAATTTCATTGTTGAATGGTTTGATCGTATATGTTGTAAAGGTAAAAACATTTGTTAGTTGCTACATCATGTGACCATTACTATGCACAATTATTCCAGTCATATTTACATGAATGTGAAATGAATCATGTGATATTTATGAACTGCTACTCAAGATTGTAAAAATTGAAATTCCTTCCATACATGGTTTGTCTGGTATTATACCAGATTCATTATATGAGCTGGTTAAATTTTAATAATTTGCCACCTTTAATACAATAAGGATTCAGGAATACAAATTCTTTCATATTCAATACCAAAACTGGTAATCTAATTCCAGGGTCATTTTAGAGGTGACATAATGTCAGAAGACATATTTCTGACTCATTGTTCCACTTTGTCAGCTGCTTTGTGGAATGTACTGATACAACATCATTTGCATGTTAGATGGCTGTTTTGCTATCTAAACTAACATATTCAATGAGATAAATCCGAAATATTTGAAAATCTATGTTATTGTATGATACAATTATCATTAAATTGCGTTTGGACTTAATTCTGTTAATAAAATGTATGATATTGGAAATTTAAAGATCTTGAATTCAATGTTTTGTGGTTCTCTTTATGTAGCAAAATTTTTAATTTTAAGTTGAAAAAATATGAGGGGGAAATTTTTAACGATGAAATTTCCAGTAATTATTTGAATTTGTTTGTTGTGATACCTCTTTATTAATATTATTAAAGTTTATCGTGATCATTTTTTTAGAATCTTGGCAATTTCATCTGACAACCATGGCTTGTGGATTTCTTATGATTTTGGTTTGGTATGGCGACATATATCTGATCATGTGATTCAAGTAAGATGGGATCCTACAGATAAAGACACATTTTATTATGCAAAAGATCCAACTGGGAGCATGATTTGTAAGTTATAATTTTTTATCATACAACTTCACTTTCCAATGGTAATCTTCCTAATGCGTAGGCTTTCATGATGTATATTTAAGTAAAAATCTTTTTGGAAATAGGTGTTATTGACATTTATCGATCATTTACGATCTAGTTCATTCCTCCTTATTTTAAGTTTTTTTAGTCCAGGCTATTTCATGTACATGTTTAGCAGTATGTAAAGGATATGATTTACATATTCACTCCGGGGGAGAGGGAAAATTCTAAGTGACTTAATAGTCATAACTGCAGCCAGTTGTCTGTTTACCGGTCCATATTGGGCATGGGGTTAGTTGACCAGTTATTCTGTTCTGATAGATAGGCACGGTGGTGGAGAAAGCCATAACCACCAGTTATCACGTGAATCATCTGATGGCTTGGAGTCCAGCAATCCTCTCACACATGAGCTATTTATTTTCCACATGATTCAACCCTACCCGCATAAGGTGGCAAGTATATTCTTCAGCATGAGAATATAAGTTCTTTTTCTTTTATATATTGTCACTTTAAAACTACTATTTTCATTTTATCATCAGCTGGTGCCTTCAATAATGAATTGTATCGCGGTAAAGCATCGTATATAGAATCAACAAAAATTGCGGAACATATTTATAGCTTTGGTGTTCAAGGTGGATTCATCTTTATATCAGTGGAATTTCTTTCTGTGAGTGTGCATGTTAATACTGTTGGATTAAAATTAATATTTTTGGAATCTAAGTAGTTTATAGAATGTTTGGTACTCCCATAGTATATGTACCAGGTTAGGGTTAGGCCATAATTTTATTCCAATTTTCCTTATTTTAGTTCTATTACGGTTATAACAGACCCGCGGGGGTTCTCGAACCCCAGTTTTGTGAACCTTGCTCTAAGATACACCGTTCTTTTAATTTATTCAAAAGCAAATTAACCAAATGTACTTTATTTATTCATATCATTAATTCATATCCTTGCGGACACCCTGTGCAGTTATTATGACCCGCGGGGGTTCAGGGGGGAGTTTGTGGACTGTTTGTGTTAGCCAAGTGAACATCCCCCCTGCCCATAGGTTTCAGTCCTTTTACACAACTTGATGTAAAGTAGGCGAACAAAATTATTTATCTTCATATTGGTACACACGCTTCTGAAGGATTATTCCTCAATTAAAATTTTTTCTTTTGTATACTAAGGGGTTTATTGAATGTTTTACTTACTAAGTTTTTTCTGTTGTCGGGCTATTGTAGAATTTTCTCTGTATATATTGGGCCATCTATTTCATTTTTTGCCACTATAAATTTTTTCAATTTTTTTTTATAATTTTGTAGCCCAATATTTCACCCCAAGTTTTGCTTTTTTTATTTCATGAAATCAGATGTCATTTGTCATCATGGTATGCACACACTTGATACAGTATTTGGTGCAATCACTTCAATAACATTAGATTGAATATTTTGTGACATTGCCTAGTCGTTTAATATTAATGTTTGTATATTTGACTATCAATGTCTGGTTTATAGCTATGTTACATATATGAAACGTAGCAGATAAATATTCAGCAAAGCAGGTTAAATTTCTTGAATTTATTTTGAGCTAATTTTTTCATTATATCAGCTCGATTACGGTAATTCGTACTGTATCTGGAAGCACAAACGGCGCTCCAGAAGTGTGTGTACCAGTATGGAGGTAACTAATTATGTTTGCCTACTTTACATCAAGTTGTGAAAAGGGACTGAAACCTATGCACAGGGGGTATATTCACTTGGCTAACACAGACAGTCCCCGAACTCGTAATAGAACTAAAATAATAAAAATCTGTATAACATTATGGCCTAACCCTAATCTGGTACACTCACTATGTGAGTACTGATAAATATGCAGCAAAGCGAGTTAAATTTCTTGAATTGATTTTTCATTAAATTAATTTTGAATAATTTGTACTGTAACTCGAAGTAAAAATAACTTACATTACCATATCATTCTCCACAGCACAATGGAAGTAGAGTGATGCATGTGTCAAAAGATAAAGGTGTGACGTGGGATGCGGCTCAGATACCTTTAATAAACAAACAACAGTTTTATTCTTTACTTGACATGTCTGAAGATATGGTATTTGTGCATGTGGATGCAGATGGAGGTAAATAGCCAATTTTCCAAAGTCATTTAGAATTGTTGGTGGTTATCAAGTTAGGAGGGAGATGGGGATATTTTACTGTTTTTGCGGGGGAAATATTGCCTCATATTCGGTGTAATTTTGGTAATATTGTTTATTTATTCAGTATTATTGTAAATTGTAATACATATTTATGGACACATTTTTCACTCTGTAAAAAGCCAGAGTGCTTGTGTATCATTATCCAAGGATCCCTTTGGATCAGGGAATCTCAAAATTTTTAAGCAGTACCCTCTTTTTAGAATTTGTCAAGTCTCTTGCTCCACCTCTAAGAATAACTAGCTTTATGTGCCCTCAAAAAATTGTGGGATGCGCGTGCGCCCTGCTGTTTGTGAACTACTGCTTTAGATTAAATAAATAACGAAAACAGCTCTTATGCATGGTGAGGGAGGAAATAGGCAATGAGAGGAATATATTGAAAAAGTTTGGGCTCAGCAATTTTCACAGCTGCAGAATGTCAGGATTGTTTTGCGTTACATGGGTCATTGATAAATCGAGCCTTAGTTGATTCATGATTCAATTAACGCAATTTAGTTGAATAATAATTTCTGAACTGCTATTATTCTTTAGGTTCAGGTGATGGAAGTATTTATACTTCAGATGAACGAGGTATTATTTATTCAAAATCACTCGACCATCATTTGTATCCAAGTTTAGGAAGCGTGACTGATTTCTATAAGGTATGATATTGAATTATTTTATTGTTCATAACTCAATTTGTTGAATTTCTTAGAATTCATAATATTGAATGATTCGTATGAGCTCTTATATAGGGTTTGTTTGTTATCTTTGATAAATGAATGAATTTTCATTTCCATTTCTTTCTGTTATGAAAATTTGTTTTTTACTAAAATTTCATGTTTTTTATCATTTAATTCATTGGAACGTGGGCCATGTGTTAAATGCTATTCTGCAGCCTGGATCTCTGGCTGATATATTAGTTACAGATGCAGTTATGAGTGTATCCATATTTTTTCAGAATACTAGATTACTCTGGTCGTTTGACCATTCTTCAATGTGGTAAATCTTAACATCTTTTATAATTATAATTGTGAGATTCAGATTCCCATAAATAATATTTTTATGAGAAAGTTTGCTGAAAGTTAGGTCACACTCACTCAGAAATATAGAAGATCGATCTCTGAACAAAGTTATGGGCAACTACTAAAGTGCCAAAAGCCACTGAAATCATTAAACAGTAATTAGCAAAATGACAAAGACCTCCGTATATTTGTGATCACAGTAACAATAGCAAATAATTGAGAAGAAGGCTGGCAATTGTGTATGACATGTTGTTGTAATCTCCTATTCACTTTTATATATTATAGGTTTCTAGTCTCGAAGGTGTTTACATAACATCACAACTCGAACATCAAGGCTCAACTATTCATTCAATGATTACTTACAATAAAGGAGGAACATGGCAAAATATTGATTCGCCAAAAAACAGCGTTTGTCCTCCTACTGAGAAAGTGGTAAGATGAAAATTTCATTGTTTACAGCTAATACAAGTATTGTGTACTAAACTGCAAGTCCTTTCTCCTTGTTTACTTTCTACTTCGGATCTATATCTGTCAGTTGCCACAAGGATGCTTGAACAAGATAGTATTATCAAAATAAATCAGAAAAACATAATCTCTTTCCGAGAAAGTTTTCTTCGTTCAGCTCCATAGCTAGTTCAAGATTTTTTTGGGTTTCATTTTTGAAACCTTTTTTTTTCAGAATATTTCTTTAGTTCTAATCTCGGACAGTTTTAATCACAGACCAGAATTTTTTGTAGACTTTGGGTTAATAATCGTCAACTTGGATTACTTCATGCCAGAGGCACACCAACCTTCCCGAAGTATTCAAATTGTTTTGTTTTGTTTTTCAGTGCTTTCTTCAAATTCACAGTTTGTTTAGTCGATCAAAAGGTGTAGCAATACCTGAGTTTCCTAAATCTTCTGCCAGTGCTACTGGAATCATCATTGCTCATGGAAATATAGGTAGAATAGTAATCTTCTTAAATCTTTATAAGACAATGTCTAATTATTAAAACCAACATATGGCCATATCTGACATGGTGCTGCAAGGTTGCATGACAAACTTCCTATGTGTCATCCAATTTTGTTTTGTACTGTATACTTTAGTGTTTTTATATTGGTATTTACCACACTTTCGCTAGAAGTGAATAAAGAGGTATGTGCTAGAAATGGGGGGGGGGGGGATATGCTGGATTTTTTCAAGTTCCCGATGCCTACCCAATTTGACTACTTTTTGGTTTAGGATGGAGGCATTGCATTTAAACCAGACGTCTTGAACTGTGATGCCGACACTTTTATTATATCTGAGCCGACACTTTTATTATATCGGAGATAGATGGAACAATTACTATTTTGAATTAAATTTACTGTTATAAAACTTTGAGAGAGCGTAATGCGATTACTTATGAAATTCTGAAAATTTGATTCTAGAATAAACTTTATAATTTTCATTTTTACCTTTTATTATACATTCATGTTTTTACAACAGGCGACGCATTGAATTTTAATACTCCCGATGTATATATTTCAAATGACGGTGGATATTCATGGCTTCAACCTCCACATTTGAAAGGTCCTCAATTCTATGCTATTGGAGATTCTGGTGGATTGTTATTTGCCGTCAACTATTCAAAATCGGTTCCTACTAACGTTATAAAGTATGATTGGTTAGATGTATTGAATATACTGATATTCAGGTTTTGTTTGATATTGCCCAAACAGGAAGTAAAATAACTCGAAAGAAAAATTGGGATGGTTTGATTATTCACTCTTTCATGTAGGTATCGATTATAATAATTCTGTGACTGTGAATAAGAATTGCCCCAAATGACAGAATTCGGTTTATTCATAAATTAAGAAAATGCTACATTTTTCAAATTACTGTATTCGATTTATACTTAGCTACTGTTCCACAAACCTCTTGTATGTATGTATGTTTATTTGCCTCAAAAATGTTACAGGAGCAAAACTCCTAGGAACACTCCTCTTCGGAGCAAAAAATTGTGACTAAATTGGTCGTCATGGCGATCTCGGTCATACTTCGGCGACAAACAGGCATACAGGCCTTGCTATCTAAACAAGTGGACAGGCCTTGTGCCCGTTTGGGAAGTGTGGAGTTTTCGTTAACTGTTCACTATCGCCGTAGACTAAAATTTTTGGAACTAACCACACAGCAATTTTACCTTAATTTCTTAGACACTTTACTAGTCAAGGTCAGGAATTCAAAATATGAAGTTTATCTTACATGTGTACCCGTATTTGAAACTTTGTATATGTTTTACCCAATGTTGGGTGAAAGTCCCTAAACCTTGTGTTGTGAGTCAAGTCAATAACGAGTATCATAAGAGTCTCGAGTTGATTGAATCACTGAATCAACTAGCAGTTAATTGATGAGAAGTTCAAGTCATTCCATTTAGCCACATTCTCAATAAATGGTGGAATTCACTCACAAAAAATTTTACATGAAATTTACTCTCAAAAAGCCTTTCGGCGCTGTTTAGATGTAGGTTTGAAGTTTGTCCAAGTGAAATATTTTGTGGGTTTTTCTTAATGAAATTTTCATAGAATACAAAATGCATTCTCTTTTACTTTCCACAATCCAACTCATACAAGAGTATCTTATCATTCAAAATCTTAATGAATAGGCTCTTGTTTTTCTATTGCTCAACAACACTTTACACTGCCACTCAATCAAATGTTCACTTTTTATTCAGATATTCTATGGATGAAGGCCAATCATGGGAAGAATACAAATTCGTAGATTCGCCTATCCTAGTAACAGGCCTTTCCGTTGAACCAGGTTCACGTAGTACAAGCTTAGGTTTATGGGGATGGGATAAGAGTGGTGATGGAGCATGGAGATCTATTACTATGGATTTCTCAGCTATTATGAAGAAACCTTGTATGATTTTTTTTATCACTATATCAACTTGATTTATGTTTATATCGAAGGTTTATAGCAGGGGTAGGCAAGGTGTTTGAACCAGGGGCCAAAAATTTTCTCCACCTAGACTGGCGGGCCATGTAAGTGTATTCAAAACAATCCTATTGCGTTTCATAAAGTTTATCTAGAGAGAAAAATGATTCCTTCAATACCAAAACATTATTATAGTAATTTTAAACAATTGTTGAGCAGATTTGGATTCACTGTGATTGGAATAAAATATCTAAATGATTTTTTTAATATATCCAGTTATTAAGACTTTTAGCTATTAAAAAAATTCTCATATCTCCTGAGTTTTATTATTTTGAAGTTTTGTGCTTCATCATTTTCTAGGTCAAAAGAGTGATTATCAAGACTGGAAAGCTCATGAATCGAACAAAGAATATGGAGAAGATAGTTGTCTTCTAGGTGCTGATGTGATTTTCAATAGAAGGAAGAAAGGTACTGTTTGTATCAATGGCAAACAATATCAGAATGCAGTAACGTTGAAGCCATGTCAATGCCAGAAGACAGATTATTTGTGGTAAATATGGCAACTTCGTTTAAAAACTATTTTCATTTTTCTTGTTTTATATCACAGGATAGTTATGGTAAATTCCTGAACTTGAACATGCTTCATGCAACTAATGGCGGACATATAAAAGTGTATTAAAATGAAATGGAAACTTCAGTGAACACTCATTAAAATAAAACAAACCTGGTTTTGTGACAAACGAGAGAATTATTCTTAATTATATTATTAAGATTGGAACCTGTTCAGGATAATGCACGGTTTCTTGACAAGAATGAAACAATGCATGTCCCATTTGTGACTATTTCTTTCTAATTGATTTATCAGAAAAACCCAAGTTTGATTTCTTTTCATTGTGTTTTTGCTTATGTATCTGATCACTAAATAAACCTCAAAACTCAGATGTCAAAACTAATATTTTTGTGTGCTAATTAAACGCCATCATGTTTGTCTATATTGTCTTATATTATGTGTTCTTTGAAAAGATTCAAAAATCGCTTCTATTTGCACAGTGATTATGGTTATGTTCGAGAAGGCTTCGATTGTGTCAGGGATGGAGATTTTCAGGCAACACATATAGATATTTGTAAGAAAGATCAAGATGAAATCATAAAAACAAAAGGTTACCGAAAAATACCAGGAGATAAATGTCAAGGCGGTTTCACTCCAAATTCACAAGTCATTCCTTTGCATAAAAAGTGTAAACCTGTGAGTATTATTTGATAATTTACTGATCATTTTCTGTGGCCCACTTTTGTTGCACGAAAAATCATGTGGCCCATTAACCTTCTTATGCAAGGAGAAAACTACAAGAAAAACAGCATCATCATTCATTGCTATGACAATCAATTTCAACTAAAATTATGTAGCAATTTTTAATAGCTTGAAAATGATTCTTTGGCCCAGCTGTGATCTAGACTCACTACCCGATGTTGCATGAATGAAATGTGCTATGCTGCATTTGAAACTCTTGTGAAATTCATGATGACATGTATTGGAAATTTTATAAAATTAGTCTTTGCTTCAATATTAATTGTTTTTGCTTATTATATCATAAAAAAATTTTTACCAAAATAATTCAAAATTCAAAAAAATCTTTCAGAGTGAAGAGAAGAAAGATGATTTTGGTGTCGATAAGGATAATTTTTCACAATATCATCCACCTGGAGAAACAAAGAAATCGACATCTCCAGGAGTAATAGTTTTCTTGGTATTTGTTGTCGTTGTTCTCATCCTTGCACTTGTATATATTGTCAGAAAACGTCAAATGAGGTAACTTGATTTTAAATATGTTTTATTGATACACTAACTAGAAAAATGAATTCTATATGCACATGAAACTTTAACCAGATATACCCTTTGAAGAAGTTATTGAGAATATAGAATATATATTTCAATTTGTATCAGTCTGCCAAACATGTTATAACTTATATTATATACAAGTTTTGTTTGTTTTTATCGGGTGGTCTATAATCATAGATAGTATAGAAAACATCATAAAGGCACTTACATGAATATGCGCTGAGTTTCACTCAGTTGTTAAGCATTGTTTTTTATTGTGTTTCTGCCTAGTGGTTTCCCAGATAACTGAGTATATTCAGTTATCGATTAGGTTTCTGCGGGACAAACTACAAATATTTCCTCTCTCATAATCTTTAACATAAAAAATTTTAATTATTGTTTTAGTGGAAAACGAGTAAAGTATGTTCCGTTACCAACATCTGAACATGCAGCGAGTTATGGTACTGGAGCAGAATCGAACTCACTTATGGATGTGGAAGATGGTGCTGTGAATGGTACAACGCCTCGTCCAAATGGAAATAGTAGCATTTCATATCATGATGATTCAGATGAGGTATGATTGACAAATATCATTTTTGTTGCGTGGCCTTGTTACATTACATTTAATTTCTCCAGAAATTACCTCAAAGTCACTTATTTACCATCAACAGTTTTGAAATAGTAATATGGCTTCACCTAGAAAATAGATGCTGTGATACTTCCATATATGCCATTACTATTGAGCAATACTTCAATGCCAAATACAAGATAAACAATGAAATTTACTAGAAAGTAAAACCAATAACTTTCAGGTTTTTGTTGAAAAAACAGGCGACAATAAAATTATTATGCGATCCAGATTTAGGTCACGACCCACAGGTTGGGAAACAGTGGCATAGACTTCTAGGTTGTAAGAGATTGGTGTTCATATGTTTGAGATTGGTCCTTGATTAACATTATTTTTTTTTCTGTTTTTAGGACATGTTGATTAGTTGATGAGATAATAGTTGTGTATCCGTCCGGCATTTGTGCAGTACTATCGTCTTCTCAGCCAATAGATATTGTCGCTGTAGTAGAAGAGTTAGATTTTGTTCACTGATATTATGCAATGTATATTTATTTAATTTTGCTTGAAAATATTCTTCACCAAAGCCCAATACTGTCATTTCAACAACCTTGACATACGTGCTTTTCAAGACATTACCCCACATCACATGTGCCTTTTTGATGACAAATGAGTGGGCAGTCTCTTGAAAAACATAAATGTTTGAAACAATGCCTGCAGTCTTGGAAGAACAGGCACCTATAGTAATTATTTTTTTGGAACTCCCGTAGTGTGTGTACCAAGTTGGGGTTAGACCATTATTTTATTATGATTTTCTTTATTTTAGTTCTGTTAGAGTTCCATGTTAGCCAAGTGAATTTACCCCTTGCCCATAGCTTTCCATTCCTTTACACAACCTGATGTGGAATAGGCGAACAAAATTAGTTACCTCTATATTGGTACACAAACTTCTGGAGCGCCTATTTTTTGATCTATCTGAACACAAAGATTTATATTAAGTAGATTTGATTCTTCATCTGTGAAGGGTCGTGAGTTTTGAATAGATCGTTAAAAGTTGGACACAAAGTAATATTAATGTACTACAGGGGTGTGAAAATCTGCCAAATGCGGCCCACAAGGAAAAATTGTGGGGCCCACGGGGAAGTGCCAATTTGGAATCGCGTGCAGCTCACGAAATGAGTTTTTAATTTAGTTTAATCTGGTACGTGCTAGTATTCCAATCCCTTGGCCTCGCAAAGCCTATAACACAGAGTCCATTTATTATCTATGATGTTACAGTTTCCTTTTTGTGCCTGCAGCTAATAGAAAGCCCAATATCTTGGATAAAGGTGCGGCCCACGGTTTCAACCAGTTATTTGTATTTGGCCCCGCTGTATTAAAAGTTGCACATTCCTGATGTAATATATTGATTAAGCAGTCTTGCCAGAAATATATGGAAATTGTCATTTATTTTGTAATTATTCTTGCTATTGCATTATATGTGCTTTGTGGTGGCACACAGTCGGGCAAAGTTGAAATATGTTTTGGAGAATGTTCAACTATCCTTATTTACTCAAAGAAATATGTTCTACTTTTTTCTATATATCTATTTGAGTTTTGATTAGACTATTCTCAGCCCAAATATACCCTTCTGGATCATGGAACCCTGTCCGAGTTTCTCAAAGTCTTTTTTCAAATGCTTCTCAAAGCTTTTTAATTTGACTGAATTCAGTAAATATTTCTATTATAGTTAACATGGTAGGTAGAATGCAGTTCTGCTGCAATTTGGTCTACATGCAAGCTCGTAATCTAATCGTGGTCACCCATATGTTACTGCACTCAAGTTTATGTTTATGTGTTTTTAAAGAATTATTAAATTCGTCGCAGTTGACGTACTTGCATTACCTCTCGTTTAATTTTGTGCAGGTTCAAGTTTTATGGTTTTCTACCATGTGGTTCCTTAGTTTCTTCATTTGCAGTGTTTATTGGTTCAACAAAAATTTTCAAATAATAATATTTGCTTGGTCATGGCGTAGCATGACAACCATTACCGGTACCCTGTATCATTAATTACCCATAGTATTAAGATATGATCTGTACTGAGCTATTTCATTAGTTATATTCACAATTTTGGTATTTGAAATGTGGTGCTTGTGAAGAACTTTTGTTTTTTTTTGTGGCCTTCCTACGAAAATATAATGCTATTGATAGAGGCTGCTGTGAAAAAGGTGATGTCGGAGCAAAAGTTTTTGTTCTGTTAAGACTTTAGAGAGATTTCCTTGATAGATGTTCCCCGACCAAGACCTCAGAAAAATTCTCCCTATACTTTACTATTGAAAAATTTTGAATGCTCACTTTGCGGGTGTTTTAGAGAGTTGATACTTACAAACTGATTTACATGCTCCAAACCATCATGTTCAACCTCGTGCCGCTTACACGTACTAATAGGTAATAGCTAATTTTGACCTAATCTATCGCAGCTTTTCCGAGACTAATTTTTGATTACTGAAAACTGACGAAAAACGAGGCAATGTTTACATCCATGCGTGAATATTTATCTGAACGAAGTGAAGTGTATGAGCGGCTGAAAAAAAAATAACAACTGTTACGTCACCGTAGACTTTTGCTGAATGGTCATTGTTACGAAAATCGATGCTCGGGGAAACATCCATTGGGATTGAAATTAGAAGCATCGTCGAACTGCAAAAATCAATGATAAACAAATTAGGATGAAATGTTTTTAAATAAACTACCACTAGGCGTTGTGACGCAGTGCGTCTTCATTCAGTGACTATAATGGATTGGGATTGTTGATTTGCTGAAGAATAAATAGTACTCACATCGGACTATTCCCCTCATTCAACAGTCGTTGTCTAGTTCTAGTACAGTATTCATCTCGGCCTCACCATTTCAATATTCTCGTTGTTGTTAGGAATCGGCGTTATGGACCGCATGGATTCGCCCGGCAAGACATATGCGACACTACGATTGGACGCCACTAAACACAAATGCATACCCCAGCACCTGGCTTAAAAATATTCCGACTTTCGACATCGGAAAAATTCATTATTTACCATTCAACTTAACAGTATACAAATCAATCCAAAAACACGAGAGCAATGCTCAAATATTTGGACACGGGAACTAAAACGAAATAGCACCGGTATCGAATACGTAAAGGTACCGTCGTCTTCCCGAATTCGACTGAATCGCAAAGCCGGAACCGCCACAAAACGAATCCCAAAATCCCAGAGAAATAAATGAGCGTAATAGTCTTCTAGCGACAACAACAGTCTTTAGTCATGGAAAATTGGCCCAGTAGTTAAAAAGGAAAACGATTTTATCACAACAAGAATATCAACATAATAACAAAACGATCCATAGGCCCATTTCGTGTCTAATCAATAGATTAGGTCAGGGTGGTCCAAACCCAGGCCCGCGGGCCACATGTGGCCCGCCGCTTCATTATCTGTTGCCCGCGTCACATTCCGAAAGTAAGCAGAAAATCGCATTTCGTGTTGTTTCGTAATAAAATTAATCAGAAAAATCTTTCGACATATTGTTACATCAATATTGTCACTGAATGAACTAGTGTTATTGCTATCTGAGGCAACTAGCGAAGTTGAATGATTTGCTTGGCAGTCTAAATTATTATCTGGCTTTCTATCTTTTTGGTTGGGAATATATGCTTACAATATAGGCATCATAGAAAACTAAAAATCGAATGCGGATTCCATCAGCCTGGAATGGCTATGTATGATAACTATGTGTTTGCACAATAGAAGTGTTTGTTTTGTATTGCATTGTTTACCTATTCTTAGCACTATTGTGGCCCGCGAACAATGCAGAAATAATTTTGTGGCCCGCGGAGCCGACAACCTTGGACCACCCTGGATTAGGTTGAAACTTTCTACGACATAATTATATGCGAAAGATTATCGCACTCGTCGCCCATATGTCGGTTCATGTAATCAGCCTATTTTACATCAAGTTATGTAAAGGGACTGAAACCTATGAGCAGAGGGTATATTCACTTGGCTAACACAAACAGTCCCCGAACTCGTAATGATGAAAATCGGAATAAAATTATGGCCTAACCCTGACCTGGTAAACTACGGGAGTTCCATTCCCTCTATATGAAGTAAAAATACAATTGTAATATTTAAATATTGGTTGATGTGGTACGACTAATAAGTGACAGACATTGAAGCAAGTAATGAAAGTGCATAGTTTATTATTTCAATTTTTGCAATCATCAGATTTTCTCTCACAAATGTAATTAGCATAAGTGTAACAGTCCACGTCGTTCCAATCGAAGTTGGTAGAGTAACGAACACTTTTTGGCCATGCTGACGTCATCTTCACGCATCCTTCCGATTTTCTGAAAAACAAATTGATTAATTACACATTGCTCACGAACGCTTGTAAAATATGTTGGAATTTGTACCTTACTTATATAATAGGAACGGCAATGAAATTCATCAATTTTGAAATTCACTATGTATGCTTGTCCATGGGAATGGGAATCCCATGGGATGGTACGGCACACATTTCTATTCCTCGCGAAACAGTAGCCATGTCGCAGCAACTTGAATACGTCAGAGTGAATCTTAATCTTCATACTTTTTTTTACCTTTTAAATGTTTTTACTCTCTCTTGTATCTATTGTTTATTTTGTGGTAGGACAACGACAGGGTTGTCCATGGGAATGGAATCCCCATGGTATGGGACAGAAAAATATGTCCCATGGACAAGCCTGGATATTTATAATTGTAAGGTATATAAATAAAGAAACAGTTCGAGCAATCTGGCATACTGGCCAAAAACTATTTTAGTTTCAGTCAGGGATGTGGAGTTGGAGTCGTTATTGCCAAACTCCTCCGGAGTCTATTCTTTGCAAAATAAATAGCTGTTTGACAAATTTTCTCTGTTTTTAAGCGACCACCCATAGTTTATGTATATATATATTTCTTACCTGTAGTTATCTGGTTGCTTGTGAAGTCCGTCACGTTCAAACCATCTGTGAAATTCTCCCAATGAATCTCCATCAGCCCACACAAAGTCTCCATCTTTAGCAGACAATCCTATCCAAGCGTCCGGAAGATTTTTTAATTCCATTATTTGCTGAAAATGAAATTAACATAAATTGACGATTAAGGCAAAAGTAACTTGGACGTAACAACAGCACACTGGACGCAATCATAGTATTATTTTAATATAATAATATTATTGTTTAAAGCTAATCGACCAAATAATTGTTTTAAAACTACCTTAAAATTGAGTTTTCGAGGTGATCCATTGTGATACTAAATTATATATATATTACCTGTAAAAACTGGTGTTTTCTGATTGTATCAACTTTGACCAGCTGACCACCTGCCAATTTGCAGTTTTCTTCTGCCGCTGACCATGTCTGATTTTCACAGTGAAATGTATAACAGATTCCATCCAGTGACGCATATTCAACTTTACAACATTCTGCAAAATAATCAAAATCGTTAAACCGATGCAAATAATTGACCGTGATCGCTTAACAAGGCATTTGTTAAAAAACTTAAATTTCAAAAACTATAATTTGTTTCGAAGACCCGAAAACTAAAATTGTTTCCCCGCTTGAACGAAATTAATAAAATTTAATATAGCAGTTTTTCATGTTGAAGAATATCGTTCCACTTAAAAGAATGAAAGAAGTTTTACCAAGCTTCCACTAGTGCATAGACCACCCTTGTCAGTTATTTAAGAGCATGTAGCACATTCACTTTACATAACCTAGCAAAACCTCGGTCACATTGAAATTGGGCATGATTAGTGCATCGCTAACTATTACGAACAATACATGTTCGTGGAATCTTTGTCTAATATTTAAATAAGTTACCCTTCTCGTTGATAATTTTTTGTGGACACTGCCTTCCTCCGTTTTTGGACGGAATTCCTACAATGACTTTTTGAGTTCTCTTCCCATTATATCCGCATGTACTCCAAGCGCTCCATGACCACTCACAATCCACTATGGAAAGAAGATTTGGTTACAGATATTTCAATTATTGCGCCTCATTTAATGCCTCTTAATACTGCATTTGATATCAATTCTAATTATATATACATGTTTCTACAAAGGTAAAAATGTCATTGAAATTATGATAGTTATGTCAAGTTAAAAAAGTTGTATCCGAGAATTCCAGTCTTAGATAGCTGTACTTCTACGGCAACGGTTGAAAGTGTTAAAATTAAATTGGAAGGTAACAAATGCAGAGGGCCAAGAGTTGATTCTACCTAAATTCATATTCGATAAAATGAGCCATATTACTTGAATGTCATTGGGTAAAAATGATAAAATAAAATAGTTACTTTTTGTTATATATTTATGCCAGATTCGTAACGATGTGTAACATCAAATATATATATCAACAAAATTTACCAGGACAAGCAGCATCTGGTCCGATCCAAGTTCCTTTATCCGTACATATCTTTTTGTGCTGCCATGCATGAGCGGACGCTTTATAATTATTACAGATTGTTCTGCATTCAGAACCAACCGGGAAATCGCCGTCCTCGAGTTCTCCCGGGGAACAGACCAAAGTGTTGCCATCGTGATTGGGTAATTTCGGGCAAGTAATCCCTGATAAATTTAATAAGGTTTAATCACAGCATTAAATTTTTGGCTCATTCCTGTTTCATGTAAACGGCGTCAAATTTTTATTTCCAGCTCAAAAGGGCATTGCATGCACCGGCTTGTCGCATATATAGCCGATATGTTATGGAGTAAGGAAAGAAACGAGTGCTAGGGTCGTCGATGTATTTATTGATCGAGTCGGAAGGATCTTTGTCTTATTCTATAGCACAGTTGGGTGGATGTATGTGTATTTTTATCTAACGATAAATCGAATAGGAGGAGAAACTAAATCCTACGAGCGTTCTTACGTCGACACATTCCATCCATATCTGTCCATCTTCCAGTTGAATCACAATTCGTTTCAAATATTTTTCCTTCAAGTCTATAGCCTGTCATACATTCGAGTCGACAGAATGTTTGATACAATGAATTTGTTTTAATCTGTTGGCATTGAAACTCTCCATTTTTAACCGTGGGAGGCACCGAGCATGTTACTGAAAAGAAATACATAACCATATATATACTATTTGTATACGACTATTATTACCGCCATTCGCTATAAGCATCAAGTATCCACCGATGGTACTCCTGAAGTATGCGCACCAAGATGTCGCACAACCTGAACCCTAAACTGGTACACAACCCGAGTTCAGGCTGTGCGCCATCTTGGTGCGCATACTTCAGGAGGTCCACCACCGATATCTAATAATATATATGTAAAGAGCTATTTTTTTTTGAATGACCGAATAGGCATATCCTTCCATTTTGTTGCCCTCCGGGGGTTAGGCATGGAGTTTAAACCGAAAGTGTGTAATTAGCAATGACAATCTAGATAAGACTAAAGCTTAACTCCAATTAGATTTTATCTTTCATTTTGCTATTGTTACAACTGTACGCATAGCAATATTCAGCCAATCATCAAAAAAGTATCAGTTTTTTAGTTGGGTTAGCGTTCCTTCAAAATGTCAACGCACACACACGAAAACACACATAGGAAATTTTAGTACATTATTCAACTTACCAACACAGGTCGTTTCTTCTCCTGACCAAGTCCCGTCTGTTTCACAGGATCTAATTTCATCTCCATATAATGAAAACCCCGGGAAACAACTTGTTTTGCAAGACGTTTTTCCTGCAGCTGAATTGTCACCAACACATTCTATTTTCCCGTTTAATGGTGTTTGGAGAACTGGACATGTTGTCGACACTACGTAAGCGAGGCACATAATTAATAAAACACTTGTATCTTATCATATATATATATTACATATTTATAGGCAAAATATATTTTCACTTATATTGGAGTTACAGTCAGATTTCAAATAAATGAGCCGTATGAATGGTTATTCAAATGTAGTGATGTAGCATAGGACAGCCTCTAAATCAATTTACATACAATCAAAATCTAGTCTGTAGTTACATCAGTATGGCATATCATGTATTGTGAGGCGTTCACATCTATCCTACATGTTAAATAAGAGAGTAAACATTTCACTATCTACAAATAATTTTTTACATTTCCAATCACGCTGTCTGGAAAAACGTAGAAGTTGAAACTTACCGACACATTTGGAACTTTCTCCAGACCATATTCCTGAGGTGTTGCATAGCCTAACATCTTGTCCAACTAATTGATAACCAGGATCACAGGTGATTCTACATGCAGATGTGTAACCATCAATCTCAGCTATATCAACACAACTTATTGATCCGCGTGGTGGAGGTTGCGGTGGTTCGCAAGTAGCTGTAGAAGGGATAAATGGAAAATAGTTTTTTGAACATGTGTTTAAATCATTACAGTTCATTACTTACAAATGATACCTCTTTATTAAATATCATCATAGGCAGTGAAGAGATTCATTGGCTAATTTAATACATAAACTTTCTACAATTACCAAAAGTTTTCTTTCTTGGGCAATTTGTACGTTGAGTATGCTTATTAAGTAAGCAAGGGATGTGCAACCTGCAGTGCAGGGTGTGCAAATGCGGCCCTCAAGGAAAAATTGTGCGGCCCGCAGAGAAAGGCCAATTTAGAATGATGTACGGCACGCGGAACAACTTTTTAATTTAATTTGGTACGTTCAAGTAATTCCAATCTTTTGTGTTGCGGAGCCTATACCTTAGTCCAACTTATTATCTATGCATATATGGCTTTACAATGTCTTAACAGCTAACTTGTGCGACAAAGGCATGATATATGATTAATGACCAAAATTTTTGTGCCTGCAATTACTAGATAGCTTATGTTAGTTAAATGAAGGTGCGGCCCGCGGTCTTATCCTGTTATTTCTATCTGGCCCCCCTGTAGTGAAGGTTGCACACCGCTGAAGTAAGCCACTGGACGTAACGACCATTAAATTTGTCGAATATTTCAACTGTGTTAAACAATAAATCCACAAATCGAAACCAAAGTTTAACAAGAATCACGGATGTACTCAAACAGCGCCAGAAAACTCAATCAAAGCAGATTCGTACATGACATTTATATAAATAATACTCGGAAGATTGTTGTTCTAATAAATGGTTGACAACCTGCACATAGAGCTGGCGTGGCGTCCCATAGATGGGGATAAATTTAAAGAAAAAGATCTTTTTGGAAGTATGTTCAAACTAGTACATCAGTGTAACTGTAGTGTAGAAACTATTGGACAGTTCACGTACAAGCTCTTTATCTGAGATTCGAAAAACTAATGATGTACTTGAACAGCGCCAAAAAACGAACCAGCAGCACTCTTTAACAGCAGATTTGTACTCGACTTTTATACGAAGAATACTCGTAAGGTTTTTTATTAAATGGTGGAAGTATTGCCGACCTGCGCATAGAGCTGGTGTGCCGTCCCATAATCCGCTGTCAAGGCAATTTCTTCTTGAAGAACCCATGACCATTTCGAAACCAGGAAAGCATTCAACATCGCAGTGTGTACCAATCCATTTTGTTTTGAAGTTTGGAGTACATATATATCTTCCATTCAAAGGTGGTTTTATATCTTCGCAAAAGCTTGCTGTAGTGGAAAACAGATATGTAAAAAAAAATTAAAACAATTTAGTTACTAAAACTGTACTGAAATACCAATACAAACATATTTGGATATAGGATATTCGACGATATAACAGCTGAAAACTATGGTTATCACACCTAAATATTTATTGAAAATAGCGGTTTCGGTAATAACGGTTATTCAAAAAATGAATAGCAAAACTTGCCTGTACAAATGGGAGCATAACCAGACCATTGACCGTTGTCAAGACAATATCTCACTTCAGGACCGTTCAAACTCAAACCGAACATACAGGTTGTGTGACATTGAGAATCAAGTCCACTTTCTCCATCGGGTCCGAAGCATTCAACAACTCCATTGTTAACTTGGAATGGATGGCAACCAATTTCTGTCATAAAACATAGACATTAGCTACATTTGCTACAAAAATACACCTTAACTAACTCATTATTTCAATGTTTCCAGCCGTGGAGAAATTCTTTCCCAGGGAGAATTTTGCTATGCATTCGCTGTACTATTACTAATATACTTAGTTTTTTTTCATTATTACTACTAAATACTTTTAATGAACATATAATCAAACCATTAATCGTACAAAAATCTGCGACTCGCGCATAACATTAGAAGTGGATCTATTGAAGTTCGAACAAATAAGTAAGTTTTATGCACTGCGAGGGGAGATAAGAGTTCAGAAAGAAGCAAAATGAGGAATTTAACAAAGAAAAGTTAGGGAAATGCACTATTTGATTACTTTTTTCACAGATATTATCCAATGCTGGATACCACGATGTTGATTTTCCATTTCTCTCAAGATCGCACGATGTGAACGTTGGACCATTGCTTATATACCCAACCTCACATTGCAAATTACAAACAGTTCCCAGAAAGCAGCCTGTTTCATCACACTGAACAAAAATATAAAAATGAATATTTAATTTGACGCGGAATTAGTGAAGCTATCTTCACGAATCACTATTACGTGATAAATTTGCAAATAGGTAAGCACTTACCTCTTCCAAACATGAAATTTTTCCGTTCGGAACTTCTCCAAGTTCAGGACAAAATAAAATGTCTAAACTTCTTCCGAAATTAGAAACGTCCACTGCTATGCATCTACAAATAATTGTGAACAGGTCATTGGCGGATTATACGGGGATGCAAAAAAAAGTGACGGTGAAAGTGAATATATATATGTCTTCACAATGCATACAGTATTTAAAAACAGAAAAATAACCACTCATTACAGTCAAGACTATTAATTTCGATAAATTTGAATAGTTGTCATATTTTTAATAAGTTCAATCGATTGATTCAATTGCACCATGAATAATTATTTTGACTTTCGATTAGAACAACTTTACCTTGCATAACTTTGTATTCAAATAAAAATTTATTGCAATCGAAAAAAAATGTGAGATTGTCCACCGAAGTTCAGACATAATTCACAGTTTAAAACGAAAGTTATGCTTCGTGCATTGTTTGTTAAATTTCACAACGTGGTCGGTACATATCTACGCAATTTTATCAACTTGTGATCCCTATTTTACCTTGGTACAACATTTGACCACGATCCATCTTTATCGCATGTTATATTGGAGAGACTCAAGTCAGAAATCAAATATCCCGAGTCACAAACAACCTGACATATTTCATTCTGGCCGTTTCCTATACATTTAAGATATCCGTTCTTTGGAAGATTCATCGGAGGACATTCGATTTCTGAAAAATGAAGAAAAAAAAGTCGATTTCCACATTTTACAAGTACAATATGTCATAAAACCTGATCCAGTGTCTATACTACGAATAGCTAGCAGAATTTGCATGCTCGACTCAACAAACTTGTCGAGAACAGCGATGTGATTTCATTTGCAACCAAAGTTTTTTTTTAAATTGTATACGATTGGAAGGTATAAAAATTGGATGAAAATTTTCACCATATAGAATAAACGCTATACTATTGTTGTCTTACCCGTACATGTCACTTCTCTTCCTGTCCAAGTCCCATTAGCCAGACAAACTTTAAGTTTATCACCTGATAATTTATATCCAGAAGAACAGCTAATTTTGCATGACATTTCTCCTGGTACTGAATTGTCTCCAATGCATTCTATTCTGCCGTTTATTGGCGATCGAAGAGTTGGACATACGGTTGAAGCTATAATTTCAGAAAGTATTTCACTTAGAAATATTTCGGGTGGATCCGCATGGTTAACTTTTTTATTAATTGAAATAGTTGTAACTTGACATATTATAACAAAATGTTGTATACTATGATAAAGTGTGAAACATTTTCAATCAAGCATTTACATGTGCAAATAAAGTTATATTCTAGATTTACGTTCAGTGATTTGTTCCTATTTAGGATATGTTGAATTTTGCTATATAGCAGAATATTACAGTTGAGTTTATTTTAAATTTCATTCTGTGAACTTCTGGATCAATAGTGATATTCTTCTAAAAAAGTCTATTTTTTACAGTGAACACCAAAATTTCAGGGACTCCATCAAGAATAAGAACTCACGTAAGCATTTAGAATCTTTTCCAGACCATATTCCTAATGTGTCACAGTATCTGACATCTTGTCCGATGAGTTGATACCCGTCGTCACATGTAAATCGACATGCCGATTTATATTCACCCACTTCGTCTGTATCCACGCAAGTTATCGAGCCGTTTGGTGGAGATTTTAGCGGTTTGCATGACGCTATAATAAGGAGATATAAATGAAAGTATAAAAAATTACAATATGGTTATAATATACCCATGAACATGAGTCAATTCAATGATGGAAGAAAATTCTTATACAAGGACTTTAAACATACACGGACCTGATACATACCTGTGCATGTTGGCATATCATTCGTCCACTGCCCATCGTCACCACAAACTCTCAAAGCAGGGCCTGATTGCAACAATCCATACATACAAGTAATGTAACACTCAGAGCCGATGCCTGCCTCACCAGCTGGCCCAAAACATTCGACAACAGCATTCTTTACTTTGAAAGGCGTACAAACAACTTTTTCTGAAAAAAAGATAATCATTACATTTTATGCAACTCGATTTAAAATCAGATTAAAGCAATATTTTTTGTCCATGTTAATTCCTTCTCCTCTCCTAAACCAGGCTCTTAATAACACACACTCGATTAGTATTCAATATGAAAAACAAAGAGCCTTGGAATACATTTTAGACATAATGTGATAGCTATACTTCATCACATTAATTCTATTTTAATCGCAAACCTTCGCAACGTGTATGTTCTAACAGCGGAATCCATCTTGCCAATGTTTTCTCCCCGGGATCGCATGAAGTGGATGTTGGACCTTTGCTTGAATATCCATCTTCACATTGTAAATTACATTCAGTTCCCAAAGCACAGTTGCCCTCATTACACTGCAAACAATACAAATATATCTTAGAATAATAAGTTATTGAACACGAGGTGGTGTCTAGATCGTTTTGCTTAGCGTTGTCGTTGTTATGGACCGATGGATGTAAAAATATTGGTACTGGAAGGAAATTCGTCATATTCGAAATATTTTTAAATATTTGTCCGAGTCTTAGTAGATCCAATATTTCACCCCAAATTTCATAACTTGTTTTATTTTAATTCATTCATCCAGGCACGGTTTTTACTCCGGTATGAGTGACCGTCACGAGTCACGACTGCCCCGCGTTTTGATTTTGCGAATTCTATGTTCGGTCACATTCCATGTGAATCGCGTAGTCTGCAGATTCTGCAGCTAGGTTATGGAACCTTCATGTCCATGTATTTGTGCATTGCTTTTTTGCATTATTAAGTATTATGTCGTCAGTGGATCTTACCTCTTCAGAACAAGTTATTTTGCCGTTCGCAATGGATTCGATTTGAGGACAGCCTATAACTTCACCACTTCGTCCAAATGCTGTTAATCTGACGCATCTGAAAACGAGTGTAGAATAGGCTTAAAAGCATTGCGATCAAACTATTAAAACTTTATCTAATAGGAGTCGGGAGATGAAGCTGTTGATTCAGGATTTAAAAGAGTTGTGTATAAAATATACGGTACTACTTAGAAACTGCAAGAACGTCAAAGTTCAAATTTGAAGTTATCAATACAATAGTTTATGACAATCCTATCGGCGATCTATTCACACATCTAACTCATGACTTGCATGTATCCTCTTAGTACATCTACAGACTTACCTTGGAGGATGATCCGGCCATACTCCGTTGTAACAAGATATACTTGATAATGTACTGTCAGAAATCAAGTACCCAGCAGTACATCTGATTTCACACGTCTCAATGTTTTTGTTCTTCACACATTTCAGAACACCGTTCATTGGTCTTCTCAAAGTAAGGCATCGTTTTTCTAAATTGATTTCGTGATAAACTCAATAAAATGACATCTAGGAAACAGAATTCGTCATTATTTTATGATATTCTTTTTTTTCTGTAACATACCGTTGCATTTTGTATCTTTCCCTGACCAAGTTCCATCTGACATGCAAGCTCTTATGTCATCACCAAATAATATATATCCCGGTATACAACTCATCTTGCAAGAAAATCCACCAGGGATAGTTTCGTCACCAATACACTCCATGTTTCCGTTAACTGGTGGCTGCAGTTTTGGACAAACTGTCGACACTAAATGATAGTTATACTCAATTACATTTTTATAGAGTTAGTCGACTTTGCAATAAAGGAAAAATGCCTAATTTTATCAATGAAGTAGAGGCGAAAAAAAAAACATTTTTTTTTCCTTTTACAGGTTTCCTGATATAGAGTTAGTCAGTCATACGGTGCTCGACTATTTTCTAAAAAAAAATTGGATAAAACTTGTGTATTTTGTGAAACAAGATTTTATTTTCTGTTGCTATAAATTGTTGATTCAATCATGTTTTATGATCGTACCAAATAAGGATCAAGTGATACGAAAAATGCGAAATGAAACACCCATATTCAATACAGTTTCATACTTTCCAGGACGCTAACTCACCTATACATTTAGCATTTTCTCCAGACCACAATCCTGATTTATTGCAGAATCTAACTTCAGTCCCAACTAATTCATAGCCTGCATTACAAGTAACTCTACATGCTGATATGACATCATCGGTTTCATTTACATTCACACATGCTATGGATCCATTTGCTGGGGCTTCAAGTGGTTTGCATGATTCTGGAAAAAGTTGAATAACAATTGTAAGAATCATTAAAAATTTAGGTGAAAATGAAGATTTATGTTAGTATGATGAAATGAGAAATTGTTTAGTAGTAACATCTGTCTAATTTTAATATCTATTAACGCAACCAAGACATTTATCAATGGTAAGTGTGAAATACTATTGTATCGAAAGTTATCAAAACGCCATGTATATATAGGTATTATGGAACTATAAATATGTGAGTGACTTTCACCATGTTCGATGGTTTAATACAAAAATATTCAAAAAAAGATTACAGTTTGAAGAACTTGGTGGAATGAATAAAAAGTTCAAAAATAGGCGAAAGGAAGGCAACTGATTAAAAAAGTGAATCTCTGCATAAAGGTACACATGTTTGCAGTTCTCACCTTCACAAAATGTATCGTCTACTACGGGATTCCATGTGGCTGATTTTCCTCCCTTGATTGGATCACATGAAGTAAATGTTGACCCATTGCTAATATAACCAGCTTCACATTGTATACTACAGGTAGTTCCCATCAAGCAATCTACTCCATCGCACTTCAAAACAATAAATATGTTACAGGATGGTGGATTTGGTGAAGGATATTATTTTATTCAAACAATTATTCATTGATAAGGATAACGAATGAGATTTCTTACATTTTCTGAGCATGTGATGTCGGCATGTGGTATTGTAGCGATTTCATCGCAGAAAACAAAATTAAAGTCTTTACTTCGTCCAAAATTTGATATTGCTTCACATCTGAAATGATTGAAACTCACTGTTAAGTCAAATCACATAATATCATAATGACTTTTAAATTTGTAAGATTGAAAATACGGTACTCCCGTAGCATGTGTACCAGGTTGGGTTTAGGCCATAATTTTATTCCGATTTTCATTATTTTTGTTCTATTACGAGTTCGAGGACTGTCTGTGGTAGCCAAGTGAATATCCCCTTACCCGTAGGGTGCATTCCCTTTACACAACTGGATGTGAAAAAGACGAACGAAATTAGTTACCTCCGTATTGGTACACATACTTCGGAAGCATCGGGAATTCTTACCTCGGTAAATCTATTGACCACGATCCGTTTCCAAGACATATTACATTTGATAACGAAGCATCGGAAATCACGTGACCAACATCACAAACAACTTCACACTTTTTATTGTACCCGGTTCCAGAACATTTCAGATAGCCGTTGATCGGTTCTTGCAAAGAGGGACAGCCTATTTTCAAACGAAGGTATGAAGTTTAATTTTGATTAAACGTTCAAATATTTAAAGTTCATTTAAATATTTTAACCAAAAAAAGCCCAAAGTGTTTCGATTCTATTTTTGTTTGACAATTTTTCTCTCAATACGTAAAATTAAAATATACCTTTACAGATTGTGTTTTCAAAAGTTGGATTCCATATTCCTAATGTTGCTTCAGTGTCGAGTTTGCATGAAGTAACTGTAGGACCAGTACTAATATACCCATCTTCACATTGTAAATTACACGTAGATCCAACTAGACAGTCTGTTCCATCACACTAAAATTTAAAAAAAAAATTGTTTGCTGCTTGTTAACATAAATATCTACTTTGAAAAATTGTAATCTATGGAAGTAAAACGGGTTGCTTAGGTGTAGCTAATTTCGATCGACGAATAGGTCTAAACCACTTAGTGAGGCATTAAATGAGACCAAAAACATCTACTTGCTCCCACATTCATGTCTGGTTGCGACAATTATAGAACGAGTATATCCAGCACACTTCTGAATATGTTATATATTAAGAGTGTTGCAAAGAATCAAAGCAAGTTTATCAAATATTTTCAGCGCTGCAACGTTGGAAATAAAGGAAAAACGAATAAAATTCTTACATCGTCTGAACATGTGATGTTTGCATGTGATATTGCGAAGATTTCTTCACAGAACACAAAATCAAAGTTGATGCTTCGACCGAAATTCGACATAGCTTCACATCTGAATATATTTGTAAAAAAAAAATATTATTTTGTAATCTGTGTTATATTAATAAGAATTACTAAAAATAATATCTTTCACCTCGGTACATCACTCGACCATTTTCCCGCTTTATCACATGTTATATTTGACATCGTGAAATCAGAAATCAAGTACCCAGCATTGCAAAGAACCTCACACCATTCAGTATGCCCAGATCCTGTACATTCCAGATATCCGTTTGTTGGACCTTCTAAACTTGGACATCTTGTCGCTGAATACAAAGTTTAGCCAAATGTTAAAATTATTGTACCAAATATGATATGATTGTGAGTCTTTTATTAATATAAAAATATAGAATCTGAGAAATTAAATAGATGATAAATATATATATATAATTTTTTATAGAATTTGATAAAATTAAAATACAATGGCTTTCCAGCGACTTCTTCTGAACACGATTTTTTCACACAGCAACAAAACATGCCCCAAAAAACGACAATAATTTATCAAAAATAAGTAGGCCTACACCTAGTGTTTAAAATTTGTAAAGTTTTTCAACGCCGTCTCTTTACCTTCACACAGAGTTTTATCCAATGTTGAATTCCATTTTCCAGATTTTCGTTTCTTGTCAGGATCACACGAAGTAATAGTTGGACCTTTACTAATGTATCCATCTTCGCATTGCAAATTACACTCAGTTCCCAGCAAACAATCTTTTCCGTCACACTGAATAAGAAAATATGGAAATTTATAACTTTTTTTCTGCATATTTTGTTTTGTATTTATGACCAATTACAATTCTTCAATTTGTATAATTTCATTTCACACCAATGCCGGCAACATACGAATTTTACTGTTTGTGATACGAGATTGTTCAAAATTTTGTCATGAAAAGTAAAATAAACTTATTATTATACCTTTTATTTTACAAATGTTGTTAGAATAATCAACTACATACATATTCAATATGAATATTTTGAGAATTATCATATTGAAATGGATATATGTAAATAATCCTATTTCCACCACCTCGCCTAGGCTGTAATAAATTGAGTAGGCAATTCCGAAAACGGAAACATTCCTGGTCTTCCAAAATTAGTAGCTTCACACGTATCGTTAGATATCTGTGGATACTTATACGGAGCCTTCGGGACAAAATGAGGGGAATGAGGGAAACACGCGTGGTATAATAAAAAATCCTTACGTCTTCTGAACACGATAATTTGGCGTTGGCTGTCGGTTTGATCGTAGGACAAACAGATTTTGCGACTGAACTTCTTCCGAAAGATATCATTGGGTTGCATCTAAATTAAAATATTAATGAAATGAATTGGTTTGTATTTTCACGTTGGTACAAAGGACTGTGGATTGAAAAGTAAAGGGGAAAATGAAGAAAGGTATCCAAAATGCGATATACAAGGCATCATAAGATGTTTGCTGATTTAAATAGATTAAAAAACAATGAAATAACTTGAAATTGCGCCAAATATAAAATAGCAAAATACTGTAAGATATATAGTTTAATAATGATGAAAATAAACTTGTGGAAGTGGTTGTTTCCTCGATTTAAACCCCAAAAGAATTCTTCCTATACTTAACAATTTCGAAATTTTTGATGTTTGCTTTGGCGGTATCTTCGAGAATCGGTTCGCTTAAACTAGTTTATATCTATCTTGAAAATCACCATTTTGTCCTAAATAGTATTTTAAAGATACTGACAGATAATTTTAAAAGCTTAGTTTGAGGAAGTCGCACCAAATATATCCATTGCACATTCTTTAAGACAGTAGAGTACCATTTTTAACGCGGTAATTAGCCAAATAAACGTAATTATTTTTACAAACCTACCTCGGCACGATACTTGACCACGTTCCATCTTTGCGACACGTTATGGTTGACAAACTGGCATTGGATAGGATAAAACCAGATTTGCAGCTTATTTTGCATTTGATTCCTTTTTTATCACTTCTGCAGTTTAATTTGCCATGTTTCGGTGCTTTCATCTTTGGACAACCACGCCCTAAAGATTTAATATTTATATTTTAATTTCATTCAACGATTACTATTTATTTAAGATTGTAATTTAAAGTATTTTATATATATAAATTTTTTTTTTATAAACCTACCTTCCAAATTTTTGTTGCAACCATGAATCTTATCGTCCTTGCAGCAATGCCTAAAAATACAGATATTGTCTACTCGGATCGCATCTCGTTTTTAAATTTAATTTTGAAATAAAATACAATACTTCCTCCATTCGATGTTGTAAGCTTGAAATATAACCTAAAAAAGTTGTCGCCTTCCAACTTCAACTGAACTATTGGTAGTTTTATATTTTGGTCTTTTTACGTTGCATATCAAACGAGCCCAAATTGAATTATCTCCTTTTTTTACGCTCACCACGAATTCTCAAATGTTTTCATAAAACAGTACATTTTGTAAATAACATACTTATATATATATTTCAAAAAATTCTGTATTCGTTATTTGAAAACGTTCTGAATAACCCCTAAACAAGTATGAGTTATTTCTTAAGTCAAACTTGACAGAATTGGCATGTTTTTAAATTCAATCGATATAAAAAAGAACTCACCGACAAACTGAGAATCTAGAACTTGGATCACTGTTACATTGATTGTGAAACGATCTGTATATGTTCTGTCGTTCATTTGAGTTGCATGCAATGTCTTGCTTACATCTCTTTGTTATTCGAACAGAGCCGGTTGAATATGCAGTTGGTTTGATAGTTCTTATTTCAGTCAAACAGGAACTCTAAAAAATAGGTAAATAAACGTTTTATTTTTTAATTTTTGTACGAAATTGTTCAGGGTAAGTTCCGAGTCAACAAATTTAAGAGAAATGATTGCTGATAGAATAGCTGAAACGATAACTTTGAACGCTTAAGCATCATATTGTTTTTTTCGGTACTCCTGAAGTATGCGCACCAAGATGTCGTACAATCTGAACCCTGCCCTGGTACACAACCTGAGTTCAGGTTGTGCGCCATCTTGGTGCGCATACTTCAGGAGGTCCGTTTTTTTCTTGTGACAGTGATGCCAGAAGACAGGGGTTTGAAACGAAAGTTGTACGCTATCCGCTTTCAAGTACTTCCCAGAATGATGTGGAAGGCTAAAGTCGTTTACTGCAAAGTTTGCAGGTTGAATTTCCGCTGTAAAGGCACATTTTGGTCAAAACAGTACATCTGTTATTAACTTTTTGTGAGTTCAAGACAGGCTTTTCATTACCGGTGTTACCTATTACTATAAATCTATGAGTAATATCATTATACCTACAGGCTACAGCACTTACCTGACTAGGCTGACATTCAATCGGTCCATTTTTATTACATTCTTTGTTATTCGCAGCATTGTCGCACACATAGCAGAACGTTTTTCTTTCTTTTATCCGGGTACTTTTTCCTTCTGAAAATATATTGAATTATAAGGGAGTCCCAGAAAAGTATTCTGCTTATAATTGTTATAAAACAAACAAACAAAATAATGAAGAGCGAGAAGAATCACTAATATCGGACGCGAAACAAAACATCTAGTGTTTTGTTGCATGCATTATTTATTTAAAAGAATAAATATAAATATTTAAGAAAAAGGATTCCACATATGATTTCTTTACCTTTAAAGAGCAGTGATGCTACGATAACAGCTAATATAATTATTTTTCCTTTGTTTAGCATATTTTTACCGCTTCACAACAAATTTGCTTTCTAGCACTTTGTTGTAAATCTAACATAAAAGTAAAAGAATATAAATTAGAAGTTGTTTCATCAAATTCTATAATTGTGAAGTTGTTATCAGCAGTTTTGGAAAGTGGCCATTGATAGGTTCGCAATCACTCACTGGGAAAATAAATATCCATTTTTATTTGAGTCTAAAGATATCTTGACTTAGAACTAACATACAACTATATCTTATCCTCGACAGCGAATAACTTCTAATATGAGTTGTAACAAATCTAATGCGGGCTACGCACATGAGAAATTCACTACAAAGCATTCTCTGTAGCAAAAGTCTAATATATATATCTATACACCGAGAAACCCCTGTATTTCTTACTTCGGCTCTGCTGATATTTGCATCAGGGCCCAGAACGATACGACCTAACATCCCTAGGACTAACAGCCAGTTTTGATGTCTTGTTCTAATTCTACCAAATATTTATACCGACAGCCTCATTGAAGCCCAGCTTATTCCCATACTTTTCACAAGAGGCTTCAGCTATATTATGTATCATAATCTTCGACTATTAACTTAGGAAAAATCAGTATTTCAAAGGTATTATACTGTTTTTGTCTTCACCTCTACGGAAATAAAGATTTGCTAACAGAACGTGCATGGTAAATTAAAGTGTAATCGTTGGAATGGATTAAATTACGCGGAATACTATTCATTATACTGTATATTTTTAGAAGCGAAAAAAGCACCCTAGACTGAGGAGATATAGCTACTTTAATCTGATAATCCGATTCATGATCGCATTGAGTAAGTGAAAACCCTGCATTTAGTGACAAAACCCACTTTCAAATATAGAGACTACGTACACATCTATGACAAAGCACACAATTTGTGGACTTATAATAAAAGGCATTAATTAAAGAAATATATTATTGTATATCTACTTCTGAGTGAGCAGAATAAAAATCATATGAACACGCATTTTATATGAAAAATAGAATTAAACTTGAAAAAATCTGGTCTTACGGGTATACGAATCTCTCTTTGTTTGTTTTTCAACCATTTTTTATCGTGGGAAAGCATAGTTTTGTTTTCGTCGACATGATTTTTTTGTATGTCATTGATAAAATTTTCAAAATGCCTTCGTTTTTATTTATATATTCAGGTTTTTATTCTTTCCATCAAAATCATTTCCTTTCGCGTAAAAAATATCATACCGATAAGATATGGGATCATATAACATTGTCATATCATTGACTTGTGATCATATAAACAATTCACCATGTAACATTTGAAACTTTGAAGCATACTACTACACTTATTTTATTTAGCATTGCTTGATCATCTTTGCAGAGATTGTATTAGAAGATTTCTTTTAGCCCAAAGGGGATGCAGTGGCGTCAGAGAGTCATTATACAAATGGAATAGAGAGAATATACGCAACATTACATAAGTTTTCCACAAAAGAGAAACCATGATAACCATGGATTTTACGACAAATTCCCCACGTTGACTAGAATTTACTTTGAAATCCAAGGAAAACATTTTCAAAAGGACATGGACACGCAAGTCTAGTCAATGCAAAAGTAGATGATGCAAAGTCGGCTGCAACCAATTTTAAACAAACCACCACCGCATCACAAATTTGACTTTTTAACACGATTGAGTATAGTAGGTGCGTCACAACAAACATTTCATGTCAGGTACGATCAAGAATTTTTATCCTCTGAGAAATAATTCACAAAAATAATACACCGCTAGGATTAGTTCATACGTAGTATTCATTCGCATTGGCAAACACATTTAGATATTGACTGTGAAATTGGCGTTAAGCTAGTGTGATGAATTCTTTTAAACGTAATTAGGATAGGATAGAATTTACATACTTATATAAATCGAGGAAGAGGACGGCTCAATCGTATGGCGTACAACAGCCTCTCGTCCGATTACCAGTCCATGTCGGGTATGGGATTAGTTTACACAGTTACTTCTTTCGGATGCATGGACTTGATGACGGAGGAACCCGTAACCGACCAGCGCTTACGTGAATCACCATACGGCGACGAGGAGTCCAGCAATCCCATCGCACATAATTATCCCTGCATGGGATTCGATCCTGCGAACCCAGAGGTGCATTGGCGAGCCCATTCCATACGCTTAGCGCGATGCGCCGCAGCGCTGTTTCACACTCGATAAATAGTTTTGAGCAATTGTACATTCAAACACATTAATAATAGAACAAATTTTTACTGTAACATTGTATTTGTTTAAAACATATCTTATGTAGCTTCGTTTAAAATCATAACTACTGTCATGTGGCAACCTGCGGAGAAGGTCATTCAAATGACGATTTTGACCATATAACCATAATAACACCCAACTGTATAATATCATACAAACCTATTCAGATAATGTTCACATTCCCGCATCATGTATACTAGTGTATACAAGTGTGTGATTACGTTTATAATTTGGATTCCCTCATTTCCTTATAGTTGATCGCCTTTAGGTATTTAATTTTATTAGAATGTTAAAAACATAGTTTCGATGTGGTTCACAAATGATAATTACTTGATTAACATCAAGATTTTGGTAATTTTACACATATCTTATCAGCGTTTGTGACCTATAAATTATAGGTATTACATGATCGTCATGCGCCACATAGAATATGTAAAAACACAGGACTCATATTTTCGTGAAAACTTTTCCGGTTTGTGGAGGTGAGCGCTTATTGATCGTTACCATGCCGGCACGATTTTCTGGATAAGTTTTAAAAGTTTTAAAATGTTGTCCTTTTGCTGACCGTAGTTAGCTCAGTTGCAATCCATCAAACTAAAATTTGACGCACGCGGACGCACAATTATAAAAATTCTTCTGTAATTTGACAATTTTATAACTTTTTTTCAACAATTGTTTATTAATGATTTTTCGGAGTCTGTCGTGATGTTTGAATTTTTTTTACTAATTAAGCTTGGTGATATAGTAATCAATCATAAGCTTTAAATACCGATGTACTAATGATTGGAATTACCGTGAAATCAACTCTAACTTACATAGTTATTTTACAGTGTTGCGATGAATATTTTTTGAATGCACATATGTATTTTAGTAGAAAAAATCTGGTTTGCAGAAGGTCGCAACGTGAAAAATTGGTCGTTTCGAAAACTGTCAATGTGCGTAATAGCTACTCTTTGTTGGTAGAAACTTTTGTTTAAAGTTGTATTATTGCTGAATAGCAGCCTAATTATGGTAGTTGAACCGAGATAGAATATCGTTGCGATACTTCGATTTTGAAAAATATAGTTTGATTTTTCATACTGTCAGATGTTAGGTAAAGTGAATATAATCATAGTAAAGTGAAGTACGAATAACGAAAGCATACTGGTTGTTAGTTAGTACGAGTGTTATATTTACCTTTGAATTAAAGTTCTGAGTTCGGAGAATTCGATATCACAATAGCCAAACCTTGCTTCTTAGTACATGGTTTAACAAGGCTATGTCGATTGGGAAATATTTGGGTTATGTGGAGACTTGTAATTTCCTGCTTCTATATATTGGCGTTTAATGAGTTTAGCTGGGATTGCGTTGTATTTGCTTTGATACTATACATCAACATTGCTAAAAAAAATATTTTTTATTTCATTTCGTCGTATGCAAACAAATCTTCTATTTTTAAACAGTTGTGCCTAGACTTCCATTTTGTTAAATATGAAAGTAAATTCTAATATGGGCCAACGAACGAAGCTAACATGGATTTCGGCGATTATTCGCTGCATCATGGCGACCCTTGTAGTTGAATGCTACAATGTCGACAACGTAACGGTGAAACGAATAACAAGGCCCAAAGGTTCAATGTTAGGATACAATAAGATGCTGCTATCACGAGAAGACGCATTTCATTTTGGATATGACTTTGCTTTTGATGTTCACGCATCTGATAATGAGACAAGGTAAGATGTGATTCTTATACCTTGTAAACGGATGTGTGATTCCATTTCTAGGTACCATAGAATCTCTAGATAAATATACTAGCTTCAAATTTGGTCATGGCCGATAATATTATCCATACGATTTCTCATTTGAAGTCTATCAAGATAGGTTGTGCATTGGATTATTTTATCACAGCAGTGCAGCTCATTTGATGAATGTTGGTTGTAACTATAGTAAGTTGGGCGCTTATTTTTTTCTTATAATTCGTTCATCTCGACCCGCTGCTAATGTCTTGTCACAACGAAAAACTTTCCACAAATCAACTGAAAAGTTGGACCCAAGACACACGATGCATTAAATTCCCAGGGCCTGTTGTATTGATTAACATTTTGAAAATTAAATTTGTATGAGTTAGTTCGTGTGGCTCCAGAATCTTGCTTGCTAGTAAAGAAACCATTCATGTTATATTTGCGGCTATAAAAATAAAATTAGACCTTGATGGTTTTTCAAACATGAATTGGTCCTTGGGATTAACCCAAGAAATAGCAGGCTTCCTACATAGGTGCTGAATAAAAACTGTAGCCTACTTCTTGTTGACGACCAGTAAAATTCTTGGTATGATACCCAGCGCTGATGCGAAATTTATTATTGACCTCAATGAACTTGCCACCATGATTTCTATCGTTAGTAAAAGCAATTTAAAATGAATCGATACTCTTAGGAGTGGAAAGCTAAAAATACAACTGTGCCAAATTACTAATGATCTTGCGGATTCGTGGCAGACAGTCGATTTGTTTGATTATAACCGGATTAGAGATCAATGCCAACATAAATAACAACGAATATATAAAGTTTCGTATGAAAACAAGGATTAAAATATTTGATTACTTGATTTGCTATCGGTGGCTGTTATTGTTTCTGAGTATGTAGCTTCAAACTAGATATTCTTTCAGTTAAAACACCGTTTGTTGATTGTCATAATGTAATTATAACTACTAGGACTTTCAGAATATTATGTGCGTCGCACTGCCAAAATACTTTACATTATAAGTAGCAATCAATGCCAAAGTATGGCTAATTAAACCGCTTTAATAACCCCCAAAATTTATGTTATATAAAACTTTAATGGTTCAGAACCATTTTGAAACAACATTTGTTTTAAACAGCTAGGCACGAGTCAGCCATCAACAATATATAACAACATTTAATTTATTGAGCTATTGCAAATCTCAAACCATTTTTGGACTTCCGGTTCCGGTCGGGATCAGAGTTTAAATTTTGAGTTCGCTTATGGAAAAGTGAGTGACTTCACGACTCCACGATATTACATTGATAGCGTTAAGACAACCTCTAAGTTTACTTAATACCAATATCACGTTAAATCTATATATCGATTACAAGGTTTAGTTCTTAAAATAATTCCAGAACTGTCCAACTTTAAAAAAATTGGCAAAGGCAATCGAACCTCCATGACGCCCTGTATTGTGTATATAGATAGCTATATATGTGTGGATGATTAATTGGTTTTCGTAGCAACTCGAAAACGTGTTTCGAATCCTCACATTACGCTATATACATACCATTATATTTGGCGGTAATACTGAAATAAATTTACTAAAATTTTATAGTAAATGAATTGGAAATTTTCAAAAAAGCATGAAGTAAAATTTTAGCTAATGATAGGGGAGCGTTACTATAGGGTCGCAACTTAGATAAATATTAATTTATTATCATATGATTGCCAAGTTAAATTACGATTCCACGAGTGACTAACAGTAGCTCTGCAAAAACATTAGTTTTAGGTTCAATTTAAGGTTAAAAATATTGAGGTAAAAAATTTTGATGTGCAAAAATAACCATAATTATATTAATTAACACATCGTATCAATAAGACCTCTATCATAGTTATTATAGAAATTTTCGACGTGAGTATGAAAATTCGTCTGTATTTTGTCCAATTAATTTATAGAATTATCGATTAAAAATATCAGGAAATTCCATTGAAATATAGAATTTTCATTTTGTGTAATGATTCGTTCCTAAAAATTCTCTTGTGTACATATCTGTGGGATGAAGTTTTGTGTTAAAAAGGTTTTCTTAAGATCCCTCCTCAAAGCTCTTACATTCTAAACAATAATTTTAAGAAAAATTGTTAATTTATAAATATGTTTTTCTTGCGCTTGCGTTGTATATCTTGCCCTTCAAGTTTTGCCTTAAAAACGTCAGAGTTACGGATACTCAAAGCAATTTTTAATTAAACTAGCGTAGCCAATCGAGGAAATTTTGTCAAGTAGCCTACGGTATTGTGGTAGTCTTATACGTTAATTTATGTGTTTTAAATAACGGAAATAAGAAGAGCAACCGTGTAAATGCTACAGACTTTTTATGCAAATTACAATATTTGAACTTGTACTTGAGCCAATTTGTCGGTTGCTTTGAGGACACGTCGCTCAGTGATTCAAATTCTATGAAATTTGTCGACGACCTGAAGCGGAAGAGCATGTTGCCAACCTCCTTATATTTTAAACACGATTGACATTTACACTTTGCATACCTTTGCATTAATGTTATATAACTGCCTCGTTTGGTCAATCTGGCAACTGGTATTTTAACGTTATCACACACATAGTTCGTAGGTTTGATTGGTGGACTAAAATAAAGTGCCATCCTTGAAACTTTCGGCGCACCAGAAGTGTGTGTACCAATATAGAGGTAACTAATTTTGTTTGCCTACTTTACATCAAGTTGTATAAAGAGACTGAAACCTATGGTCACTTGGTTATCACAGACAGTCCCCGAACACGTAATAGAACTAAAATTCGGAAAATCAGAATAAAATTATAGCCTAACCATGACCTGGTACACACACTACGGGGGTACAAATTTCTCTATATATATATGTACATAAATTAAAAATTGGTTCAATAAAATGACGGATATATTTGTGTAGCGTATTGTTGACAACATATTTTTGGTCAATCTGTTCTAAAACATGCTCAAATATATATATGTATTTACATGACGGACCAAACGAAGTAGTATCAAATCTTTCACAGTACCGGTAGCCTGACCACCAAATCGCTGAAATGCGATCGGGAGACCATCAATCGGTGCGCAATTTTTAATTGTGATTGCGTCATCACACAAAACTTTGAAGTGGAATACAAATTCTTTACAGCCCACAGAACATTTTCAAAATAAATAAAAGTAATAGTCGTATAGCGACAACATCAATATTTAACTACACCGAATATTTTAAAGCAATTCGTTCAGGAGATAAAGAGAAAAGCGATTTTCCCACAACGAGAATACTAACAACAACATAATAACAAAACCATATCCATAGGCCCACTTCGTACACTAAATCGACATTCGTGTCTTCCATTGATAATGTTTGAAATAAAGTCTATCGTGATTTTTACCGTGCAATGGGGGCATTTGTTTGTGTTGTTGATTCATATCATATTTTTTTTTATCGAATTCGCTTCGTCTAAAATTGATATAATATTTTATAGTAGGTATTAAATCTAGTGCAAATGCCATAAAAATAAACATAATGTTCATATGGTAGCTAATAACTCTCTCTGGTAAATGGCAGGAACATGTTTTATTGGACACGAAATGGGCCTATGTATCGTTTTGTTAATAATATTATTATTACGTTGTTGTTCTTGCGGAATTGTTCTTTTTCGTATTGTAATGAAAAAATTGTTTTTCTGTTCAACTACTGAACCAATTAATTTAAAATTTTCCGTTGTTAAGAATGTATATTCCGCTAGAAAACTATTACTTTTATTTATTTGAAGAAATTATGTGGCCTCCATGCTATGATATTAGTTTTTTCGTGTGTATCATCAAAATTTCGCACCAAGTTGTTATCTGGTGGTCAGGCTAAGTCGTGAAGATTGTGATACCGGTATTGTGAAATCTTTGATACGCGTGCTACTTAGTTTGCGCTTTCGTGTCCATTTATTTGAGCACCGCTCTCTTGATTTTAATATATTTGTTCTTATATAAAATAAAAACATCAACTACGCCAACTTGAAATGTAATGAAATAATTCGATGACAACGGTTGTTTTTTCAACCAACACTTGTCAAAGCAACACAAGATAAATAGAATACAATAGACTAAATGATACATATCTGACTCTAAAAACCGTTATTTATCATCTAAAAATAATTTTTTGAAAAATGCAATTACTCAGAGCAAACCATGACGTCAGAAACAACGTATTTAGTATACAACCGCAATAATATTCAATTTCAAATGATTCTATATTTAGCTCAAAAATTGACCTACTACTTACTTACTGTTAAGCTATGGAAAACGCACACACATCGTTAATTGAAGTAAAACTTTGTCAGTATAATAAAAAAGTACTTCCATAGCGTGTTTAAATTTTATTCCGATTTTCCTTATTTTAGTTCTATTACGAGTTCGGGGACTGTCTGTGTTAGCCAAGTGAATATACCCCCTGCCCATAGATTTCAGTCCCTTCACACAACTTGATCTAAAGTAGGCGAATTAGTTCCTTAATATTGGTAAACATACTTCTGCAGCGCCACTTTATCAGTATATATAATGAAAAAAATGCTAGTGAACACATTTTCGAACCGTGATCTGCTGCAAAATTTAACAATAGACGGGAAATTGCATATAATGTTATTATGGATAGATAAAGGTGATTATTTTGGCATAGTTTTATACAGTCTAATTTTATGTGTACAATAGATTTGGTCAACGTGACTGGAAAGCTGAACGTATAAAAAGGTCAATAGACATAGACAACGCCGAACAATAAAGTCAATTATTGTTCAATGAAAGTTGTGCACTTTCGAATATATATTTCATAAATATTGCAATAAAATGTATATTTAATGACATTTTGAAACTCTCTATACTGGTTAATTAAACTAGAAATAGCCACAGAATCATTTTCCGTCCACTTTCAAAATGGTAAACGGGCCCGATAAAAGCGTAAAAGAAAAATAATAAAACTTCTAGAAGAAAAATGCTATTATGATATGAACAAACAAATCACAAATTAAAAATTCACATCGATATTTTATTGAGGTGAATAATTCGTGAATACAAAACATAATAATACTCTGTAGATGTGTTTTTACAGCGTAACTTCCAAGACATCAACAATGAGTTCTATGCTCTATATTTCTCTGAACTTGTACATACATATCTATTTACATATCCATTGTTTATTTCATTATCTTCGACAAAAGCAAATAAAGAAAAATGAGAAAAATTGGAAAAATAACTGGAAATCCAACCAAATTTACAATATGGTCTGAAACTAGCAATAGGGGATCGGGCTTGAGTTCGAAGGCCGCAAATTTTGTATAAATTTTTTTTATTTTAACCCACATTTTCGTTTTTCAGGTTAATAGTTGGATCCTCAGACGTTCCTGTTTCTAAGCTTCACAAATCCGCTGTAAAAGAAAACCCTGGTCAAAATCAACAAAATTCAGGTATGTGCTTGCGAAAGAGATTTCACTGTTAGCGTTATATTCTATGTAGCTTTTTAAAGCTTATGACTTTAACATGTTATAACAGTGAAGAACCTGTCGTATATATATATTCGTTTGTTTGCGCTCCAGAATGGTGTGTACCAATATAGAGGTAACTGATTTTGTTTGCCTACTTTACATCAAGGTGTGTAAAAGGACTGAAGCTTATGGTCAGGGGGTATATTCACTTGGCTAACACAGACAGACCCCGAACTCGTAATAGAACTAAAATAAGAAAACTCGGAATAAAATTGTGGCTTAACCCTAATCTTGTACACACACTAAGGGAGTTGTTTGTTAATTACTTTGAATCCCGATTAGCTAATTATCACCATGAGTCATAAAGCCCATTATAAATGATTTTTTTTCATCAATTTACAAATTTGACACAGATTAGAGCAAGAAGAGCAATTGCAATTTCCTTTCCTGTGTTTAGGCCACAAAGTGATGAGATAGAAATTGCGTCAAATTAAAAAAACGAAAAATATAACTTCTAAATTTTGTCTGTCAAATAAGGAACTAAAGTATACTAGCCTATATGAGGTAAAAATGGAAGATATAACTATTTTATTTATATTTATAACACCTTTCAAAAATGAGATCAAATAATCAAATACAAATATCTATACAAAGCTAAAGTTTTGAATAAATTTTGTCAACTCTGATCATGACTCATGACTCAGCTACAGCTATATTCAATTTGTTCAGTTATGGACTGATCAGAACTGATCAAGCATGATGACGTAGCCAAATTGAATGAAAATATATCGTTTTTACTCGTTAATCTCATTTTCTGGTGTTGATTTTGTCTAATCCTGTATTTCATGGACTAACCAATATTATTACCAGGTCAACTGTTCTCATGTTCTATCGAAACCGCAAATTTTTTCAACAACAAATCATGTGACACCTTATCCGACCCCACTCGTTCACATCGATTGTTCGGAGGCAACACTGTAGTAGAGGAAGATGTTATTACGGTAAAGCCTAAATATTTGATATACCGCATTCCAAGGTCCATAAGGTGCACCGTAAATAAATTGCTTGGATTAGAGTTAAACGTAACCGGTACTGGTTTTGAGTGCAGGCAATAAAGTATAAAGCACAACCTGACCTACACATTGGACGCACTGTCTTATAAGGCGCATGATCGAATTTCGAGAAAAAGGGGATTTAAAGTGCGCTTTATGGTCCGTAAAATACGGTATATGAATAGGCTACATATAATATTTTGTTTCGTGTCTGGTTCATTTTACACCGTAATAATATAAATCGAAATACTTCAACAAATTCAAAGTTGTCATGTTAATATATCCTTTTAAACGATGCAAAATTGGTATATAATGATATGTCAAGACATCAGTTGAGAAAACAAAACATCTAATATAAAATGCTTTCCAACAACGTTAGTAGCCTACTTGGCTATGTGCATATTGATTCGAAGCCTTGTGGTTTCGTTTTGGGCAACCTTTCTGTGAAGAAATCCTTTAGTGATTGAAATTCCAATCAACACATTTTAAGTATACAATTTTTTTGGTGTTTGCCTGACTTTTAACGTTGCCTACATTCACACCAAATAAATGTTTGGCAATCGCGCCAACATTCAAATTTCTAGAACGACTTTCACCTGGAATAGACGTCAAAGCTTACATGGAAATTTGCCAATAACTTATCACACATTCGACTTATCTGGTGTCACGTGTTACAAAACTAGTCACGTTATTTGAGCACGTGTCTACGTCAAAAATTTGACCTTTAAATAAGTGTTTTTACAGTAACTCAATTTCAACCACTTCCAGTCTCGCGCATACAAATTTATACAAATTATACCAACTCAATAAACCGGTAAATTATACCCGAGATAGCATATGTAGTTTTTTCGTCCAGACTCCTTTGTAAGAAACTTTACCAAATTTGAGAAGCTTTGGGGGAATTTATTTTAAAAACCCTGCATAAAAATAACTTGTTCAATAGATTTGGAAAGATTCGTATAGCAATGTATTCTCTGTTATTTTCATGTTCTAAACTCTAAAGACTCTCACGATTTGCAAACTGGTGTTGGGTTTGAAATTGATATCTGAAATACCCACCAAAACTGTTTCTGTGATGCTTTTATCCATAACTCTTTGCAGCGTAAAATCGTTTGTTTTAAAAGTTGAAAGTTTTAAATCGATTTTTGAGGCAAAGTTCATGGACATGAAGTGCAGTTCTGGCGGTGAGATGTGTTTCGATTTGACTGGTATCGCTTTCTAAATGAAGCTTTCGCAGAAACCACGATGACACATTTAAGGAAGTGTAATGTTTATTGATTGCTGCATACAAAGGCTGATTTACATTAGCCTGAATTATTTTTCTCTCTTTCATGCATTTCCTTGAATAAACACTACATTGAATATTCATATAATTGAAATTTCTCAACTCTTATTTCAAGACATGTTCTCCGATGCAAGAAATGAACTGTGAAGTGGTCATTTATAAGCCAGGATTTTGTTACCAAACTACCGACAAAGGGCAAACATGGAAACTAACTAAAAATTCAGAGACTAAAAGTAAGTAATGATATTCAGCAATGGGCGCTCCAGAAGTGTGTGTACCAATATGGAGGTAACAAATTTTGTTCACCTACTTTACATCAAGTTGTGTAAAGGGATTACAACCTATGGGTAGGGGGTATATTCATTTGGCTAACACAGACAGTCCCCACACTCGTAATAGTATTATAATAAGGAAAATCGGAATAAAATTGTTGCCTAACACTAACCTGATAGACATACTACGGGAGTATCCAGCAATGAACACCAATAACGTGATAGGTGGAAGAATACGTAGCGCGTGATACGAATGTAAGAGAAGCATTTATTTATGATTTAGTTCACCTTCAAATCGTTTTTTATAATTCATGTCGATAGAAGCTTGAGGCATAATCTCGTTATGTTTGAATGGATTTTATTTCAATATGACCTTCCAGGGGTGGGCAAGGTTTTGGGACCAGGGGCCAAATAATTTCGTCCACCTAGACTGGCGGGCCATTGAAATGTGACGTAAAAAGTTACATTTTTTGAACAATATTTACAGTGTTACCAAATCATAAGCGAAAAACAATAAACTCGAGCCAATACTCAATTTAATCACAATCTCAACAAATTCCCTGAGCTATTTAGCTGAAACATTAAATTTTGGTTTTAGTTTGGCTGTGGCAGCATCAGGCAGGCCAGATTGAATTACCCAACGGGCTGGATTTGGCCCGCAGGGCGTAGTTTGCCCATGTTGGCCTTATGCATATTTTTCATTATTCTCTAATCTTACTATTACACATTGTTATTATCAAATCACCATGTGACATTGAAATTGTAACCATTTTACAGATTGTCCTATATTCAATGTTGAAGTTATGTTTGTACTGGATGGTTCTGGATCCATAGGATATGCTAATTTTGAAATGGTTAAAGATTGGGTGATCAAAATAACTGAAAAATTTGATATTGATGGAGGGTCAGTCCGAGTTGGAGTTGTTCAATTCTCGCATTGGTATAAAACAAGGTAAGTGAAAATCTAAAATACTTTTCAAGCATGGAAGTTCTGACTTGACTGTAAGTTGTATCTTGCAGTGCATAAAGAATTTGATTAAAATTGTTTCCACATTTTTATACAGGATACAGATGTGCCCATGCCTCCATCACCGAAAATTTAAACCATAACTAGTATTGGTACATTTTACAGCGCTCCAGAAGTGTGTGTACCAATATGGAGGTAACTAATTTTGTTCGCCTACTTTAAATCAAACTGTGTAAAAGAACTGAAATCTATGGGCAGGGGGGTATATTCACTTAGATAACAGAGACAGTCCCCGAACTCGTTATAGAACTAAAATAAGGAAAATCTGGTACACACACTAAGGCGGTACCCATTTCACATCTTGTGTTTGTAATTAATCTAATTAATGTAAATAATTATTTGTAGCAATGTTTAATATAATAGATTAATGTTTAGTATAACAATGTTAGGCCATAATATTATTCCGATTTTCCTTACTTTAGTTCTGATACGAATTCGGGGACTGTCTGTGTTAGCCAAGTGAATATACCCACTGTCCATAGGTTTTAGTCTCTTTACACAACTTGATGTAAAGTAGGCGAACAAAATTAGTTACCTCCATATTGGTACACACATTTCTGAAGCGCCCTACGTTTAATATAACAATTCTTCAGCGGAAAGGCAATTTTTTATGGGTCTTAGAATGTTTTACCAAATATTGATTTTTCTAAGTCTTGCGACATTTTGACATTAAATTCCGAGACTGATTTATAAAACAAAATCATGGAAAGCACCGGTCTACATTAGCAAAGGTTATTTAGAAGTTTGATTAAGAAAAGGTCAAAACGAGTAGTTTGTTGGCAAAAGATTTTACAATTTTCTATCATTCTGGTCACCGAATATATTGTAAAACTTATAGTATTGAACTTGAAACCTGCTTCCTAAGTGGCTCTCTATTTGAAAGAAAGTTGTATCAATTTACATTTGTTTTAAAACTAATTGATGAACAAAAAACCTAACTGATTGAGCTAAAAAGTCTGCCGAATAACGGTGGCAGTCGTTTGTAAAGCTTTTTGCCAGAGAGTTGGGGAGTTTTTAAAACACTCTATCGATCTTAAATATTTTTGTTCAAAGTAATTTCTTATCTATTCGCATTTCCACATCTTACGATACGATAAAATATTGCACGTTTAAACTTTTTGATAACACTTTGACATTGATGACCACTTTCTGTACTAGTATAGGTCAATGTCTGAATGCCAAGTTTAGCTGTCAAAGCTGCCTATCTCAATCCCTTAATGAATTGGATCTTATTGTAATAGTAGAGAATATTTTACGACAAAATGCATTTGAAATATTTCTTCGGTCCATCGACACTATGATGGTTGGATAGCTTTGCTGGCGATTAATACGTTGATTATTTGTTACAGAGACCCGGATGATCAACCTCTAATGAAGAAAGAAATACTTCTTGGGCAATACAACACTTCAACATCTTTTTCAGTAAGTTTCATGAGTTTATTGTTACCTACAATTGCCAGTCTGTCAAGCAAGTGTGTTTTTACTCATCAAACAACAATTTTGTCAGTCTATTATGAACAAGCGGTATGACCAAAATTGGTCGACATATCACTGAAATAATAAGGACTTATATAAATATTCCTCAATTTGAAACGGTGTCTTGTCTTACGTGTCTCACTTGTACCCCGTGACCCACATATCCCAGACTTGCCCCACGTGTTTCCCTTGTATCACTCTTGTATCACGTTTCCCTCTAGTCGCTAATACCGCGTGCATTTTGCTAAAATCGTCGGTTGTTTTGCTTTAGGTATACATTATGGTTGGTTAGCGTTGGAAACCATACCATCACTGAAATGAAATCGAATCACTGAAACATTATACACAGTTGTAAACGCGACGCGGATTGTGATGATAAATTAATTAATCTAATCAAGTGAGACACGTGGTATAAGTGAGACACGTGGTACAAGCGGGACAAGTGAGACACGTGGTACAAGCGGCACAAGTGAGAAATGTGGGACAAGTGAGACGCGTGGGACAAGTGGGACACGACATTTTGGAGACACTGAATTTGAAATATATTTCGTTTAATGGTAATAATATTACCATTATTACTACAATAAATCGCGCAAATATTCTGTTAATATTATGCATAAAGTGAGCAGTTGCATCTTGCTACAATCAATATCGTTTGTAGATTGCAACATACATTGTCGTTCTAAACTTTACTTTACTATGTTCATTATCAAATTACAGAGAGCTGTAAGAGGAATCAAGCTCCAATCCTTCACTACATATACTGCTCATGCATTGAACGTAACAGCGGAACATTTCCAGGAAAGCGATCGATTTGAGGACATAAACACGAAAAAAGTTGTCATATTGCTTACTGATGGAGCGTAAGTCTTCTTGATGAAACGTTTTCCTGTATTGCATAGACTTGAACTTCCGCAGGTCTCGATTTATTCTAAATTTGCTGGCACATACAACCCGAAATTCGTTTGTTTCAGTAGTTCTTGGCCGTCTGTAACTTACCTCAGAAAAGAGTGTTTATACCTTCTAAGTGCGCGTTTGAGAAAATTTTCTTCAAGAAGGATCGGTAATTATCTACGTGCGTTTGCAAACCAAGTGACATCGGCTTAATTGGTAGCAAATAATGTTGTAAACTATTAATGAAGTAGTACGTGTAACTAGATTATACACGAATGTGACAAATAGGCTTGCAACATCAAAGAGAAAACTTTTTCCCAGAACTATACTTTGTAAATTGTAATATAACATTTATTCCGTCAATAGAAAGTTTTTGATAAACGTTCCCAGCTCCTTTTCTTAGTTGGTACTGCATTCGGGAAATAGTGAATTGTTCCGATCTCTCACACTGTTCATAAACATCTTATTCTGTGTTTCAGATCGCATGATTTCGATAAACTACCTGCCACAGCCGACTACGTGCGATCTCTGGGAATAGTAACGTATGCTGTAGGAGTCGGAAAAGCAATAATTGATGAACTTCGGGTGAGTATATACGAAAATGTGAGCACTCACACAAGCAGTATAATCTGTGAGATAAGTTATAGCAATCTGACCGAACGAGGCTTGTACATAGAACATACTTTCCGTTCAATACCCATATGCCTATGTATGCCTGATCCTTCCATTGTCACGGAGTTCCTTTTATAATATTAATATGAAACACAAATCAGAACATAACTAAGATTAATAAATTTATGAAACTTCATATATATCTATTTCCTGCTTCAACATCGACTATGGAAGATTTTGGTTAGTTTTATTCCGTAATATTCAATTTTCATCACCAAACATCTTAGCAACCACAGCGTTTGTAAGATACAGGAACTTATATTTACGATTTAGTTCACTTTCAAATCTTTTTTATAATTCATTCATATAATTCATGGAACTTTTTATTGGCCGAGTTCTAGGCATACGCAGTCTATACTCAGTTATACCACGACACTTCATGTGACTGCTTCCCTGCTCCACAAATTAATAAAAACTAGAAATTTAAAGTGAATTTCGGCAATGAAATAAACTGCGCGAGATTTTAAATAACCTTGTAATTACAAATGGAACGTTTCCAAAGGTAATGGCAATCTTATAGCCAAGCCAGGCTATAAAACTATGCAAATTTAGGGAGGTGTCTTATGCTATTTAGTAAAATGAACATATAACCAATCGGCTCGTTGCTGGAATAATTGGACTGTATCAGTAACAATGTAATACAACTATGCTATATTAAGAATATAAATGATAAATCTTAGTATTTCTAACGTCTTGATACACATCAATACAAATGGATTTCTTTAACAATTCTTGAAGACCGAAGTATAGCAGGACGATTGACTTTGCTATTCATTCAGTCAATTTGACCAGTTTTAAACTATAGTTGCACCCATTTACAGATATTTAGTAAATTCCAAACATTACTGCATATCAGATATAACATTGCATTACTCAAATATTTCAGATAATAGCAACGGGGAACACCTCAAGTTCTGATTATGTTTACTGGGCTGATAATTTTAATGGATTGGACCGAATCGTTTCAGAATTGCAAACGGAAATTTTGAAAAACGTTCTTGAAGGTAGGTAAACACAAAGATGATAAGATTCATTATTAGTGATGGAATCAGGCTGTGACAAAAATTTTACCGAAAATGTGAAGGTGAATAACTATAAAGAAATATCAAAAAAAAATTATTACACCGTTACCGTACATGGCACCAACATCCCCAGAATCCACAATCTGCTTTTATTGTCTGTCTAATCATTAACTTCAATTGAAAAATAAATTGTTAGATAAAGATCTCATTCATGATTCATATTATACAGATTACATAAACGCACAAACGCCTCATGACGGGTAAATAAAATGCGTTCGTAAACCACATCAATAAAGTAAATAAACGGACAAAACAAACAAAATATCAGCTCAAGCTGCAAAGATGTTTTCTAGGATAATATGATACTTGGTCAAGTTAAACTGACTTAAAGAATGATTAATTACGTTTAACTTTGGTTCAAACTTAATTTTGCTGTCATCTGATGAGAATATTATGTGAAGCAAGGCCCTCGTTTGTGACTAAAAGAAGTCGTTCTGCGCGGATATATTTAAATCAAGATTGCAGGCAATTTTCACCCAATATAATGTGAATATACAGCCCTATTTAGAAAGTTATATTGTCGTGACTCGTGAGCTAGAGATATCTCTTTAATATATCTATTATTATAATTTATCTTAATTTTATGTTCATTTAATGTTCCAGGTACAAATGAAAAAGCATCGGTTACATATGAAATGGAAATGGCAGAAGATGGTTTCTCATCAAGTGGTCGAACTTCGGTGAAATATTTTAAATTGCTTATTCATTTCCCTTTTAAATAATTGTAGGAATTGCACTGTTAAGCAATAGCCACAGGGTTTGTTTTGCATTTGCGTGCATTCCGGATTCAGACTATTGATCATAATGCAAGTAAAAGTTAAACAAAATTTGGGTGAATTATTGATGTTTGAGCAAGTTTCGTGAACTGTTCGGTTGATTGAAAATTCGTGTGTTGAGCCCGTATGTTGTGCGTCCTATTTTTGCGCGTCGCGACGAATTTTTGCGCAATATACATTGAACTATGTAGCATGCATTGAACTGATTGACCCAGCACAGTGAAAATGTGTCACGGAACCGTGATGAAGTAATCAATTCTGCAGCGTGATGGACAAGGTAAAACCAAGGTGAGAAATTTATTTATCTTTGTTTATGTGGTTTTGTCTTTGCGCGGCTGTTGTGAAGACAGTTCGAGTTAACGAACGCAAGACAAAATTATTGTCAGTCAATGCTGGGGTCATAATCCACAATTCAGATCAATCAAAACAATCTATGTGTAGTGGTAACTAACTAATCACTATATTTTCCGTGAAAACATTTACTATTCTATTGCTATTTCATTTTTCATTATTATTATTATGTAGAACACCTAAATAATCTGCTAGAGGTCAATGTCATCCTGATTATGTATTTTTTGTCTAGACTTTCGCTTGGCATCAAGAATTTCGTCACTGTGTAAAGAACTGTCACGTTAAGTTTTAATAACATATCTTGTGAATCAGGTGGTAAGATTAGATTCGTTGTGTCCGTTTGAGAAGTACAGTTCAACTTGAAAATATGTTCGAAAATTGATACAATATTTTACTTAACATTTACTTGAAATTCTATATTCAAAAAAATGTCACCGAGAATTTATAAAACCGAATGTCCTGTGATTCAGGTAAATAACAAATATCCCTAGTGCAACAAAGAATTATAGTACTATAGATGAAGGACCGAATTTTTAAATATACAAAATGATTTATCACGCCATCCAAACCTTTTCTTGCTATTGAACAACACAAAACCCAAATCCATGTTCAACCGCTCAGAGGTCGAACTGTATAACTGGAGAATTATCAACGAAAAAATTCAAATGCACGTTCTAAGTAAATCAATTACAGCAATGCCTTATATTACACAGTTTATTACGAATTAAAGTAATTAATCGTCGACAATATTTTACAAGTAAGTGTTGAAACGTTAGTAACGAATTTCAGATTTGAAATTTTAACAATTTATTCATAGAAAAATTTTCTGATGTAATTTCTCTTGAACATTTAATTGGTCAAATCATAAAGTAATAAAAAGTCCGTAATGTCTCCAATAAACATTCCTGATAATAAAATCATTGTTCATTGAATAACCACGCCTGGTTCGGTAAACAGTTTTAACTCCGTCAATAGTGTGTTAAGATAATATCATCTTCGAATCAAATTGAATGATTTCTTTATCAGAAAAGGTCTTACGATCTTAAAAAATATACAAAAATTTAGAACTTAATACCCAATAAATCAACAAACTTCAACATGTCGTCAACGACAACGACATTAGGTTTGTCAGTATGCCTGTCTTCAAATCAATGAATCACAAGTGATAGATAATATGAGAAAATATTTTTCTCGATTTTAATGTGATTTTATTTATTTTCAAACTCAAAGCCCTGTGCGGTTCGTCTGACTCAAAACATTCTAATTTCCGATGAGACATTTTTCCGTGTTTGATACGTTGAATCATTTATATACAGCAAGTATATTCATACATTATTTCATGTGCTCATTCGTGAGAATAATAATCAAGGGTAAAAACCCGCAGACGATAATTCAATTATTGTCATTATTCTTTTTTTCGAAGAACATCATGTCAATCAGAAAAGTAGCTGATAATAGAAGAGCTTTTGCTTTGACATCCAAATCCATCGGGAAATTGATACCAAAGTTTGTGGCGTCAGTGAACCACTCTTTTGCTAATCCTGCATACTGTCTAGCCAGTCGACCAATAGTCTGAGATTCGTCAGCGGTCTTAATTTCGAACGGGACATCTTGGGGACAACAGGGTCCTGACCAGACACAGCACGGACCTTGGATAATGAGGATCGTTTCGTTTCTCTCGTTTTGAATTGCATATTTCGGTTTCCAGGCAGAACAGAGCTGAATTATTCTCCCAATTGGAACCCCTGTTGGAGATTCCACAGGAACTATAAACGCACATGTTTCGCCACTGATGCACCAACAACAACCAACGCAACATCTGAAATTGATAACATAAATTTTGAGCAACGCCTTGAGCACATGTATATAATACAAATGAAAGAAGTTTATTTGGTAAATATTTTATTTCATCTGGTTGTCAATTTATAAGTTTATTAAAAAATAAGATTCAACCTATACTAAGATTTCGTGGCAGATTGGAGTTTAAGCGGTGAATAATTCTCAATTTTATCTCGTTCCGTTGTTGGATCTATTTGCACTTTTCACATGAGTAAAAAAATACTATGTATGAAAAAAAAACAGGTTTGTACATTTAGTGCACTTGTAAGAGTAATGCTATTATTATGATAAAAACTTTTTTTTTCAGTTCAGGGTGAAACTTCAACTACAAGTATGATAATTACAGCAGCATTAATAGCACACATTTTTGGATATGCAGTCAACAAAGCTTACCTGAAATCACGATAAGCGCGAATGACTTCTTTGCCAGTATTATCAACAATATGCATTTGGAATCCCCTCATGTTTCCACAACATAATCTCATGCATAAATCAGATTCTTCGTAAGCAAAATAACATTGCTGACCAAGACTGTTTTTGATTGCGTATCGATTTTTAGTTTCAATACCAGTAAACGCTTCGAAAAGCTCAACTTGTTGATGTATCAAGATCTGATCCAATTGTGTCAAATATTCCAGTCCGGGTGGCACTCCTTCGAGTGCCGCCGGCCTTACCATCCATTGAGAGGCACCTGGGGGAATAACTGCTGGTTGGGAGCCGGATTCATACTGTGTAGGCTGCGGGCCCATCATCGCATCGCCTTGTGTTTGGTATTTATATTCCATTTTATGACTTTTCAGATGCTAATTGGAAAAAGTCTAAAAAATTATGCAAATATTCCCAGAAGAAACTAAAATTATTCAACAGTAATTCATTACAATATTAAAATTACTGTATCGAATTTACCTGACCTAAAATCGAGTTTTTTTGGTATCGAATACCTGTAAACTGTAATAATGAGAGCTATTCCAAAATTTTTTTTTAAATAAAACACCTAGCCTTCCTTAAGTTATAGCCTACAAAGTATGTGAGGAACTCTAATAGATAGCTAAAAACATTCATTGTCTATATCGTTTTGCTCTTCTGTACATTTTCGAGAAGATGTTATAACTATTTTCTATTTGATCATCATCAATAAAACATATGTTTTTTTTCTGCTATCTAATATACTCCAAGCGTCCCAAAACAAATGAAAAATTTGCTGTACATTTGTAACCAAGGTGGCAAATATAATTTCAAACTACTGAAAGTTTAAGGTCATGTTTCCAATGACAAATATATTAAAAATTATGGTAATTGTTGATTCTTTTGTATTCTAATCAACCGCGGGCCTGCCATTTTTCTTGATAACAGGGCGTTGCTTAAATATTAACAATGTAAGCTGCATATATTTCTGTATTCTTGACAGTGTACACAGTCGATTTTGCACCAGCTATAAAGGGAACCATCGAAGCAAAAATTAATTTGAAACCTTTGCCGATTCTTTCCACGATAATATAAACATCTACACTTGTTTCAAATATCTAGTACTGTCCCTCTATATATCTCTTTCTGAAATCATAAAGTTGGCGATTCTCTACTCACGTGATAATGTGGCTGCATGGTGTCTATGATAACGTCAGGTAAAATTCGATAAGTCATCATATATGAACCATTCTTTGTGGAGTGAAAACAGTAAATATTAGGAAAAGTAACAGGCTTGTTTGGCTGAAGCTAACAAATTTCTATACGACAATTAAAAGGTTTTTTATTAGAATCGGACGATATCATCAATGTTTGCGGATGGCCTGAAACAACAACGTATATATATCTCGTTGCTCGTCTGGGCTTAACGATCGCTATTCAAATAATTTCTGTTTTGTTAAAATTGTCACAAGCTAATATACGGTATGGGTCGAATATTTTATCTTCTCTTATTTGGTGCTAAATTGACATCACATTACTATTTATTTGTGGAAAACCTTTATTTCATATACGTTTCAGAGAAATACGTTTCAGTCGCCAGATTTTTTCTACATCTACATTCACGGGAAATACTGTCTTATAACTTTTTCGTATGATGGTTTGGGTCTGAATCGATGTGACTGAGAAAGATTTAAACCACAATGCTAATCTTTACTCCACAAATTGTTCGTGGTGAAAAATTCTTTTTGTTTTTAATGAACCTTGTTTGATTCGCGTCTGTATTTTGAATATATATAAAGAATTTTGTACAGCGATTAATGACGTGATATTTCAGTTTATCGAATTCGTCCTTCCGAAGCTAAGCTAAAATCCCTATGATACAATAGCATAACAACGCCTTCTACAAGATGATATTTAGAAAAGTGACAATCAGACTTTAACATGCATATTGTCATTATGTGGTGCCATGATATATTTTGTAAATAATTGAAAAAATTAATACAACTCTCGGGTTTATTTCGTTGATCTGCAAATTTGGGTGCATTGTGTAAACCTAAAAATTTCGAGACAAGAAGCGTACTAAGTTGCACACGATGCTTCTCCAGGCAAGAAGTCAATATGTAGCTTCGGCGTTCATATTACATATTTTATACGTGCGTGGTCTCCAAACGGCATTACTTTAACGTTTAACCCATTGGTTCTTAACTTTTTGTTGGAGCGGAATCCTAACGAAACATTCCAAAGGCTGGAGGAACCACTGCGCAGTAGTTGACCTTTTATTGTTTGAATTATATATATCATAAATAAGTATAAAAAAAAAAACTACTACTGGTAAAGCAAAATGATCGTGAAAGTGTTGTCGTGTCTAATATGTATTTGATTATATGCAAACAATATATATACATATTATATGTTGCGGAAGCGCAGGACCGTAGTGGCGGAACCCCGACAATCACTGTTTTACCCTGTGACCATCATGTTATTCAATTGACCTTTGTTCCCATTGAAAATATATCATAAGAACCAGGGCGACGCCCTGTCAATTTTTGCAATTAAAATATTGAATAACGAGGAATATCAACAGTTTTTAAGATTGAAATATATACAGTATATTGTATATTTGACATTACATTCTTGAATAATAAAATTTAAGTTGAACTCGGGCTCATAAGTTAATTATTTCTCTCGAAAAACATCATGTCAATTAAAAATGTAGCAGAAAGAAGAAGTGCTTTTGTTTTGATATCGAGGTCCATTGGAAAGCTGATGCCGAAATTTGTGGCATCGGTAAACAGCTCCTTTGCAATGCCAGAATATTGTCTTGCTAGTTGCCCAATAGACTGAGATTCATCAGCTGTCATCACTTCAAATGGAACATCTTGTGGGCAACAAGGTCCAGAACAGACGCAGCAGGGACCCTGAATGACCAGCACAGTTTCGTTTCGTTCGTTCTGGATTGCAAATCTTGGTTTCCATGACGACCATAGTTGAATGATTCTTCCAATCGGAACTCCTGTTGGTGATTCTACAGGAACGATGAATGCGCAAGTTTCATCTTTAATGCACCAACAACAACCAATGCAGCATCTAAATTTACAGATAATTTATTGGAAACGAAGTGGATTTGTTGATCGTTGTGTGAAAAAAATTTACTGTTGTTTAGATGAAGAATCGCTCTTTTCGATTAGAGGGCCAATCACTGACACATTTTTACTTTACTCTCTGGGCACATTGTTTTACCGAAATTTTGTTAATTTTTTTAAATGACGTCACTCCACGGACTTTTCGCATGATTGGTAATGAGAATCACGTGATACAAGACGCTTATGTCATAATTGTGACGACAATACTCTGTAACCAAGATGGGTATGAATGTTTCCCCGACCCTTGAAAGATTCTCCAAATACTTTATCATTGCAAAATTTTCAATGCTGATTTTGAGGGTGTTTTGAAAAGTTGGTTCTTACGAATTGGCTCAAACATGTTCGAAACACTAAACCACGTGCCGCTTATTGGTACTAATAGCTAAGTTTAAGTTAGTCAGTCTATCGCAGTGTTGGTATCACATTTTGATCATAGTAACTAAAGGTCTTCGGAAGACCCAATGGCAATCAAGTTATTGGATTTGCAACTATTTTTTGAAAATAGAACGAATAGAAATATAACTAAAAACTGAAGAATAGCGCGCGAAACTACCAAAAACAGGCAATGTATACAACCACGCTTGGTTTTCTGTCTGAGCGAAAGGGGTGTCTGAGCGGCGGTATAAATTCTTATTGTTACGTCATTGTTAATTAACTCATTGCTGATTTGTAATTGTTAGGGAATTAACGAGGAAATCGATGCCAGGGGAGACAATCGGACACCTCGGCGTACCGTACACTTATTTGGGCATAGCCATCTTGTTGTAACGAAATGTATATACGGATCGTTCTGATACTTGACTGTTGTTGCTGGGCTAATTACCGATATGTTTTCCCATCTAATTCTTACTATTTTTTTGACAAACGAAAGGTTTATTTAATTCCTGTTGGCTACTAAAATTCAGCCAAAATTGGTTTCTCACCTAAATTGGCGATAAGCATGAATAACTTCCTTTCCCATATTGTCGACGATATGCATTTGGAATCCTCTCATGCTTCCACAACATATCCTCATGCATAAATCAGATTCTTCGTAAGCAAAATAACACTGCTGACCGAGACTGTTCTTAATTGCAAATTTGTTCCGGGTTTCAATACCGGTAACTGCTTCAAACATCTCTACTTGCTGATGAATTAATATTTGATCTAGCTGAGCCAGATACTCCAACCCTGGTGGAACTCCTTCTAATACTCGAGGTCTTTCCATCCATAGACCTTGTACCGTAGCACCAGGAATTTGCTGCACAGGATTACCATATTGAGTCGGTTGTTCTGTTTTCACTTGTTCTTCTGCGGCCTGGTTTTCATATTCCATATTTCATTCGAACTCCGAATCTTTCAACTTAAAATTCTAACTTCAGTAAACTTGTCTTTAAGTTATAGATCATAAAAGAAGTTACTGTCCAACAATTGATTATCAGTTCATATTTAATGCACAATGTCAATGAGAATGTTTCTTGCTTCTTGGTCAATAGGCATTGGATATCACAATATTAACTTTAATTCTCATAATTTGAATTTTATCATTGATGTAATAAGATGGAAAATTTTTTTTATGAAGCCGTGGGGAAATGAAATTTCGGCATCAAGCGCACGCGCTAGATTAATAGGTTATCTTTTCAGAATGCTAACGCGACTTCCCCCATGAGCACTACAAAGTTGCTCTGACAACATGCCATTGCTAAGGCAGTCAAGTCCTTTATAAAACCAAATTCCGCCCTTTGAAATCCACTTTAGTAACACATCCAATAAAACTTCAAACTGTTTATCTTGTCTGTCCCTGAACACACTTCTCATAATCAAGCCTCAATAATTGTCACCTGAAATAGAATAAAATGCACTTGCGTTTGTCATGTGAATTTTATGAAAACTCGTGAACAGTACCGTCATGAGTGCATTTCAACTTTAAAAAAAAAGTGTTATAAACTGAAAACGTTGGTATTTGCTGGCGACAAGATGATGAAAATCCTATTAGCATGTGTTCCATATGAAAAATATTTGATTCCATTTCGTACCACAAACTTCAACATTCCAGGTTCGTCAAAATGACCGTTTTAGTTAAAATTTACAATACTACAGAAGACAATTGCCATTGTATTTGTGGTAAAATTACTGGATTTGTATAATGTATTGATGCAGCCTCTGGTTTATGTGTACTCTTTGTTTTTTTATGAGTACATAAGCAAATAGCTGGCACAATAAATTATCCTTACTGCGATAAGCGTGTTTGAAATTCTCTTTACGTACCAAAAACATATCACGCATCATATACACTGGTTAAATTAGTCAGCATCTACAAATATGACGTTATCCAAGAGTCGCGTGATGAATATATCAATATAGATTATAGAAGATATCAACACGACGCTATCATGCAGTGCTGGTGGAGTAACGTATAACTATAAACAGAACTCTCTACAGTCTACACTACAGGGTATTCGACAAGAATATGCGGAGAAGCCGCTCTATAGAAAAACTCTATAGTGTGGTATGTATGTGTCACCGGTCTCACAAAATTTTCGTGTAAATAAACCCATCAACCAGATGATAATGGGTATGAATACAATGGTGTACGATATTTAGACCATAAATTAGATAGACCATAGCTGATAGAGTGGTCGATAATGTGGTACAAATAGGCGCTTTCTACAAGTTAATAATTGACAAATGTGAAGGATTTATGATATTTATACTAATCAGAGCCAAATCATGCCTTTCAAGGGCCCTAAGCACCTGAGACTTTGGTGACCACATTTACTATGGACCTTTATTACTGCAATTAAATTAAAACTTCTAGGAAGACAGAGTGATCATTGAATTATCTGATTTATATTTAAGTTTCCGAAACACAACTGAAAACTAACGAATAGGGTTCAAAAACGCGAAAACGAGGTAATGTTTACGACCACGCTTAAAAATCTGTCTGAGTGAGAAAAGTGTCTGAGCGGATGCGAAAAGTGAGCATTGTTACGTCACTTATTGCATCTTGCTGATTGGCCAATGTCACGAAGTAAACAAGGAAGTCGATGCTCGGGGGAAAGGTCCATAAAAGCTGATGTCAAAATTATTTTGTGTACGCTACTTTTATTTTATTCGCGTAGGATGGGTTTTGAATGACTACGGTCAATTACCGTATTTAACAGTAACACTGAGACTGTGACCGTACATTTGAACCCATACATTTGCACCCGTATATCCGCGGGTTCAATCTATATGAGGGTGCTAACATCCATGGGTTAGGGTTAGTACGGGTTCAAATAACCGTAAAAAAATATTTCCATAGGTGCAATAGTATACAAGTGCAATTGTCGTGGGTTCAAATGTAATGGAACCCACCGAGACACCATTGAAGATTTTTCCATAGAAATTTTCTTCGGTGCCCTCTTGGTGCCCAGGGCACGTGTGTATATTACGTAATGGGTGACCCAGCCCTGATACGAATACGTACATAGCTAAATTTTACCACGTTACTTGAATTCCGAACTATGAATTCTATATCCCAAGTTCAAAATAAGCGGTGGGTTTGATCCAGGAATGCTTGTGCATGTCTGATTCCCACAAATATTGCCAACCGTCCTTTATTTCAAAGGACAATCCTTTATCTGAGATTTTTGTCCTTGTCCTTTTTAAGATGATAATTGTCCTTTATTTTTTCCAATGTCGTTTTTCCCGATAGTTATAGTACTGTGTTTGATATTGTTTCGTTCTTAAATCGCCTCCGTTTATGTATTTGCAAGCTTTTAATTATTCTTTTTAATTTCGCTTCGGCACAGCTCAAATACCCAAAGAAATACCAATTTTATTAACAATTTCAAATATTTTACATTAATTTTCCGAAGATGACAAGTGGCAACACTCCAAGATTCAAGTGAATTCTAGTTCAATAACTAGAATATAACTAGAATTTTAACTAGAATATAATTGGTCTCTAAGATTTTAGATTATTTCTCAACTCTGCGATAATGTATTCGGAAAAAAGATTTGACTTTGATGAAAATTCAACATTTGGAAAATAATCTCTTTTGGATAATCTTTCTCCAAAATATCAGACACTTGTAAAAATTGTAGAGCATTTGAAGCTAAAAGACAAACTTAATTTGAATATGTTCAACCTTCTTGATGAAGTTGCACTCATTCAAAAAAAAATTTGGCACGATTCAAAGCACTAAACTGTTCACAGAATGCAGCTTGATTGGGTCAATGTTAAATAAACGTTGAATGAAAAATACATGAAGATTTTTTAATATATCTTTTTAGCTTGTATATAATTTGAATTTGTAGTTCATTGTTTTATATTGTTCTTTTCTGCAAGTTACAAAATAAATGATGACGGTAATCTATGTCCTTTATTGAGACTTTTCATAGTTGGCAACCCTACCCACAAACAAACAATTTCATTCTACGCCTCATTATTATAGATACAAGCAATCAGAACCAATACAACTTAACACAAGGTAATACAGTGAATTATATATAATTTTCAAAGTGAATTCTAAGCAACAAGGATTTTCAAAATGTCATATTTTGGCTGAAATAAAACAGCCATCTGAGCATTGCCATTGAAATAGATATACCGTGGCAACAAAACTTATACTAGGAAGCGAAATAAAAAAAAACAAAGGAGTCGATGTCACATCAAAGAAATATTAAGATGTTTTTTAAAAAATGTTGCGTATTTTACAGCATATTCTTGAACAAGAGAGCATTGTTCAAATATATGGACACGGAGTAGTAGCGGTTATACAGTCTTTCGCAATAGCCTACCGTACTCACAGTGTTCACGACTTCGCTCGATCGCTGCGCAAAGGCTGAATAGCAACGAGGGGCGCTATTTTTAAGTTTGATGACGTCATCGCTCACAAAAACGAATCTCGAGTACACAGAAAATTTTAAAATGAATAAAAGTAATAATCTAAGAGCGAAAACTACAATCTTTACCCACTGAAAATTTCAAATCAATTGGTCTAGTTTCTAGTACTTGAAGAGAAAAGCGAGCAACAACATAACAAACAAAACGATCCATCTGTCCACTCCGTGTCCTAAGATACCTTGAATGAGTTATAGTCAAAAAAACAATATTTTAATCAGAAATGTGGCAGAGAGCAGAAGTGCTTTTGTTTCAATATCAAGGTCCATTGGTAAGCTGATGGCAAAATTTGTTGCAACGGTGAATTCCTTTCCAATGCCAGCATATTGCCTGGCTATCTGCCAATAGACTGAGACTCATCAGCTGTCATCACTTCGAAGGGAACATCTTGTGGGCAACAAGGTCCGGAACAGATGCAACAGGGACTCCAAATGACCAACACAGTTTGATGAAGTTGGTTCTGGATTCCAAACTTTGGTTTCCACGAAGACCACAGTTGAATGATTCTTCCGATCGGAACTCCTGATGGGGATTCTACAGGAACTATGAATGCGCAAGTTTCACCTTCAATGCACCAACAACAACCAATGTCGCATCTAAATTTACAGAAAATTTTATTGGATAATTATTTGTGGATTGTACTTTAGCACAAAGCCATAGTTTTTCTCACTCAAATTGATGATAAGCGCGAATGACTTCTTTGCCAGTATTATCAACAATATGCATCTGGAACTCTCTCTTGTTTCCACAACAGCAATTAGCGATGAAAGCAGATTCTTCGTGAGCAAAATAACATTGCTGGCCGAGACTGTTTTTGATGCACTTTATTTTTCATTACTCTATCAATTTAAACTAAGTATATTTATAAACTGTTTACACAAAAAACATTTTTTATGAATAGATTTAATTTAAATTGATTAGAGATATGAAAATCAGGCTTGCTTTTGCTTCAATATAAAGTTAATATATATATTAAATAAAATCACTGATATTGAGTCAAAATAATGTTGCCATCCGATTGAATTGGAATCCACTTTTTGTTTTGCTGCAAAATATATGAGTGAGAATTAGGCTACTCTTCTCAATCACGATATATCAATAAATTTTGCAAATATTATTTATTTTTCGTGTAAATAATTATCTTATTATATAATTGTCATACATAAGTACGTTACTTGCCGATGCTCTCCCTTCAGAATGCTGACGTTACTCCTCTCACGAACTCTCCCAAGCTGCTCTAACAATATGTCATCGATATGACAGTCAAGCCCTTTATGAAACGAAATTTCAACTCTTGAAATTCACCTTAGTAACACGACCAATGGGACTTCAAACTGTTTATAAAACTTTTCTTATAATCAAGTCTCAACAGTAAAACAAAAGGACCACTTACGTTTGTCCTGGGATTTTATAACAACTCGTAAACAGTACCGTCATCCGTGATCTAAAAATAGCTGGTATTTGTTGGCGACAATATAATGAAAATTCTATCAGTTTCATGTGTTCTGTATGAAAAATATATCGTTCCTTTTCGTACTACAATTTTCGATATTCAGGGCTCGCCAAAATAATCGTTCTGGTTAAAGTTTACAATGTTACAAGAGACAATTGCCATTGTATTTGTGGTAGAATTACTGAATTCGTATAATTTGTTTAGTAAGCCTTTGGCGTACTGTCTGTTTTTCACGAGTACATGGGAAAATAGCTGGCAGAATTAGTTATCCTCCTTCCGGTAGGCGTGCTTGAAATTTCTTTACCTACTCACCCACCTACCTACTTACTTTACCTACCTACTGACTGAAAACATATCAGGCATCGCAAACTTGTTGCAGCGTTATATTTATACAGCTAAAACTGGTCAGCATTTACAAACCATAACGTTACCTAAGATTCAAATCCCGTGATGCAGTAGTACCGTAGTATTATCTTATTCCGTTCCGTTTATATTTATCCAAAATTGGTATTAAAGCAACATGACGACGCTGCAACAAGGCGACCGTTAGGTCATCGAGTCAGGCTTTCAAAAAAATTACTAAAATTAACACTTACTCAACGAAGTAGTGCTAGATAGCAACACTGAGAATAATTTAAAACAGAACAAAAAATACGTAATTGAATATTATACAATGCTGAATGAATGATAAATACAGTTGTATATTGTATCTATCAATATATTTTCTAAAAGGTTTGCGAGAGAAGCATGCATAACTGCAGTCTTTTATTTTCTGTCTAATTTCATTCCAATTAACCGCACCTTGGACAGTATATACATTTGTAAAATCTGACCTTGGAACAAATAGGTTGTGTTGTGATGGTCGTGGATTAAGCTTATATTTTGAAAATACTTCAAAAATGTATTTGAGGAGCAGTTTTGTTTCGTTCGGTACATGAATTTTGCAACTTCATATCGATATAAATTTGAGAAGTTCAAATTCATAATAATACGGTGTTGTATGTACTTTCTAACTGCTGTTGAAATGGCTTTGTTTTGCAGTACACTAGGCGTTTTTCACATTATGTTTTGCCGCATAGCCCCATATTATTATTCTTTTATGTGGTGGTATGTATATGAATAACAAATCTGTAATAAATGAAACACATATGCTAGTTTTATGAAAGTAGTTCAATGTGAAAACTAAGTTCAAGTAACAATCAATTTAAAGTTCCAAGTAAGAAGCTGCTTTTACTTTTTTCAAGTTTATACCATCAAACTACAAATTAACACTCGCGTGTTCATTCCTAGAAATTACAATATAATTAATCTTTTCAGGATTCACAGTTAGCATGCTGGGGTGCATCCATTCGCTAGCCTTTGAGAACTCAGGATTGCAATAGGTTTCTAAATAGCGAATGAAAATTTTGTAAAACCTGTCATCAGCAAAGAATTGTTTCAAAATTTACTGAATTCATTTTTAAATTATGAATATCAAACAATATCGCACATGATGTCATTTGACATCTGTGTCCATGTATTGTGATATAAACAATGTCGTGGACAAAATTTTACTAGGAAGCGAAAAAAACATGGAAATCGATACCACATCGAAGAAATATTAAATTAATTTTACTTTTAAAATTAAAAATATTGCATAATTTTCAGCACATTCTTGAATAAGATATCTCAAATTTAAGATATATATATACATAAGAGTTAATCATTTTTCTCAAAAAACATCATGTCAATCAAGAATGTGGCAGAAAGAAGAAGTGCTTTTAACTTGATATCGAGGTCCATTGGAAAGCTGATACCAAAATTTGTGGCATCGGAAAACAACTCCTTTCCAATGCCAGCATATTGCCTGGCTATCTGCCCAATAGACTGAGACTCATCAGCTGTCATCACTTCAAATGGAACATCTTGTGGGCAACAAGGTCCAGAACAGATGCAGCAGGGACCCTGAATGACCAGCACAGTTTCGTTTCGTTCGTTCTGGATTGCAAATCTTGGTTTCCATGACGACCATAGTTGAATGATTCTTCCAATCGGAACTCCCGTTGGTGATTCTACAGGAACTATGAACGCGCAAATGTCACCTTTAATGCACCAACAACAACCAACGCAGCATCTAGATAAATAATTGGAAGTTATAAAAAAAATTGTTTTTTTTCCTTTTCAACTAGTTCAACTCGTTGTCACATTTTTGGTAGTTGAACATTGAATTTTTTCCCAAGAAGGCGGTTATTTTTAAATATTTTCAATTATTTTCAGGGACACATTGTTTCAAGAAATCTTGATGATTATTAATAAATGACGTCATAACTCAGATTTTGCGCATGACTGATATGATGAATCATGTGATACACGAACCCTTACGTCTATCTGACGAAGATGTTCAACTATACGTTCCAAACAATTTCGCACATTTCCGACGTCCTGCTGTTTACGCTCTTAGTGCAGCGAAAGTTTTGTCTTTTATGTCACAGTGAAAATATTATGAGGCAATAATACTCAAACACGAAAGCTAAAAATTGATATCTCACCTAAATTGACGATACAAATGAATAACTTCATTTCCCATATTGTCGGCGATATGCATTTGAAATCCTCTCTTGTTTCCACAACATAATCTCATGCATAAACCAGATTTTTCACGTGCAAAATAACATTGCTGACCAAGACTATTTTTGACTGCATATCTGTTTTCGGTTTCAAAGCCGGTAACTGCTTCCAACAACTCGACTTGCTGGTGAATTAATAATTGATCTAGCTGAGCCAGATACTCTAGCCCTGGGGGAACTCCTTCTAATGCTGGAGGTTTTTCCATCCAAAGACCAGGAGGAACGGCAGGAGTTTGCTGAGCGGGATTACCAGTCTGGTTTTCATTTTCCATTGCTCTATTAATTCATAAACTGTATCTATTTAAAACACATTTACATAAAAAGTATTTATATCCGAAAACAATTCATATATTCGCTCCCAACTAGGCCTCCCACATTTACCTACGGTGGAAAACCAGGGAAGAGTTTTATGAAAACAAAATTATTTCTGTTTGGCGCAAAAGGTACGTGATGAAGTGGTGTTAGCATTAAACCCAATATCTCGAACCGTTTTGATTTGAAACACTGGTTTCAATAGACTTGTATTTGAACTTTTTATCGGTGTTATAAATCATACCAAGAGAACGACCCTCAAATATATAGACACGAAGTCCTAAACGAAGTAGTTTACCTAGGAAATTCAGAAACAAAGAAAAGTAATATCCATCGAGCGACAACAACAATCATACCCACTGAAAATTCCAAAGCACTCCCGTCCCGAATTAGGGAAAGAGTGATTATTTCATGACAACACGACGAAAAGAATGACTATCAGCTAGATTTACGTTCAATAAAAATAGTTCAGTGGTCCAAGAATAATGCTCAAAAGTTCATATTGCATGCGCAACATCCACCCGTTGGGTAACTCCATCTGGTACACTGTAAATATTGTTTATGAAATGTAACTTTCTACTTCACTCTTACATGGCCCGCCAGTCTAAGTTTTTTGCTCCTTGGTTCAAAAATCTTGCTCACCACTGAATTGTATACGAACAAAATTCGGTATATATTTTATATAATTTGGGATTCAAGTCAAAATATTATTGTGCAATTTCAGCCCTTTGAATATGTTAACGTTATCCACTAAGATCCTATTTACTTTAGAATCACACACAGTATAATGTCTCGTGGTCTAGCTCAAGCTCTCCCGCATTATTCAATAATTTCCATAATCTTCAAGAAATAACTTGTTAAACTTTGTTATTTTTTAAAGAATCTTACTTTCTAAATTGTAACGTATATGTATTCAAAATATCCTTGTTTCAAACTGCTGTTCTTGGCATCTCCGGGTTTTCAGAGTGATCGTCGCAACAAATAATGACAATAGCCAGTGGTGAAAGTACCGTGACAACATTATTGAATTCGTGTCGTTCATTATGCAAGGTGTCACAATAAATGATGATCATTGCGGTAACGTAAATGTAGGGATGGAGTTTCCGAATGCATAACATTTTGCATCATGTCAATAGTTGAAAAATTTCCTGTGTGTATTCATTGTAATTATAGAACTGCATCATATCGAAAAATGCTTAACACAGAAATATATATTTTGCGTCCTTGCAAGTAAATGACTCAATCTGGTTAGAACAGTGGTGCCTAATCTTTCTCAATACCTTCCTCTTTTAGCCTATTTTGGATGTCTTCAGTGATTTGCCACCACGCATAGAAACTGAGTTTCGGTTATTTTTTCAATCTTTAATGAATCCCTAGCTAGTTTTAAGCGCTCATCGCACTCTGACCTTCCTTTATTTTGAATGGTTTATTATGTGTTCATAAATATGTAAAACAATAATTCGAAATAACTAAACAATATTAGTGAAACGTGGCCAAATACAAAGTAAAATCCCCCCCAAACACAAAAATTTCTTTCTTGGGAAAAATTCCTCTTCAGCTGGGAAACGCTGGCAAACTACTGAGTTTAGGAAATAGAACCAATATATACATTACATTTATATTATTACAATTTGAAAGTTTCATTTGAAAAACTGAAGGATATTCATCACATGTTTCCATGAAACATATTACAATATATCACCTAAATAACAATGGTTGTTATAAGCATCTACGATACTATATATATACATATTAAAACAAGCTTCTCTTAATACGTCAAAGCGATAATATAAGGCAGTATAACGCAATGCTTCCTCAAATAAAATATTTAAGAACACTATTCGAGCTGTTGAAGAAGATTCAAGTGAAAAATACAAATAATCATGTTGGTACTATCATGTATATGACCTGGTTTTGAAATCATGCTGATATTAAATATTCATGCAATATTGAATAGGAAAATTATAATCTCCGAGAACGAGTGCAGAAAACATACCGATCAGGATGTGATTAAAAAGTCCAGTTCATTCAGCAAATTTGCAACAAAATGGATAAGTTCAAATCCTGATTTTATTATCTGTATAACAATTGTATATATAGTGAGACGTGCCAAACTCTGTATGCTATAATTTTCAGTTTGAAGTATGGCCTTTGGGAAACTCCTGGTAAATAATATTCTTATTCGGCACGGTACAAAATACACGTGCTGGTATATTTCGCATCGTTTGCTTTTTATTGGTGAGCACAATGGCCATATGTATACAAGGCCGTTACAAGATACATCATATAATTTAAAGGCTCAAAAATGTTTGAATACGATTAAACATTTATCATCTTGAGTTGTTTATTTTTTACTATGTTCATTGAATTTAATTCTGGGGCTCGAATCGATCACTATTGTCTACTCATGCAAGTATATAGAATATAAAAATATTGAATGAAAAGGGTGAAATAATATATATATATATATGTTAGGAATCATCATAAATATGTATTTGTACAGTCATTTTTGTAATTTCAAAACGGTTCTCAATACATTTTAAATTGACGGTGTTTTAAGTTCATGTCATCGACGTATCTGAAAAAGATCACAAAGTTCAGAACAATGTACGACACAAATGAACAATCTATAATAGGGGTAGAGTCCCTAGATGTTTTGACCGGTATAAGCAATGACAGTTGGCATACAATAAAATACTGTTAATTTTACAGTTTCGTTGTATGATTGTTGCGGTAATTTCAACCATCTACTTTGTTTGATTCCGCGCGTCTTCGTATATACTTGAAGGCGATAAGTGGTAACACTCGACTCTATGGCCTATGCTGAGAAATTCAACCATAGGGGACTATTAGCCAGATTCTAAAAGAGCTACATTGTGCTGATAATTTATGCTTTATAACCTTATAGTATTTGGTAGAAAATTAGATATTCGGGGTTGTACACTAATAATATAAAGCAAGGAAAGGTTTCTTGTGGGTGACGAAAATTGCCATTTATTTATATGTGGAATAGAAAGTGGATCGTATCCAGGGTAATGCCCAACTATAAATTTACTAATTACCATCAATGTAGCTGATTTTTAATTGTTAATCGTTATATCGTATATTTGCGACATCGAAATATTTCAACCAATATGGTCGAAGAGGTAAAACATCTATAGGTGGGGTGGAACGAACTTAGGATAGCTTCAAATGATAAATAAGTTTGCAGGTACTAAGTATTCTAATTAAGTCCGTTGGTTTAGTAGATTTAGATTTAGTTAAAATGTCTATTCAATGCTCTGAGTTTGCTTTCTAATCGCAAACGATAAATTTGATCAAAGTGCTTGTCGCGTTGATGTCGCATGACCAACTAACTAACTGTTCGACAACGTTAAATTATACTTTTGAAAAATGTTTGTTAATACAATCAAAACGATTCCAGTCCGACACACGACTTCAAATACAGTACGACAGTAGGATTTCAATAGTTTTTTGTTAATGTAGAGTATTCTGGCAACCGGAATAACAGTGATCGCTCGCAATTTCGCCCCAGAATAAGTTTCCTCCCCTCCAAATACCTGTACCGTTACTCCCACTGACCGACTTTTGAAACCCATTCATATATACAATCGCAACAAATTTTACCTGGACATGGCGCTATTAATCATTGGATGTCGTGTTGATGAATTTGGCACCAGGCTTGGTGGATCCGTCATCGATGTTCCCCAGTTTTCAGATCCAATCCTTTCTGGTCTTCCTTGCGACGGCAACATTTCTCTTAACGTCGACCAATCCTCGCACCTTGTTATTCTATATGATGGATAAATACATTTTTCTTCATTCGCTCTGTTTATCTCTCTTAGAGATCTTTGATGTGGAGGAAGCTGAAAAACAAAATGTAGCGTTCAACTGAATAATTATTTTATTAGATTTGAATAACAAAGCAAAAGTTGTTTTCTCTGAATAAATAAATAAATATCCTACATTCCTACTCCTAGGTCAGCCAATTGATCTATATCATTTTTAAAAGATTTACTCTAAGCGATGACGCGCACTCACTCAGAAGTAAAGACTCATCTCTGATCGAAGTGTCGGAGGAGCCAAGAACTACTCTATGACGGCTCTTTTCGCGGCAGCGCGCGAAACGAGCAGTTTAAGTCCATACAATCAGAAAAACTTGACTGAAATATATAAATTGGATTCACCGACACAAGAAAGTTATGCTTTCGCGCTTTGCTTTCTACCCTTATGTAAACAGTAATTCTGACTGTCTCCAGAAACAATAGGTAATGGAATAAGAGTTATAGCTTTTCCATAACCGAACAGCTATTTGAAATGCGTGAGGATGTATTTCTATCGAAGATTATTTTGAATTTATATTTTCTTATTTTCTTACCAATTTAAATTTAACAAGCTATCGTTGTTGAGACAAACTGATACAGTAGTATAGTTGATAACGGAAACCAGAAATAACATAATTGATAAATATCTAGTCCACCATATATATGTCAAAATGTTGCTCAAAAACTTTTTTCGCTAATAAAATTGTCAAAACACATCAGTAATTTTCAATCACATGTTCTAAAGAGTCTCAATGGTTGAATGTACATTTCGTAAATTCCTACCCACTCTGGTGACAAATCTTTCACAGATCCTTCCTTGATGATTGGTTTATGTCGAGGTGCTGGTGCCGTACTTCGCATATCCGTTGGGTCGTGCGACTTTGATACCCATACTGTTTCAAGCGATGGCGGTTTCTTTGGACCGTTGCTGAACTTATATTTATAATCTCCAAAAATACCTATTGCGCTCATTTTGCTGGCGTTTAAAGTATCTGTGCAAATATATAATGAAGAATGTGATGATTATTGAAACAAGTGGCACGTTTTTTGTCTGTCGATAACTTCATAGGGACCTCCTGCAGTATGCGCACCAAGATGGCGCACAACCTGAACTCAGGTTGTGTACCAGGTTATGCGACATCTTGGTGCGCATATTTCAGGAGTACCCTTTATAGTTATAACTTATAACACAATGAAAACATTTTAATGTCTAATAAACTTAACGGCATTTTTACGGTAATTGATTTATAAGACTGGATATGTAAACGGATAAACTTTTAGGCACTGAACTCTAGACCATAATTTGGGGATTTTTTATTTATGTGTAGACCTGAAGTGTGAACGAATACTAAAAGAAATCAATTAGTCCTTGCAGAGCGTCGGATGTGTTCTGTGAAAATTAAGGCCCACAATTGTTTTGAACAAAGTCCATATGTTTGCTGATTTAACACTCAATATGGACAACGGCCCGGAAAGTTTACCCCGAGTTAAAATTCTATATAAAACTAAAACGTACTTTTATTTATTTATTCTATTATGCAACAACTATTCTCACGCATTCGTTTATTACATTCAGCATTTAAAAATAATTTGATTCAATAACGCATGAAGGCGACTTATGGTGGAACCTACTAAGCGCTTGGAGCACGCTAGTAGCAAAGTTGTGGGCTAAAGAACCCTTCATAAGTTAGCTTCCACATTCCGGCAGCAGTTTGTCCTTATGCCCTTTCCTGTCTTTTCGGAGAAATGTGAAAAATCTTGTCTTGCTCGCCTATAACGGTATTTGTATCGATACCTTAAACCACCAACTTTCATTTGCCACTTTTTCTTCATATTACAATATTCGTTTTTAATCTTTCTGTTGTAGCAAAAATATTTCTAGTTTCTACGAGCGATTTCGCTTACACATCAGAGCATTTAAACCTAATAGTTTGCGAGACTCTTTGAGCTAAAGTGTTTAATTTCTTCGTATCGATTACCTCACGCTCCCATAAAATGAAGTATCGCGCTCTCTCCATTGTTAGAAATAGTTTTGAAATACACTTTATTGAGGAATCCATGATACAAAACAGAATTTATGAGTTATTCGCGTTTTTTGAAGAATTTATAAAGCGGAAATTGTTGATAAACGAACTGCGCCTTTGGGTTACGTTTCGTTTTCATTTCACATTTTTCCAAATTGATTCGGATACCGACTCGCTAACAGTAATCGCGATCAATTCACTAGAAAATCCTATTTAATTTCGCAAATGCTTTCCGTATATTGTCGTTTGAGAACTTTAATGGTTTACTGAGGCTATTGTGGGTTTAGGATTTAAACAAGCGAGTGTATTGTCTACGCGGGTAATGGTGGAATACAATAGGGCGTCTGTCCTCTGACAAACGTGTACAAAGAAAATTCAATTTTTCTGTAGCTGCCCACGGGTGGTCGCAAAATATGAGGATAAAACATTTCAATGAAGTAGGCATTCCTACATGATTGTGCGCATTCTAATTTTTGAAAAATAAATTTGTTGCTATTTTGTAAACTAATAGCCGAGCATGGTACGTATGATTGACAATCCATTCTAAGAGTTGTGACTGTTGGCCATTTTCAAATTTTCATGATGAAGCGGTGCTGTACATTCACAATATTCTTGGATGTTGCAAAATATATAAGTTAATCATTATATTTAACAAAATATTATTTTTATTAGGCATGGTGAAAAAACATATTACTGATTGCCTACCTTTTATTATTTCTAATGAACTACACGAACATGTAACTTTCAATATGAATTTCTCAAGTCCAAGATTAAGACCACACCCACCCATAAGTTTTTTTGGGTCGATTGCAATTGTACTATAACTTTTGCAAATTAAGCGACATTGTGGGGGAACTTTGAAGATCCCGCTGATGCTGGTCAGGCCACAATAATATTTCATTAGGAAAAGTGAGCTGTAAACGCGCTAACGAATATTTTACCATTATTTGCTATTTTTTATATCTAAAATGTATAGTCATTTTCAATCTCCGGACTAAAGTTTTCGCCCTCAAATACATTTCGATCGATTCATACCATGACGGTATAATAAAATATTGTTACCCATACATGTGATTTATTCAAATCTTACAAACAATGACCTGGCGTTTTTACTCATCACGTTGCACAACATTTATCACACAATTATCACCGACGTGATCTGGACTTGAATGCGCATCGTAAACTACAAGACAAGAATACGAATAACTGATTCTTAGTTCATAGTGTCCACTAATATTAATGATCTAATCTCCGGAACAAATAACGAAAGTATTTTTATTATGCCATGCAAACTGTGAAACGCAATAAACTTTACGTTTTTTTGTCATCAAATTAAACACAGTACACCCGTGAGATTTATCCGTGTCCAGAATTTAATATAGTTCTTAATTTATCACATATTGTTGACTTTATAAGTGATTAATCAAGTATATTGGGTAAGTGGTCCTTCATATCTAGGGAAACCCTCGTGCTCGTTGGTGGTTGCGTTAGTAAGAGCTATGGCCTAAAGAATGTGGTTATATGTAACCGGCGCTTGTCTTTTTTCATTTAAATAATTACAAACTTCAACTTAGTTTTCTTGAGTAAATTTAATTCATGGTGCGCAACAATGTAGACGGTTATAAATTACTTGAATGAAAGGCTGGCATATGCTGTAATTTAAAAAATTTGATATGAGTTCAAAAGTTAGAATATGTGTTCATGGACTGACAAAATTATCAAATTCTTTAGATAAATATTGTTCGTATACTTTTAAAAAATCATAAAAATGCTAGAAACCTCATTTTTAAAAGGAGAAGTCCCATGCAGGCAAGCAAGAAAAAGAGTCCCGAATTAAATTTTGGTTCAATTTAGTGTTCATATCCCGAGTCTATCGCCTCATGTACGTAGGTATAATGCATTACGTAAACTATGTAAAATGGGGCAAATACAGCTCTATTAATTTCATACCCTACGACGGTGCTGTCTCAGGGACGTGTAGAAATGTGAAACGCCAGAATAATTTCAAGCGTGGTTGTCTAAAATAATTTCATAGAAGGGCCATGTTTAGTCAAACTAATTATTCTAAATGTCCTTTATGGTTCTGTGAACGTGAGTCGATAATACTATCTTTATTGTTAACTATATCTCATGTTTTTTATTGTGTATCTACCTTATCAAAACTATTGAATCCATGTTGGTGCCATTTATGATCCATTACCATACGAGGTAATCTAACGACGGTCCATCCTCGGCTCAACTGAATCATTCAACCCTTTCTGAGCCTATTGTCATCAAATCGCATTTACTTTTGTTGATGTGTATCTGATTTCCTGGGCTTAGGAGGAAATTCATTTGTTGTCTTGCGTTTGATATCACGTGAACAATGTTCCCGCCTTTGTCAATCGGGTTACCGCTGACAACAATATCTTCACTGCTTTGTAAAATCGTGTAAGAGGATTTTAGACATCTTCTGGAAGAAGAGTACACATGTGAAAACATTTAACAATATTGATAACATCGTTTTTAATGCATTTAATTCAATTTTAGGTTTTGGTATAAACAGAAAATAATGTTTTAGATGTTTTGTACATAAACATGGCTAAACTAAATAAAGAAGCAGTGGGACAATATAACTTTGTAGTTGCTGATGACACTTTAAAAGGAAGAAAGTGAGTTTATAATTTTTTTTTATTATAATTTCGAAGTAAAAATTATTTTTACTTTGTTGGTTTGAATATAATTCGGTTTAACATGAGAAAACAAATTTGCTGGTTTGTAGTAACGTGCCTTCGTACAGTTGTTACCTTTTCTGATACTTCCTAAGATCTAGAAAAAAAAATTGCTTAAAAATGATTGCTTTAACACATTTAAAATTCTTGGTATAAATTTGTTTTGTTTATGAAATCCGAGGATTTGGTGCTTTCTTGTACAATACTGATTAATTTTCGATATTTATTAGGGGTACTGAATGCGTGAGGTTTCGAGTTTGAGTCTCGGATAATCCGTTACCAAAAATCCATTCAAGCAAACTAATCAATGATGTATATTATTAGATAGACCAGGGATTCCCAAACTATTAAGCTCGCGACTCCTTCTAATATATGGAAATGTGTCGCGATCCCTGTTAAGTTGGTTGGCATCATTATGTCAGCCGCTCATCCGATCGCGAGATTTATGTTTTGCACTAGTTTTAATAATTGTGTTTCGAATCAAAAGTCTAAAATATTACATTATGTGGAATTGGTGTACTCTTTGCGACCCCTCAGATTTGTTGCACGCCCCCCAGTTTGAGAAGACCTGGTTTAGACTATTTCGACCATAAATTGGAATATTGGACATAAGATAGAAATGTAACATCGTCCAATTTTACTTTCAGTGCCTTCAAGCCATCTTATGATGACGTGAATAAAGATGCAAGCGTCGAACTCATTGTGAAACATCCAAAACACCTTCAACTTGTGAAAGTCAGTTCATACTACTTTTTTCTAGTAGAATGATAGTTCTATATCAATAGCAAAACACTTTTACTCATAGGCATATTGAACGTTATTCTAAGACGCAAACTATACCACGGTGCTACAAGGATTTGTTGAAATTATTCTAAATGGTCATTTTGATTTAGATAATTAAAATTTTGTGGCAGAAATATATTTTTCTTATACCATAAATTGTTAATAGGTATCGATTTTGGTATAAGGTATAGTTAAAAAGTGATGCGAAAACGTTATAGTGTCAAGACTCGATAATCATAAATTCTGTTAGTAAAATTTTCAGTGATCGATGTTACGTAGTTCTCAATTTTTTTTTTTTTTTGAGAAGTTTTGGGATCGTGCATGGTCATTAAACATGCATGCATGGGCAGATTTATCATTAAACACGGAATGGACCTATGAATCGTTTCGTTAATATGTTGTTGTTGTTGTTGATCATCTCGATGGTAATTTTTTCTTTTTGTGGGAAAAGATTGTATTTTTCGCTTCGCTTTTCAAAAGGCTACAACTTTTGTTTATTTCACAAATTTCTGTGGGCTCTGAGGGATTCGTTTGTAATGTGCGATGACGTCATCTAAATTTAAAAAATGCACTCTTTGTGGCGGTTCCGCTATAGGCCTATACCCGTACTAATCCGTGTCCATATATTTGAGCATCGCTCTCTTGTTATTTTTTCAGTTGGAACCTCCAAAATTATTTGAAACGAATTATCACTCCGATTTCCGACCGCCACCAAAAGAAAATTTAATTTATCACACAATTGATGAATCTAAGAAGTACTCGATATACAATCAAAGACAGAAGTTACGAAGTAAGTGACACAGTTTCTAATTTATAACGACTCTATCTTATTAAATACAGTTTCCAAACATATGTCAGAATTAATACATTAAAAAAATATCGGAAGGCAAAAATATCACATGGCAGATGATTTTTCTCGCTTATTTGTTGACAAAGATGCTTGGCTGTGACTCATGGAAAATTACGGCCACTCCTAATTAGGCTATTTGAGCTCATTAATGGCAGTCACCATTTGTCTCTCTCATTGGAAATTAAGGTGCTCCAACCGGACCGCCTGCTCGTGGTAAGAAAATCGTTTCCAAATCGAGGGAATTCAACGATTTTGTAACAAACAAAAATCGAGTTTTGAAAAGTTTGATCGATAAATCTAAAGGAGACGGCTCCATACGACAACCTTTTCATGCGAGAGCAAGAACTGCGGAACCGGCAGTGGCGAAAGAAAGTGGAATAACCAGAGAACAAGAAAGAAAAACTGCTGACGTAAGTGAATGACGTAACTCCGTCAGAATACTCCGTCAGTGTAAATGACGTAAAATAAAATACACAGCCTTATATCGAAAGTACGTCAAAAGTAGAACATATGCCTCAAGCTCGTCAATTCGTTCTTTATATCAGATACAATCATCAAAGTAAATTCCAATCTGCCTCACTAAAATTCAGAAGCCAACATATCTAAATGGCACTGAAGTAATGTACCATTTTAATTTACAACTCTTATTGTTGCCATTAGTTTCAAAGAGCGATTGTGCAAGGCCGACCTGATTGGAAACATAAAGAACCGAAGAGTTACGATGTTTTGAATCCTGAAAAACCGGATCAACTTCGAGAAACAAACCCGTACGGTGCCAGGATGGAAAATATGCAAGTCAGTTTTGTGCCTATACCTTTTCCTGCGGTTCACAAAAAAAACCGCTAAAATGAGAAAACAGTCTCCTAAACTGGACTTGCCATAAACTAAATCAGTGTTTCCCAACCTATGGGTAGCGACCCGAAGCTGGGTCGCCTGAAATTTTGGGCCGCTTGTTTTTTCAACAAAAACCTGGAAGTTATGGATTTCATTTTCTATTAAATTTCATTGTTTCTATTGTATTTGTCATTAAAGTGTTGCCCAATATCTGTATATCTGGTAAGTATTACAGCGTAAAAACTTGGGAGCATCTATTTTGCGTATAAGCAAAGCTACACCATGGTTTTCCGAAAATCGCAAACAAATAATAATGTTGAAATAATGAAATAAATAACAAGATGATAAATGTTAGATATATATACATATATAAATGATTGTTTTTTTTATTAGTAATTTAATTTTACGTTCATAGAAGCAATAAATGTTTTTAGTATTTGGACATATTGTTGGGTCGCGAGATGTTACAAACTTTTTTCTTTTTTTTTTACAAAATTTGGGTCGTTTGAAAAAAGGTTGGGCTTCGGAACCTCTTGTTGACTAAAGTATATATTAACAGGATGTATGCGAGATATCAACCGGCATTTACGATTGTAATATCTCGTCTAATAATATAATTGTATGTGTCCTGCCACAAACCTCAATTTTTATTCGGCTTTTATTTTTAACAGGAATCAGTGGCTCAGAGGTACATGGAAGACGAAGACTATTCCACGCGCAGTAATACTTCAATGTCTATATTGAGTGACAGACTATTCGGTAAGACTAGTCGGTAAGATTCGGTATAGGCTTACCTAAATCGTTTTGCTATCATGTTATTGTTATGAAAAAAACGCTTTTCTGTTCAACTACTGGACCAATTTCTTTATAAATTCAGTGGTTAAAGCTTGTTGTTGTCGCTAGAAGGCTTTTAATTATTTAAAGGAAAAACTGTGGGCTCTGTGGTATTCGTTTTTCACTTCGAAATTTGTGTGATGACGTCCTCAAAATTAAAAATTGCGCTCCGTGCCGTCGTTCCGTGATCACATCTTGGTGATCTGGTTGTCACACTGTAAAAGATTTGATATCACTCCGTTTTGGTCCACGTATCCATATACTTGTGCATTGTTCTCTTTAATTGAAAAGTATCGTCAATATGATTACAACTACTCGCATGCAATGTGAGTTTCTGCAAAATTTCATAAAAACCGACGAATGATTTTCATTCATGAAAACGTAAAATCAATTGTAATGTTGTGCCATATAACCAAGTTAAATCGCGCGTTTCGAACTTTCATAATTCATGAAATTGAAAACAATTCCAGTTGATAGCCGTCCACAGACAATGCAAAGTGCTAGAACATCCCGGCTAAGTGGGAAGGCATCGGCGATTGAAAGGGCATCGAATACCGATCCGATTGAACTGATGAATCAATTGACAACAATACAAGAAGAGGATGAAGATGGTGACGTCATAGCAACAAGACGGTCTCAATCGAAGTTTGATACTTATTATTAACTGTACCTGTAATATCACTTGTCACATAGTTCGTTTCAGCATTGCCACCTACTATCATTTAACTCAGTGGTTCCCAGCCTTTTTCATTAAATTCCTTTTCTGAAACTCTTTATTTTCCCCTCACTATATGCATTAAACTACTCTATTCATTCAATTTTTAATGAATTCTCAGCTAGTCGTTATGCACAAGTCGCACTCCAGTCTTTGTATATTTTAGGTAGTTTATGATGCGCGCATTTTATCAGTAGTACAAGTATTATAGTAATAAAAAATAATTAAAGAAAAGCAATACAAGGCAAAATTCCTCCATGGAACGGAATTTCCCCGAAACGTGGATTTTACCCTATGCAAAAGGAAGGGTAATTGAAATCATAGAATCACGGAAACAAGTTTCTACAGGATTGAAACCACGTCGTTGACGTTTCAGTTAGGAGTAACATGTAGTTGGTTATATATAGGTATATAAATATAGTTATATAGATTTAATATATATTCTATTTTCATTTAGAGTATTGCCTCGCTCTCTTCACTCTGCTCCAGATCACATGACGTTCAAGGGAGATCTCGGGTATTAAATAGGAAGGTATGTGTATCGCTATATTTTTCATTTTAAAGACAAATATTCGAGTTAAGTTTACTAAATTTATTCCGTCAAAACCTGGACACAGGTTGGTGTTACAGTAGACAGTTCAAATCTCCTTGCCCGTCATCTATCAAACCCTTTGAAAATAATATGAATGACGAATCATGTATGTTTTCATATTATTTTTTATCAATACAAATACTTTAGTCGCTTTGCTGAAGTCAGTAGGAATTATAATTTTTTGTAATCCTTTTGGATATTCTCAATGAAACGTGTATGCAGGTCTGCTCAGTCGCCAATTGATAGATAAATATGCTGATGCAATTAGGTAAAAAAGTTCTGGAACGAAATATTTATTCGGATTTGACCACTTTCCAAATATCGGGTTTTAACGATTGTACCGTTAATACTTACGAAAATTTGTATGATTTCTAATATTTTCTGATTATATTTAGCCAAAGAGCAAGCCCGTAAATTTATATGTCAAAAAGGTTCCGGATAAAAGGTTTTACAGACCGTCGAAAATTCGCCAAACTCCAAATGAAATGAACCAATATAAGAAAATGCGAAACAGAACATTTTTTAAACCATTGGAACAAGCTATTCCAGAAAAAGATTTCACCGATCATGAAACTAAGTATCAACCGGAAAGGCAACTTCTGCAGGTGAATTTTTATGTAACGTCAAACTGAAGTTTTTCTATCAGTGTGGCTCGCTGTCATTAAACAAAATTACTGAAACTTACTCATTTCTTTCTTTTATAATTACATGCCATTTGAACATTCTTACTCTAATCAATATATATAGCTTAAATTTTAGAATGGTATTGGTTCTTAAAATAATGTTTATATATACTGGGTTTTGGTCATATCGGGAGCTCATAAAATGTTCTTCTGGCAGGAACATATAATTTACAAGACTATTAATAACGCAGTGATCTCCTTTTTCTGAATACTCAACAATGAAAAGACATTTGAAATGTTTTATTGATTATTACAGGATGCAAGATGGAAGATCAGACAAGATCTAAAAGATGTGAGAACAAAAAACATCAATAGTTTAGTTGACAGGTTTGCCCAAAGAGCGCAATTAAAAAATGAAGAGAATAGAGGAAGGCTTGGACTTCCGACATACGCAGGTTAGCTCTTTAGCCCCAAAGTTATTTTTACCATAACCACTCAAGCAAGCAAAAATTACGCTTACGCTCGCCAACATTATGAATTCAGTGCTAACAGTACAATAAATTCACTCGTAAATGTTTGTACTGCAAAAATTTAAGGGCAATTTTGTGCAAAGCGTGCGCCGAGAGGCCCGAATTTTACATTTGCGCATATATATATATATACTATCGCGGTGTTTTATAACGCAGTTCTGTTTGTTTTTTCGTCATCGCCCGCCACCAAATTAATTCATTTATATACAGGAAGAGATCCAGTCAGCATCTACAAACTTCGAGACACAATACCGAAGGGAAATCTGCCCCAAACAGATATCAATGTCACCCTTCCAGTTCGAAGAAGAATAACTCCGTCCATTGGATCAGTACAGAGGGCACGAAACTTGAGCACTTATGCAAATGTTTGGAATCAACCGTCCGCTCCACCGAATTGGGGACCACAAAAAGTTGACCATGGATTATTTTTACCCCCAATGGCAGTAAATACTTGAATAGAATGCAATTTTTGCATGCCACGATATTTTCACTGCTATACGATTGAATGAATTTTTACGTCGAATTTATTTTTTTTTGTTTTTCATGGAAATAGATTCAAAGGGTGATGTTCTAGGGCAGTATATCCCAACAATTTCCCGCGAAGTTTTTGCCGGTGCGCAAGAATTTGTTGTTTTGTCGTTTTTCTGTCAGTGTAACCGCTTGGTAATCGAAATGACGAAGTTACGTTGCTTTATTGGACGTCCCGTCATTAAATTGGTTATTTGATAAGTAAGGTATTCATTGCTGACGAGAAATCATACTTTTTAGGTTTCTATTCGCCGCAAAAAAAAAACTCGGCTAATTTTCGCAAGTGTCTAGAATTTACACATATATATATACAAGTTTAAGCCCAAATCGCCCTCGCATTAAAGTAAACTTACAATGTTACATGCGTATTTCAAAATCAACAAATCATGAAACATATGGAGCAAAATTTTGAAGCGTGTTGTATTTCCTTTCCAATTTCCTCCCACTGTAGTTCAGCATCGAAGTACTTTTTAACAAATAAATATAACTAATATATATAATACAAATAAATTAATTTTATAAATATAATATACTCAATTATTTATTATATTATAAATATACTTATATTATTTAAAATTTATGCACTCAATAAATACTGGATGAGATTTGGATTTCAATAGGAAAAAAATTGTTAAATTATTTAACCCAAAATTTTCAATCCAGACGCGCGTTTAATAGCAAGAAAACTAGGTATTCCCGTAGTATGTGTACCAGATTAGGGAAGCCCTAATTCTATTCCCATTTCCTTATTTTAGTTCTATTAGGCTACGAGCTCGGGACTGTCTGTTTTAGCCAAATGCATATAACCCCTATAGGTATCAGTCCCGTTACACAACTTGATGTAAAATAGGCGAACAAAATTAGTTAGGCTACCTCCATATTGGTACACAAACTTCTGGAGCGCCGAAAACTCATTTAAATACCAACGAATAATAATACCTTCAAAGTTTATTTTCTTCAAATTTAAATCAAGAAGTATCGCACGATAGTCTTCGTCATATCAAATTAGACGAAAAAATGGCGAATCAATCAATGTATATACGTTGTTTTTATATATCGTATAACATTATGTTAACATAATTCGTGAGACAATAACGGGAAACGTCAGATTATTTCGTATGCATCTGTGAGGCGTAAAAATGCGCAGATATGGAAGTGTGTAGGTTTTAGATGGGCGATATCTGATGGGCCGTTTCAAAACGATCCATTTATTAGTGAAAACACGTATGATTGACATAAACGGACAGTCAAAAACGGGAAACACATGTAAGATTCGTTAATAGTTTGAATATTGTATGAGAGAAAATTTTTTGATACAAGTGCGTGGCGTTGCGTGGTTAAACATTCGTTCTGCTCAATATAATCCGTATTCCATCCATCAAAGATTAGAAGGTGTTAGGCAGTATCGTCATTAATAACCTGACGAGGAACGACTAATCTCTAAGTTATTTGTTTCATTTAATTGAACAAGTATTAAGGTAATGTAGGCTTTTGAAATAAGAAAAAAGAATCGACTGTAGTCGTAACGGTTACAGCGGGTGTTTACATAAACAGAATTTATATACCTTAACACAGAAACTTAGTTTAATTAAATCCAGTAACTTTTTGCGATATTTAGCGTATACAATGAATACTCCAATTGTCGATTTTGCTTCATGCAATAATGTACTAGAAAATCCAACCAATGCAGATAGCTCTCTGCTGATAGATATTGGAGAAAAGTTGTATAAGTCACTATCGGAAGTTGGGTGTTGCTGCTTGATAAACACTGGAATTTCAAGGTAGGTCCAATGCAACGTAGGCTTTGGTTCGTCTTCCAGCGAAACTGTGCGAAAATATTACTTATTTTGGGAATCTTTTTCGATAGTTCCGCCACTAATGCAATTGTGAAATCTGAGTGAAACACTCCGCAACGTTTCAAGTACTGCATATCGCGCTGGCCACGTTTGCTTACCCTAACCCTGATCAGTGCTGGATTACATCAATGAATAAAAATTGTAACTGGATAAAACTGATTTTTATTTTGAGCGGTAACGTGGGCTTTCTACCAAAATCCTATAGTTCGGTAAAATTATTTGGGAAATCACAGTTATAATAAGTATCTACTTACTAACTTTTGGCAGTTGAACCTAGAAAAACGAAAAATAAAGGCAGAATTTGAGTTGGATTTTATTTTGAATCCATTGATAATAAATAAATAAGAAATATAAGGTGGTAAATATAAGATAACTTAAGTCTTATTGATTTGAAAAACGTTCCATTACCTTCCGACGATATATATATGTTATTGTAAGCGAATGACCCGATTTGACTCATATAAATTTTCTATATATTTTTAAAAGTGATCAAAATATTCCGATGCATGACCCGTTGAAGTTGTATAATTTGAATATATTCCGACAAACTGGTTTCTGGGACTGCTTATAGAAATATTTTACGAAAATCAATCAATGATTATTTTTAGTTTTATATAATAAATTTCATGACTGAAACACGAGTACTCGAGAAGTTCCAACTCAATTAGTATTGTTTTATTTTATCATTTTCATTAGCATTCGACGTAATTGTAATTTAATCATCAAATCTGCGCAGAGTAAGATTGTATTTTATATTAAGATCGGGATAATTGCTAAGGTATTTGGGTTCCTGTTACAACGAGAATTGATTATACCAATATCAAATTCATAAATGAACATCGAATACGCTCACTCAGAAAAACTAAATACCCAAAATACGTCTCTGACAAGATCGCAACTGTTGCCACTTTCCACTACTTATCAGATCTCGAACTGATATTTTTTGCTTTACAGCACTGATGTTGATGCAATTAATGGAGTAGCTGAAACATTCTTCACTCAGCCGATAGAAGAAAAAATGAAATGCAATTCAGATGGAATGGAAATTCGTTATAATGTAATGAAAAACAAAAGGTTAATATTTTAATTTGCCAATTTATTATTATCTGGGTATGTACCCATATTGCGTAGCTTCTACGAAACAAAATAATGGTTGTTTTTTAAGTTTAAATTGCAATGCGACCAGACAAACGTTTCTATGATTAGCATCTTTGCTTATCATGGTTATATATATCATTTTGCTAGTATCTTGGGCAATATGATCTAAGTTCATGTCTGTAATTACTGAAAGTGACAAATTGGCATTTTTTTTCTATAAAAGAGAGTCTCACGTCGAAGCGATATCAAGCGAGGCTGAATATTTGCGTTTCACCTGCTCAAGCTCAAATAAATGGCCTTCAATAGAAGGATTTGTGGAAAGCATGAGTGAATTTCAGAACAAGTGCAAACATGTTGGTTTCCTGATTCTCAGATCTTTAGCGATTGGAATGAAACTAGAGGTAAATAATGGCTGCACAAAAATTTAAAATATTGATGAGGAAATGTGTGCCGAAGTTTAGGAAACATAGCGAAGGCCTGGCTTATCTAACCCACGAAGACCCCAAATACGCATTCTCTTGGCTAGAGCCTAGGCCAGGGGTGGGCAACCTCTGGCACGCGTGCCGAACTTGGCATGCGAGCCCATTTATTCGGCACGCGAGCGAGGCTTCAGAAACTAAATCATTTTTTTTTTCAGATAAAAAGTTTCAAGACTCTGAATTATCTGTTGAAACTCTGCGTCCGTTTATTCATTATTGTTTGTTAGCAATCCGTTATTTATTTAATTCTTTTCGGTCTTTCATGACATATGGCTTCAAAGAAATATATTATGACGTCACAACTGAGTGAGCTCTCGACAATTTTGGTCGGCACGCGGAAGAACTTTGTCATTAAATTTAGTCGATTTTGGCACGCGAGCCGGAAAAGGTTGCCCACCCCTGGCCTAGGCCTTTGTCACCTTAGCTAAATGTATTACAGTAACAGGAAATATATTACCCATTCAATAATGAGTTATGCAGATTTTACAACTAAAGCCTTTTGCCGAAAATAATTTTGATTAGTTAGATTTATGGACACATGCAGATTTGCTATTAGAGTTAGGTTCTGAAACGAATACATTCGTTTCCCCCTTACGAAAAAAATACGGCAGTTTGTCACTGTAGCTTATCAAGTAAATCAGGGAATCATTGCTAGTTTAGTTGTACGAATTATTTCGTCAGGACGAAAATGCAATGTGAAACTTACATGGTCTGGTGAACCAAGAAGGAAACAATACGTCTCTCAAGTTTCTGAAATATCCAGCAATCACGGGGAAATCGGAAGAGAATGCAATACGATTTGTAGAACATACCGACTTTGGGACTATAACGCTTTTGTTCTTCAATAACATTAGTGGTTTTCAGGTAGATTGCAGCAGGAACTTTAGCGACTGGAGTAATATATGTGAACGTCGGCATAAAATACCTAAGTGCCGAGCAATATATCTATATAAATTTCAAATCGAAATGCGAACACATTTTGAATCGCTTCAAATTTAGTGTAATGGGGCACGGTCTCATTATAGTTTACAATTTGGAAAGCTTCATTGGGTGACATCATAACCAATATAAAAGAATATTTCGTGTTGTGTAATGTAAAGGCAGATGGGAACGGTCCAATCCCTAGCTTGATCTCTATCGCACCCTCGTTCTGCGATTGCCTGATCCGAACTCTCAACAACGGAACCAGACTGTATCAGGGGACAATTGATATATATATTACTGATTCCCTACAACATCATGCCTTTAATTCGGGCAACTAGACAAACATTTAGTGATAAATAAATACCTATATAAATATTTCTATTTTCTGTAGCAAGCACATACACATTTAAAAAACTAAGCTATATCGAGATTTTATGTAATTTCTGAGTGAAATAGGGGCGGTTGAAATGAGTTGTGTTGATCGCTTTTTTTGTTTATTGTAAATACATCTTCGTGGTAAACGATTTAGTGGCAAATGGGCGATACTAGAATAATCAGCTGTTCTTACCATGTTATACATTTTTCTGGTCGGGATTGTTTATGTCCAATACTATATTTTAAACACGATAACATTGGCATATTCTAGATTCAAAACTCGGAGGGAGAATACGTCGATATCGAGTTTGATAAGAATGGAGTGTTGGTACTCTGTGGTGAAGAGATGGAGATTTATACTGGACAAAAGTTAAAAGCTGTGGTGCGTATAATCAATTTATCGTTCAAAACTGTCGAATAGTTTCAATTTGAAGACTGGGATTCTGAAATGAAGCTTTTTCAAAAAACGCTAAGGATTTTAAACTAGATAGCGATTGAGGACCGACTTATCGATCTGCGGTTTCGATTCATTCGCGACACCGCGTGTCCCGTTACTAATTAAATAATAACTCGCTAATTATACGACAAAATTTAATCCAAAATCGATAGGCTTCTGGTCCGAGATATGATGAATGCACATGCGAAATTTGGAGCATATTCAACCTTGCTTTCGTGAGATATCGCGTAACATACGAAAGTGTCTAACAGACAAACACCTATCAACATACTTACCGATCGAGATGGATAAGTAATATTTACGAACTGGCCAAATAATTATTCCTGCATTCTTAGAAACACAGAGTAGTCACAAAGAGATCATTCCAAGGTGAACACACTCGGAGATCAATAGGTTACTTTATGGCATCGGACAATCATTGTAGACTGGGGGAACTGCGAACGAAAAATTGTGAACAAACGAAAAAAGAAGATAAAAATACACTGACGTCTGGCCAGTATTATGAAAAGAGATTCAATGGGATTTTTAATAAACATAAGACTGATTAGACTCATTAGAGCAGGGGTGCACAACACGGGGCACGCGTGCCAAATTTGGCACGCCATGCGCTCAAACGTGGCACGCGTTTTGTAAAAAAAAAAAAAAAATTTATGATATACATTAAAATATCACGTTTATATCAAAATCTGCAGTTTTTTTGTAAAAAAAAAAAAAAAATTTATGATATACATTAAAATATCACGTTTATATCAAAATCTGCAGTTTTTCAGGACATTAAACTGTTTCAATAAATAGGTATTCGTTATTATGTATTATTATTGAAATTTGTTTGATGTGTGTTTTACAGGAGTTCATTTACAAAGGTTGTTTCCCCGAGCATCGACTTCCTTGTTTACTTCGTGACATTGGCGAATCAGCAAGAAGCAAAAAGTGACGGATTTTACGGGGGTCAGAGGTCGGGAAACGGGCCATACCAACGATTGTGCGTGGCCCGCGACAAGATTATTTTGGAAAATTTGGCACGCGTCGTTATTTGAGTTGTCCACTCCTGCATTAGAGCATTGTCAAGACTGGTCAAACCAATTTCATCTAGTGTCACATAGATGTAAACAGAATAGAGTTGCAATAAAGGGAAAAAACCTGTATATGAACTGAATTCAAACGCCATATTCATCCTATCAGCCATTCCTATTTGTCACAACATGATAACTAACGAAACCCACGCTCTAACAGTCAACAATCTGAGAATATAGAATCAAGAGAACGGCGCACAATAATGTCGACAGGGCAAGTGGTTTATCGCGCGTGGCATGAGCTGTTCAATTCAACTAGTGGAAAGTGGGGCGATCGGTGGGGTAGTTAATGAAAAACGAACGCGACTTGTTGACTAGAAACAATCGTTGGGGCGGGTGTTAGAGGGAAGCCGATAAGACGGCTTGAGCATATGGCGACAAATATATTTCTGTAACGTTTCGTTTGACCAAGATCAGACTTCTTCAGACAAGCATTTCACAACTATGACAAGAAACGCAATTGCATGCACATAATTAATGGTATCAAAATTTGGGTTAGAGAGAAATAACTAAGATTGGGACAGTTACAGAAATATATTTGTGTAAGTGTGCATCAAGACTCTTGAATTAAATAGAATAGTCATTTTCACTCTTGCTACAGCACCCTTGCGTTATACGCATACGGATCCACCTGCGCGCAAAGGCATAGAGCAAGGAAAGGTAGTTAGTTTCACGTAACTCCAACTGTTAGTTTCATTTTGATATGATGTAATTTTCTTGCGAATCGAAGAAAACAAAGCAGTGACCATTTTAAATACGATATTTAGATAAAAATTTCGAATTAAAATCTGATCGAGGCCTTCAGAACAGCTTATGACGAGATAATTCGGTTCAAAACACGTACTTGATCGCGAAATGTACAAAGAACCAACGGATTATCGGTGCCACACGGACCTCCAGGATAAGAACTTCCCATCGTCTTGTTATTGCGGCTTGGAAGTAAGATTTCAAGTCAACACCTCGCAGAATATCCGTTTACTCACGTGGTCGAAATCGTATTTCGAAACGCACCGGAGATATACGATTGGGTGGAACACGAGCATGCATGGCTCCGCGATATCGCACCTCTCATTGATCTGCGCGGCCCGATATGGAATAATTATATGTGAGAAGATTGATGGACTCCTTGCTGCCGTAGGGTGGTTCACGAAATCACAGAAGGTTAGGACGTTCTACCGTCTACATCAATTAAGTCCATGCATCTGAAAATAATAAGCTGGCAAACTAACCTAATATCCTATATGGATTGGTTATACTTGTAACCGGACGAAAGGCCGTGGTTCAGTAGTCCAAACTTTAAACGGTTTTCCCCTCACCCCACTGGGATAAATATGTACCGGTACATTATATCAATTCTGTAACAAGTGCAATAATGCGGTCCAAAATATTCTAAATTTCCAAAAATTTTCTTCCATCCGGTTTAGATGTAAATAACTGCCCAGGGAAAAAGTCGCAGAAGCTATAACAGGCACCATGACACAGTTCAGGTATATCAACACCATGTTAAAGAGCGTGTTTTAGGTGGACAAATCAAATTGGATCCCCCATAAATCATAAGTCAAGAACAGCCAGTTATAAAGGTACATCTATTTTACGAAACCGAAAGTAAGCAAAAACAAGTGTAGTAGACAGTAGCTTTCAATATAAAAAAATTTAATTTACATTTCAAACAAGCATCGCAATCGAGGATTTGTCAAATAGGAATGTTATCATTAGTTAAATCAGGCATAAAAATGAGATAAGTAAACAGTTGTCCCTTGTCATCAATAAGCAAGTAATAAACCAAAATGTTAACGAAAATGATAGCCTTGCCAATTTCTGCCTTACTTTTAGGCAGACAGATCATTAGATTATACTTAATGTTCCAGATGCGTAGAGTTCAGGGCATACTAATTCCATCATGTTATGAAATCAGCAAAATTTAATCGATCATTTTTAATAGTAATTATAAGCTCCTCTTCATCGTACATCGCATATTCAATCATAATTTTGATCTTCATTAAGAAAATCTACCCAAGATTTATCGGTACTCCCATAGTATGTGTATAGGCCATAATTTTATTCAGATTTTAGGATAGGATAGGATTTACATATTTATCCCGGGGGTTATTTCCTTATTTTAGTTCTATTACGAGTTCGTGTATTGTCTGTGTCAGCCGAGTAAATATACCCCCTGCCCATCGGCTTGCGTCTCTTTTCACAAATTCATGTAAAATAGGCAAACAATATTAGTTACCTCTATATTGGTACACATACTTCTGGAGCACCGAATTATCATACTAATATACATAGATTCACTACTGTTATAACTTACCCAAATAGTAGTAAGTATGTTATCAAATGCATAATCAGTTGAACAGTCTTGTTTGAAACCAAATGACATACGTTAGTTCAAGTCAAGGCAACCGAATTGGATGGTAGCGTGTCATTGCTGCTATAATCTTGATTATGTTATTATTTCGCTTTTCTTGGTTTCATTTCGTCTGCACAATTCCTCAAAAATATATATGATTTGCTTTGTGGGTTATAATGTTCGTGACCCTGGAATATGAAAAAAATAATTAAAATTAAATAGATACTTAAATATTAGCGACACTAGGGTAGTGTAAAATTCCAAGTAATGACAACATCATTAACTAACCTAAACGGTTAAAGAGTCATGCTGCACACACTACACAAATATATCTCTGTAACAGACTTCCTCAGACATACATTTTCAAAGCATAGAAATAAGATAAGTAGTTAGTCTTGTAGAAATCATTAATTAGTTGGTATTCAGCAAGAAAACAATGCACAAATATATAGACAACCAGCGAAATTTGAAACACCTTTTTTGAGGCATTCGCTGGACCCGAATTCGCATAACAACACGCCTTTTTAAATGATGCTAAATAACAAGATATGTAAAAATGTAGAACTAGTAGTCTCCTATAAGACAAAAAAGAGAACAAAGAATAGAGTTTTTTCAACACCAAAATCAAGAAGCAAATATTTAAGCGAAAAGATACGTGTCCAAAACATACCTTCGACCAATCATAACTGGCTGCATATGCAAATATTTGACCATTCATATTAATAGCACAGCAGGAAATAGGTTGATCAAGCTGTTCAGAACCTTTCAATTTTGTTCTGGCATCTTTGTCCCAGAAGCTGTATCTTCCGTCTGATCCTACAGTACTAAGAGTACCATAAACTGGATTGAACGATATACCATTCACCTGAAATACAATAATCAGATTGATGACTAATAATGACTTCGTGCTGACTCAATTCTGTTTAGTAGATAGCACGTCATATCAGGAAACACATAATGAGCTGTTTAAAAAGGTTATATAAACTTAATACAAAGACTTACTGCATAAATGTCTTGTGGTACAGATGATGAAGCATTAGCTGATCGATGACATTTGAATGTGAAATTGTCTCGTCTAAAACCAAATAAATAATTAGGTAATCACTGACTTGTTGTTCATTAATTCATGAACTTTAATAAACTGTATAACTAAAAATGTTCTAAGATAATATTGATAATAAAAAGGGCTGATAGTGATATGACAAACAATACTTCGAACACCTATGCGTAGAAAGTTGCAAACTACATTCAAAATGATGGCATAAAACTCAACTTTGAAAAATGACTTTTCCACACAAGTCACATCCTAAACTACTACAGATACAGATTTAATTTAAATTTTGTTTTTAACAGTGCATATATTGCTTCAGCAATATGCAATTTACACATCCAAAGTTGAAACTATAAACCTAAATCTCTTGTGAATCCCCAGTTGAAAAAATTGAATATCTTATTCATTATAAAACTTGAATAAGGAACATGCTCATTAATGATCATTTTAATTAACAACACTCACGGATTGGTTGGTTGAATGTAGTGAATAGCGACTCGACCTTCGATACTGCCAAGTGCAAATCCAACAGGGCGACTTTGATTTTTGTCTTTAAATATGCTGATGCAACGATGCTGGGAGCAAAAAATTATAAACATTAAATTGTCACAAAGAAAACAGTGTGAAGTAGAGACAAAAAAGAGTACAAAAGAATGAGTCTATTGAAATGACCCAGATCAAACGTGCAGTCAAACAAAGCCGAACTCGACAAAAAAAAGTTTCAAAATACCAAAATGATAGGAATTGATCTGGTGTAATGCATTGCGATGTTTTGGGCATCTATCTTTATGAAGAAAGCTTTGAATTTACATGCGAAAAAACAAGAACAAAGCAAATAGAAAATACTGCCGAAACATTTTTCCCTATAAAATTGAAAAATTGAAAAAAATTGAAATATGACAACAATAATATAATACTTGATATTTTAAAGGTGATTCAACTTTCTGATATTCTTCTGGGCCATTCTCCAATTTATAACAAATAAGTTTCTTATCGGCACAGCTAACCATCGCCATAGGATAAACCTGAAAAAATATACATACTGATATGCAATAAAAATAGCAAAATTATGAAACACAGTAATATACAGAAAATTACACATGATTGGCTGAGAAAAATTAACACGCTTTACTGCTATCAAATATTTACACCTACACACAAAAGACATCATTATTTTGTTAACAAAATCCTATATTATCATACTGTCAAACTTTTTATTCGACTACCAATTGTGATGTTGGAAATTTAAATCTTATTACAAGCACCATACAGGTTTGATTCGTTAGCGAAAGATTTCTGAACTTTTGATGTATCTCGATGATTCACATACTGCTGGTCAAATGAAAGTTGACGACTAACCATATTAATGCATCTGAAGTACTTAACTAATAACCATACCCAAGGACAAAATTCGTCATATGTTAATCTACTATTACTTTCCTTTCTTAAAAAATGAATGAGAAAATCAGAAAAGGTACAGTGAGTCTGCAAAAGTTCATAATATTAACTTACAACATCAGCACAGTAAACTCGTTCTGGTAAATTCATTGTTTTTATTGGTGCTGCTGACCTTGTATCCCAAAACTGAAAGAAAAGACGCATAAAAGTAATTATTGGTAACCAAAAGTAACTGGTATCATAGATATTTTATGCTTTATGCTTGACAGAGAATGTAGATCCCTGTTTGCTAAATCAATCTTTCACTTTCCATTATAATATTCAGTGGAGTTGATTATTTGTGTTCCTCTTGATAATTTATATTAAAACATAATCAAGTCTTCCAAATTTCTAACAACATTGAAAATATCATTAAAAATTGTCTTTCGAAAATTATCACAATTACGTCAGGAAAGATTGCTATTTGACTACAAAGCCATTTGCATCATTATTTTTGGTAAAGTGAAAAGACTTTACCCCAAAAATCAATTTCTTACGAGAATTTAAATAAAAGTATCTATCGTACTTTCAATGTCTTGTCCCAGCTTCCAGTCATGAGGCAAGAGTAATTGGATCCTTTTATCCAATGGCAGGTTTTAACAGGAGCATCATGCTGGGCAACCTAAAGTTTAATAAATAAAATTATTGTATGTGAAAAAAACAACTAGGTTTATTCATGATAAATCGATGCATTGATGCAGACCTGAGTAAACTGATTTGACGCCAAATCATACATTTTTGCAGTTTTATCAGCAGATGCAGTGAATATTTTGCTTCCATCCTGAAAAGAAACAGCGATAGTCAGTTATATTTTTTCCAGCCAGTAAAAAACGATAGCATACTAAATTATAAAAATAACTTGAGCATACAATTGTACTGTATATTGTACTGTATACAATCAATATTCGCAAACTCACATCATTCCACGCAACATCTAAAATTGGACCTTGGTGTGTTTGTTGAACTTTAGGAACTGCTTGTCCGTTATCTTGTACTTGCCAACACCTCATCTGAAAAAATAAAATAGTTTCAATTGAGAGATGTCTCCCAAAATACACTTCTGATAGTGTATTAAATAATGCAATACAAACGGCGAAATATATTGCCTAATGATACTCAGAAAAAAATACTTTTGTTAGTTTCATTCTGTTCAACACAGAAATCAAGATATGGTTTCAATTTTTAGATTCAAGAATATCAAAATATGGAACATTGAAAAGAGGAGAGTTTCAGCGAAACAGCCAATCGGACATGCAAATTAAGTAGTATTAAATGAACAGGAAATTTTCTATTAATTGCATCCTATCGAATTTGTTATTCCCTGAAGTTACAATGACCACAGCGCAGAAAAGAGGACTTACCAATTTATCTATCAAAAATTAAAATTAATTATATAATATTGTGTTGAAAACCAGACATTTCAGAAATGTTTTAAATACTCAAAAAATGTATGTCAATTGTAACATAGGATAGGATTTACATATTTATCCCAGGGGAGAGGAGAGCCAATTATTCACAGCTCAATCATATGGTGAACCATAGCCTCTCGTCCAGTTACCAGTCGATGTCTGGTATGGGATTAGTTTGCCAATTATTTATTTCAGATACATGGACTTGACGGTGGGAGAAAACTTAACCGACCATCTGCTATATGAACCACCCCTAGGCAATCCTCTCACACATAAATATCCCCCACAAGATGATCAGAGATATGGTGGCAAGCGAATACTTATGGCTCATCCAACATTTGTCAAAATTTAGTCTGAAAGAAATACTCGTAACATACATCATTAGCCCATGATCCAGCCACTAGTATGTTAGACGTAGGACTGAATTCCAAACAACTGATACTATCTTCAGGAGGACTTGCTACTTCAAAATCCTTCATTGGATTATGATTTCCAGTAGTTCCTGAAAATTATCAGATATATTATAATGAAAGAGTCAATAAAATAGTCAAAGAGTCATTTTTACCACCTATGTCTGTATGTATCCTACTGGTAGTGAAAAATGTTATCACTGATAACAATTGCTCTATTTATATTCAATGATGTTACCCTTTGGAATAACTACAGTTTTGGTAGCTAGATTTCATTCTTACTCAATTAAAGAAGTACCGTGTTTCCCCGAAAATAAGACCTAGCCTGAATTTTAAATATGATTTTAATATAAGCCCTCCCCCTAAAATAAGACCTAGTCAATAACACGAAATATTTTTTGACCTAGTCGATAGCAAGAAATCTCTCCTACGTGTTTTAAATGATTGATAATATATGTTTTGCAGATATTTTGAATAAAAACGTGTTATTTATAAGTAAATAGATATCGGTTTCCATATTTTGTATATTTGAAAATCTCGTAATTCTCTGCTTTGTTATTTTGTTTTTGGTAACTGAGAATATAAGACATTCCCGGAAAATAAGACCTAGTGTTATTTTTCGGGAAAAACTGAAATAAGACCCAGTCTTATTTTCCTGTTTTCAGGGAAACACGGTAAGATGTAAGACATCCAGACATCTGAATACTGCTGCCCATTCAACCATTCCAGGACAGCAGGATGATGCCTTGCTGACTGGTGTTATTATAAACACAAAATGGTCTACTGTAACATTGATACAGAACTTCAAAAACAATGTCAAACAAGAATGCTCTACTCACCAGTACTTGTGGATGTATTCCCAAATGACGAAAATCCAGAACTTCCAAATAGAGACATGTTTTAGCTTTGATACGGTAATCCTATCTAAAATTATCTGTATTTGAAACAAACTTTACTGCTTTTCAAATGTCATACAAGTTGTTAATTGAAATCTGTTTATCAATACAATACTGATGTCTGTTTCGTATAGTCAAGGTAAAAAGGCTACGGCAGATGGCTGTATGGTTCAATTACCAATTATTTGTCCTAATTTTGCATGTTAACTTTTTTTACTGGGTGGAAAAAAAAACTTGACTATGACAATGTGAAGATGAATAATCTTAGCAGCCCTCCTTCACGCACTCCTCCTTGGCCTGAATAGCCATTTCAATCAATCATTTATTTTGGTTCTCTGACGTAAACAATACAAAAAGTAAACAGACAAAACAAAATGCAGATATACCTGGGAGACGGGCATAACTTAAAAAAAAGTTGAAAAGCGTACATTGTATGTGCCCGCCCACCAAAAAAGAATAAAACAAACACAGAAAAACGCGATTTACAATCAGGCAGTACTTTGAAAGCAATTTAACAAAAACAGCAAATTGATGGGAATAATTGAATGCAATAAACTTCTACCTTTTAAATTAAAATGTGTAACACAACAGTGCTTTTCCTACAAAAACATGGAACAAAAAATAACGGACCTCCTGAAGTATGCGCACCAAGATGGCGCACATCCTGAACTCAGGAACGCAAAGGGGCTCAAGCGGTTAGAATTTAGAAATTTAAGCCGCAAAACCATAAGCTGCATTGCAAAACCCTTTTATAACGTTGATGTTAGTTCTGCTCAAATCTTTTTGTTACGTAACAATGCCAGGGAGTCGTCGATTTTCGGCGTCTTGTGGTTTGATCGCACCAGCAAAATTACGAAGGCTGTCAGAGTGATGTCGAAAGCAAAACCTCTCAGTGGCGCACAGAAACGCAGAAAAAGGGCAGACGAGGAAGCACATATGAAAGTAACCAAGATATACGGCAAATTTTAGGTTACCATTAGCGACATGTTATGCTTTTTGACGAAATAAAAAAAGCGTTGTTTTAGCTTATGTTCGAGAGTTTTTAGGGTCATTTCCACGAAATATTTTTGCGGGGGAGGGGGGGGGGGCACGAGAGTCTTGCTACGCCACTGTTCAAGCAGACACGTCCGCACCCGACGACGATCGGAACGGACTGGGATTTAAAATCACCCGAACCGGAATTACTTCATCTGTTTTTGGCAACAACCCAGTAGTAAAGATGCTTTGTTCGGTTGTTTTGAATGGCATTTCTGTACGTTTTCACATTATTTCTGAAAGTACTTTTACACTCACATACTATGCGGATATATTGGTTGTTGTTCCTTTTTGTAGCCCATTGAGGCGGACCTTTTTATTATTGATGTCTTCTTGTCGGTGGATAAACAATACAATTTTATTTCGATCTTTCTTCTACGGAAGGTCGGAAAAATCTAGAGAAAGCTCTATAACAAGTGCTGTAACCAGGGTAAGGTCGCTGCGCTACCCGCGAGGGGAAATGTATGGAAATATTTTTAGTAAATTTAGAAGCATATGTTTGTTTGAAGTTTGTTGGAGGACCCGGGTCGTTGCGCCGGACGAATGACGGAAATTCGTCCGGCGCTGTGCCCCCGACCACTCTAGTCCATTAAGAAGTTCAAATACCCTGTAATAAACTGATCACCCCTAACCGGAGTCGAATTTTTCCAATTTTAAGGTCCGTGATCACTCAACCGTTACGAAATTTTTTTGACATAAACTAGACCTCAACTACCTTGCATGACCCGGATATGGCGCCTCTACCTTTTACCATTCTCGAGATATAACGTGAAATCACTGGAGCGTGACTGAGGTGACGGAGAAATAAAATTTCTTTCAAAATAGATTCAAATAATTTTTCTAAACATGCCCATGCCTTTACTTTCTCAACAGGTCCTTTCAGAGGCCTGCAATAAGCCAAAATCACTAGACCATGACTGGGGAGTGAGAGAAAAAAAATTTCTTGAAAAAAGCATTAAACTAAATTTTCCCAACATATCTATCTATTTTATTTCTCTTAACTTTCTTTCTTATTTCGCAACCTTCTTACGCCACTGGAGGGCGATTGGGAGGGGGAATTCCCAAGATTCAGGTGGTGAAATATTCTATATATTAGTCCCTTTGAGATTTAAGCATCACTTTGCCCAAAAACCAATTCCAAGTGCTCCTAATAGCCCAAAAACCATATTATCTAAGTGGGCGTGGCTTTCCACACGTTTTCCCACCACTGGGGGGGCGGTGGCAGTGCCCCCACCCCCAATTGCACTTGGAAAAAATCCCAATACTCGGGCAAACGCTTTCTGGCCCCGGAAACGCAGCTAAACGGCTTCTAAACCCCAAAATCACTCTTGCGAGACTTGATTGACAGCCTGAAATAATTAATGTCACGCAACCTTAAATTTGGGCCACCAAAAGCCCGTTTTGGCCCACTTCCTTTGGCCCGATCGTTCTGAAAAATTTTATTTGCTATTTTGGTAACTGCCCCCTACTACATGCCAAGTTTCGTCCCGATCGGCCCGCCAGTTTTCTGGGAAATGGTAACCCGATGGGTCTTAGCCAAGAGACTTCGTCACATTATTTTTGCCCTACGCGCAAAGTCTTTTGACCATTTCTGTGCATACGCACTAAAGTGCTACACTGTTGCCTGACCATCCAGGGACGGTCGCTGCGCTACCCGCGAGGGGAAATGTAAGGAAGAGATTTGAGTATAAACGAGAGCGTATGTTTCATTATGAGTTTGTTAGATGCACCAGGGTCGTTGCGCCGGACGAATGGCGGAAAATCGTCCGGCGCGTAGCCCCCAGCCACTTTAGTTCATTCAGTAGTTTAAATAACACGTCATAAACTGATCACTCTTAATGGATGTCGATTTTTATCAATTTTAGGGTCCGTGATCACTCGACCGTGACGAAATTTTTTAGGCATAAACTTCACTCCAATTACCTTGTACACCCCAAATATGAGACCCCCATCTATTACCGTTCTCGAGATAGGGCAGAAAATCACTGGACCGTGACTGAAGACCACTAGAAAAAAAATTCCGCTGATACGTGATTGGAATAATTTTTCTGATCATGCCCATGCCTTTAGATTATTGATAAGACCTTCCAGAAGCCAGCAAAAGGCCAAAATCACTAGACCGTGACGGAGGCATGAGAGCAAAAAAATTTTCCTAAAAAAGTATTAAACTAAATTTTCTCAACCTACCTATGTATTTTTTTTTCTCAATATCTCAAATCTTGAGCGCAACTTTCCGAACTCACTGGACCGTTACGGGGAAGGGGAATCCCCAAAGTTCGGGTGGTAATTTATTCTGTTAATTAGTCCCTTTGATATTTAGGCATCACTTTGCCCGAAAACCGATTACAAGTGCTCCTAATCGCCCAAAAACCATATTTCATAAGGGGGCGTGGCTTTCCACACGTTTTCTCACCACTGAGGGGGCGGTGGCGGTGCCCCCACCCCCAAAAATACTTGGAAAAATTTCCAATACTCGGGCAAACACTTTCTGGCCCCGGAAACAGAGGCAAACGGCCTCTAAACCCCAAACTCACTCTTGCGTGACTTGACTGACAGCCGATTGACCAATTAGCAGCTCCGGGCCACTAAAATCCCGTTTTGGCCCACTTCCTTTGGCCCGATCGCTCCCAAAAATTTTCTGTGTCAGTTTGGTAACTACCCCCCGCTTCATGCCAAATTTCGTCAGGATCGGCCCGCCAGTTCTCTGGGAAATGGTAATTCAAGTGCTCTCACCTAAGATACTTCGTACCAATGACTTTCGTGCAACGAATTCTGACTTCAACTTTGCATTCGCACTTTTAGTGCTCTATGTTGCCTGACCATCCAGGGACGGTCGCTGCGCTACCCGCGAGGGGAAATGTAAGGGAGATATTTGAGTATAAACGAGCGTATGTTTCATTATGAGTTTGTTGGATGCACCAGGGTCGTTGCGCCGGACGAATGGCGGAAATTCGTCCGGCGCGTAGCCCCCAGCCACTTTAGTTCATTCAGTAGTTTAAATAACCCGTCATAAACTCATCACTCTTGATGGATGTCGATTTTTATCAATTTTAAGGTCCGTGATCACTCGACCGTGACGAAATTTTATAGGCATAAACTTTACTCCAACTACCTTGTATAACCCAAATATGAGACCCCTGTCTATTACCGTTCTCGAGATATGGCAGAAAATCACTGGACCGTTACTGAAGGCTACTAGAAAAAAAATTTTGCTGATACGTGATTGGAATGATTTTTCTGATCATGCCCATGCCTTTAGATTCTTGATAAGACCTCTCTGAAGCCGGCAAAAGGCCAAAATCACTAGACCGTGACGGAGGCACGGGAGCAAAAAAATTTCTTGAAAAAAGTATTAAGCTAAACTTTCTCAACCTACCTATGTATTTTTTTTTCTCAATATCTCAATTCTTGAGCGCAACATTCCGAACTCACTGGACCGTTACGGGGACGGGGAATCCCCAAAGTTCGGGTGGTGATATATTCTATTAATTAGTCCCTTCGATATTTGTGCATCGCTTTGCCCGAAAACCGATTCCAAGTGCTCCTATTCGCCCAAAAACCATATTACCTAAGTGGGCGTGGCTTTCTACACGTTTTTTCGCCACTGGGGGGGCGGGGGCACATCCCCCACCCCCAAACATGTCTGGATAAATTCCCAATGCTCTGGCAAACCCTTTCCCGGCCCGGAAACGCAGCCAAAGGGCTTCTAAACCCCAAAATCATACTAGCGTGACTTGATTGGCAGCTTATTGACCAATAACAAGCCCCGTGCCACTAAAAACCCGTTTTGGCCCACTTCCTTTGGCCCGATCGCTCCCAAAAATTTTCTGTGTCCGTTTGGTAACTGTCCCCCGCTACATGCCAAATTTCGTCTCGATCTGCCCGCCAGTTGTCTGGGAAATGGTAACTCGAGTGGTCTGCCCTACCTATCTTCGACTAGCCCTTTCCGACTTACGCGCAAAGATTTCTGACCATTACTGTGCATACGCACTAAAGTGCTCTGTGTTGCCTGACCATCCAGTGGTGATCACAGGTGCGGCCTTTGGCCTCCCAACGAGGGGGAAAAGCGCTAACGCGCAAATATATAA